CATATCTAGGCGGGCAGTTGTCCAGGTACATTCAATATGTGCTGAGGCAGCAGCCCTGTAGGCAACACTGCTTCATCCATTCAAGGCCCAGTCCATCGTCAAGTCCCTAAAAGAGCCACATTGATGGAAAAGCAGATGGAAGCTTGGTGCGCTCCAGCCTTCAGATAAATGCACTCACGGGCCCATCTGCGTCACCGTGTGCAACAGCCCCCCACGCTGGGTGGCACTGGTGGCTGGCTCGCTGAGCGGGTTGGCCCCGTTCCCAGCTGAGTAAGTTCGGTAGCACTTGGATTGGAGTTGGCGCTGCTCGGGGCAACCAGGCGATGAGTGGGGAGCGTCACAGGCAGCATTCGGTCATGCGCCAGCGCTGCGGACCATCTCTTATGTACATCTTCGGCTTCGATACTGTTATCCTCTCTTGTTCTCTTCACTATCTCTCCTGCCCATCATCACCTTCCGCACTCCTCATCTTCTGTTCGGACTGGTCATCGGTCTGAGCAGTGTTTTCAGTGTCTCTATTGTTCGATCCATCTCCGTCCTCGTACCAGTAGTCATCATGAAGGGCCTACTCTTATCTCTACTCCCATTGTTGGCCGCGGGCTCGCCAGTCCTCGTCGACACCATCCACAATGACGCCGCCCCTATCATCTCCTCTTCTAATGCGAAGGAGATTCCAGACTCCTATATGGTCGTCTTCAAGAAGCATCTCACCGAGCGAGATGCAAGCGCCCACCACAGCTGGATCCACGATACCCATTTATCACATGAGTCTCGCAAGCTTGAGCTCCGGAAACGCAGCCAAGTCTCATTCGCGGATGACACCGTCTTTGAAGGATTGAGACACACATACAACATTCCCGGCGGGTTCTTGGGCTATGCTGGTCACTTTGACGAAGGCGTCATTGAGCTGGTGCGCAGGCACCCAGATGTAAGTCCTCCCCGTGTTTCATCAACCGTTCGCCTCAGATAAGCCTCGAGCAAGCTCGCTGCATCGCTCTGAGTGCCTGCGATACTCCCTCTAGCCTCAACGGCTGGAACGGCTCATACCACTTTCTTATCGTCGCTGTCTTGTCCTGCTCCGAAGCTCACGTGCTCAGGTTGATTACATCGAGCGTGACTCCCAAGTCCAGACCCTGAACAACACTCCTGCCCTTGAGAAGAATGCCCCCTGGGGTCTTGCTCGTATCTCTCACCGTGACGCCCTTGGCTTTGGGGACTTTAACAAATATCTCTACTCCGAGGACGGCGGCGAAGGTGTTGATGCTTACGTCATCGACACTGGCACCAACATTGACCACGTGGACTTCGAGGGCCGCGCCAGCTGGGGCAAGACAATCCCAGCCGGTGATGAAGACATCGATGGAAATGGACACGGCACACACTGCTCTGGCACAATCGCTGGCAAGAAGTTTGGTGTTGCAAAGAAAGCCAACGTTCATGCCGTCAAGGTGTTGAAGAGCAACGGCTCTGGAACAATGTCCGATGTCGTCAAAGGCGTCGAATGGGCCGCAAATGCTCACTCCGAGTCTGTCAGCGCCGCAAAGAATGGCAAGAAGAAGGGGTTCAAGGGCAGCGTCGCCAATATGAGCTTGGGCGGTGGCAAGTCTAGGATTCTCGACCTCGCCGTCAATGCCGCTGTCGACGCTGGTCTTCACTTCGCTGTCGCTGCCGGAAACGACAACGCTGACTCGTGCAACTACTCTCCTGCTGCTGCTGAGAAAGCCATCACCGTTGGCGCTTCCACTCTGGCTGATGAGCGCGCCTATTTCTCCAACTACGGTACCTGCAACGACATCTTTGCCCCTGGTCTCAACATTCTTTCCACCTGGATCGGAAGCAAGTATGCCACCAACATCATCTCCGGCACCTCGATGGCTTCTCCTCACATCTGCGGTCTTCTGGCGTACTTCTTGTCTCTGCAGCCATCTAACGACTCTGCTTATGCCGTCGCCGCCATCACTCCCAAGCAACTGAAGGCCAACATCATCGCCATCGCCACCGAGGGCGCGCTTTCCAACGTCCCATCTGATACTGCCAACATCCTCGCCTGGAACGGTGGTGGCAAATCTAACTTCTCCGAGATCATCGATGATGGTGGCTATTCCGTCAACATGTTCAACCCTGAGGATTATCTTTCTGAGAAGGCTTCGGAGCTCAAGGCCGACCTGAAGCAGATTGCCACTGAACTCGAGGCTCTTATGGAGAAGTCTTAAGCAGGCTGCTGTGGCATCTGATGGACGCGTCGACTGGCCGTTGATGGAGCCACGGGGTATCCTTCACAAGGTTTGGGTGGAAAGGCTACATCCTAGACAGGTTTAGGCTCGCACGTCGCTGGTGTCGCCGGTACAGCCGCTTTACTGTTCTGACAGGATTCGACCTCCTGTATCCGGGGCGTCTTGGGTCTCTTGTGTTACATACCATACAATCGTATTGCTTATGAAGTCGTTGAGAAATGGTTCTGTGATATCATGGTTTTGTTCGTGGCTGTAGCTGCTGGCTCGAACGACCGAATGCTTGGCTCATGCTACGGATGCTTGTTCGCCTTGGGGACATGCTCTCTCCTCTCTACTGCGTGCTAGTCCTGCCGAGCAACGGCGTCGTCTCCCCATGCGCATCCAGCTTCTTCTGCACCTTCCTTCTCCGTTCTTTCTTCTTGCGGCTATCTTCATCGCCTCCACCGACCTCGACCTCGACCTCCTCCTCATCTTCGACCTCGGCGGCAGGCAGCTTCTTGAACTCGCCGTCCTTGACCCGGCTCACCATCCACGAGCCCCTCTCGGCGGCTTCCTTGAAGAAATCCTGGTTCTCCTCGAAGGTCCGATGGCCAGACTCGGGACAGTACAGGTACGTCCACAGGCCGGCGAAGGCGTTTGTGGCCGCGAAGACCAAGAAGAGGTAGAACTCGAGGTTGTTGAAGCCGATGGGCGTCAGCAGGGTGACGGCGAAGTTGGCGAGCCCCCAAACGATGACGCTGATGGCGGCGCCCTGCGCCCGTGCCGTGGACGGGTAGATTTCCGTGGGGATGAGCCAGGGGGGCACGAGCCAGCCGACGCCGAAGACCGAGGTCGCGAGGTAGAGGACCACGATGCCCGGAACACCCGTGGCGAGGAGCGGGATGGCGAGCGCGCGCCGGTTGTACGCCAGGCCGCCCAGGAGCGTGAGCAGGGCGAAGGAGACGGCGAGCCAGAAGGCGCCGTTGATCATCAGCTTGCGCCGGCCCACGCGGTCGATCAGCACCCACGCCACGGTCATCATGGCCAAATAGAACAGGTAGTTCCCCAGCGTGATGTACTCGGCCGTGGTGACGCCGAAGCCCAGCAATTCGAAAATCTGCGGGCCGTAGACCGACACGGCGCCGTAGCCCGTCAAGGCCTGGTTGACCTGGCCCATGACCGTCACGACCGTGGGGTGGAACTGCGACCCGCCGGGCCAGAGCATGTCGGCGTACGAGGCCATGCCTTCCTCTTCCTCCTTCTTGTGCGCGGACACCAGCTCGGTGATGCGGTCGTCGACTTGATCCGGGCCGAAGACGCGTCGGATGCTGCGCTTGGCCCGCTCGTTGTCGCCGTGCAGGACGCACCATCGCGGCGTCTCGGGCAGGAGGTTGGCCCCCGTGAAGAGCAAGATCGGGTAGATCTGCATGACGATGATGGGCACGCGCCACGCCCACTGGTTCCACTTGCCCAACGTCTGCGTGATGACCACGTTGATGATGAAGGCCATGTTCAGGCCGAAGATGTTGGCCTGGAATTCCTGCGCGAGTGCCGTCCCGCGCGCGTCGTCTTCCTGCAGTTCCGAGCTGTAGACGGGGACCACGGCGTCGATGCCTCCTTGATGGGAAGGAACATGGTCAGCGTTGGTCAATGGGTGGGGGCACTACAATTTGTCCCTTACCGACTCCGAGACCCATGATGATCCTCCCTATCATCATCGTCGCCAACGCGGCATGCTGGGTCGTCGCCTTTCCGAACCCGGCAACGAACATCAGCAGGTTCCCAAGGCTGGCCGTCGCCAGACATGCGAAAATCCCGGGCTTTCGACCTTTTGCGTCGGCAAATCGTGACGCGAGCACTGCTCCGACCGCACAGCCGAGATAGTATACCGACACGATCAGGCCGACGATGGGGGACTCTTCGCCGATGCCCATGGTGTGGAGGTAGTTGTAGTTCGTGTTGATCAGGGACATCATTCCTGGCCGGGAGGGAAAAAATCACAGGTCAGCGACTGAGCTGGGCGGTCGAGGGAGCAACATCCCCTCCTTTCCCATCCCGCTTACCTTGGTCGTAGCCGTACAGAGCGATGGCCGTGGAACTGACCATGACGACCTGGGCCTGCTTGTCCATGATCCTGCGCAGATTGAACCTGCCCATTCTGAGCAATTGGTGGCAGGTCTGCGCCCTACACTACCTGCAGACTATGGACAAGAACAGCGCCCGTGAGGTGGGTGACTGGGTGGTAACGAAGGCACGAAAAATTGCAGAAAGCAATCAAAGTTTTAGACTCCACGCTTCATCCATCATAAGGCAATATCGACAAAAGAACGGAAAAGTGAGGGGTAATTAACGGCTTCTGACAAGCATGATGGCCTTGAGTTGAAGTGTGCAGGCAAGCATTAAATCAAGGTACTGGAGCCGAAAACTTCCAACGGCCAGTAGCTCGTAGCTCGGAGCTCGTACAATTAATTGCTGCAGACCGGTCACGCTGGTGACGATCTGAGAGTCAATAGTGACGTCTTCATGCAGTCGAGGACGCGCTACGAATCACGAATCTCGCCTTCACACAGGCGGGAGGAAAGATGGATCGGCTAAGCTTATGGTGATCCACCGATGCAGGTCATCTGAGAGCAATCCATGTGTCAAGCACACGTGTCTGGAAATGGGCTTTGGCAAATGCGAATTCAGAGATGGCCATGATGCCGATGCCGGTGCTGCATGTCCTTCACATTACTTTCACTAGAGGGGTTCGAATGAATCTCATCTCGCCATCAGGTGAATGTGGAATTACACACTCATCGACCGCGTCCTGCGATGGTCCTGCTCTCGCCGACTTCCACGTTTTGCAATGCGCCTTGGAGAAGCGTGCCCGTGTTCTATGCCGTCATAACGACCAGGTGGCATTGCCAGTTGAGCCCCAAATCCCTCCTTCTCCTCCAAGATATCGACATGTCTTATAACCTCGCTGTCGATCTCGTTTCTGAACATAAACTCTCCGCCCGGTTCTCTCCATCCGTACTTCACCTTCATCTCCCCCAGCTCCTCCGCGATCTCTTCGCCTGTCAACAAGCAACCTCTGTCACCCAGCTTCTCGACAATGGGGCGTAAGAGTCGTGCCGTACTCAGTGAACTGTCATCTCGGATGATGGCAGAGTTCGCCCGGGCAATAACACACACCAAAGCCAATAACTGGAATATTGGAATTAGGCCCAAGATCGCAGCCGACCAGCGCCATTGCACGCTCACGACCTGTGCGGTCACAGGATACCAGCCAGTCACATTGTGCCGCGGTCCATTGTAATCGATCGCTGCCACGGCTTCAATGCTAAATTCCATGACTCGTTCAGCAATCATGCCAGCATCCGCCGGATCGTTCGGGCTCCACCATGAATCGGTGTTGTATCGGACATACTGATACATGTCGCCCATCGTATGATTGAAGCCTGACCAACCTATGGCACCGGCGATGATCTTGGCTTGTCGATCAGGCATCTGAAATGCCGCGGCGGTTTGTCCGTCGTACAGGTACTCATCGATTGCTGAGACGGTCGAAAGGGTGTTGTTGCATTTGAAGAACGATGCCTCAGGGACTGTATTGCCATTGGCGCTTTGCAAGGCCATCACCTCGGTGCAACGTGGTCCACAAGTAGAATTCAAAACGCCGATGTAGGTCATCGCTCCAGGTCCCACGCTTACGACGTCGAGCGTGGTTGGCGTGCCATCCTCGTCGATGTAGGTAACAAAGACACTCGTCCCGTTCCCGCCATCCAACACTTTCAATTTCCTGCAAGTGGCCTTTGCGGTGATATTGCGATGTGAGATCAAGGTCAGGTCAGGATTCCGCACATTTTGGTCTTGGAAGACGTAGGTCATAGTCGTCCATTGGTCGTCACTCCAGATCTTGGGAGTTCCAGGCGTCCCGTAGCTTGGGATATCTCCTTGACCGGGAGGTGTGCCATTGACAAAGAGATAATCCTGCCCCTGTATGCCGAAGAAGTTTGCCGATCCGAGCTGCGCATCGAAAGAAGGATTTTTAGCCCCCCAAATATCGCGGATGACAGATAGATTGGCGATACTAATCATTCCGAACTTCCGTTGAGGCACTGGGGACGTGTTGAGATTGTAGGTCAAGCCGAGTAAGGCCACCAGAACCTGCAGAAGTATGTTGACCCCGAACCACAGAGCACACAGCCATTGTGTCGTGTTCAACCAGAACCACGCTGCTCCGGGCGTCCTTGTCACCCAGAATAAACGCATGACTTTGCGCAGGCTCTCGCAACGCAACAACAAGTCGAATTCATGCAGAGGTCTGTACTTCGACGCCAATATTTTCCACCGCAGCATGAGCGCATATTCCCGCAGTGAACTTGTCAGGTTGTTGCCGAGAAGAATGGACAGCAGCACAATCAGGGCGTTGAATGCCTTGACGTGCGTGACTGTCATCGACAGGAGGTCGCCGAATGCTCCCAGGCATGCAGCCAAGAGGCCACAGAGGCTGGTAGTGATGAACCATTGCCATATGCCCACCGCGAAGAGCCTCTGACGCTGCCGGTCGGGCTTGAATTCCCTAGTTGTTGGCGAGCTTGACGCCGGCCCTTCTCTTGCTACCGAATGCCGCCACGGCTGTCGTAAGCGAGGCGGTTCGAATTGCGGACGGCCGGTGAATGGTGAGGGGAGGACGTTTCGGAATGCCAAAGGATCCTGCGCCGACTCTGCGATGGGTGATAGGGTGGACTTTTCCATTTCAGTCTCTCATGAGGCATTATCGAGTCCCTCGCTTGGGCAGCTTTTGACATGCAGACGTCTCATCGAGGGCGAGTGTGAAGGAAAGTAGTCTTATTGCAGAGCTGCGTGGTCCCGCCATTGGAGTCGAGAGTCGGCATTGCGACGACGAAGGCTTGTTTCTCGAAAGGTTTGAGGAAGCGGATCGCTCGTATTCAGGTGCGGACGGGCCGACTAGTCAGGTCGACGTACCAAACAGCCGCATCGCCATTGACTGTTGAGGTGCGAGTCCAGCTGCGATGTTAGTGGGACCGCTCATGCAAGAATCCAAGACAGTCATGCAAGTGCGCCTGCAGTTTCTCTTTCTAGACCGAGTGGGGCAAGCAAGGTGTAAGCGAGAGAAGACTGACACTATTTGAGTATGGCCAGGTAAGTCGAGAGCCCAGATGCCTGGCAAGAAACATGCTCAGGGCGGCTTTTCTTGATGGTGCAGGCATCGCCTCATCTACAGCTAGGTGCTCGTGCTCTGGCTGCATTATCACAGACTTCAAACTGTTTGCCAGACCCATCTCTTCACTTAATGCTGACTCTCTGCGTTGACAGTAGTGTCCATCAGCTCTACAAACTACCCTCACTTACCCTTCATCTAATCTCTGCTGTTCCCTATTTCCCATCTAGCTGTTGTTGCACTGGTTGAATAACAGAGCAGACTGGGTCACCGCACTTGAGGTCAGGTCGTTGGGCATCTTGATCCTGTCAGTCACCCTTCGACCCACCTGGTCTGGATTCCTTTCCACACCATAAGCGACCTCGAGCCTGACAAGCCTGTCGTTTTTGCCTCATCCAGAAGGATCGTTGTCATGACGGCGTCTTGTACTGCTGGAATTCAATGCCTTGACCATAGCATATCATGGGCTTTGAACGTGCGTCAGGTCCAATTTGGGCCGTAGGAGAATCCACAGTGTGTTCGCTGACTTCATTATGAACATTGTTACAGCGGCGTCAGACCAATATAAAAATCAATCTCAAGACTTACGATGAGCTAATTAGTTCGCAAGTCGTTTCGCACTGGTGGGTTGCCAGTCTCAAGGGCAAAATCATATCTGCGCCGTTGGAACTCATCCCAGGCTTCGTCTTGTGTGCACAGCGGTGTCTGCACGCCATCTCTGGTCCTCTGGTCCACTGCAGAGGGCAAGTGAATAACTGTAGGCCATTCATGGCTGATGATGCAGTCACAGGCCAACGATAAGCCTCCACAACGATCTAAGTCAATGGTGGATTGTAACCGAACTGGAGCAGAGGATCAAAGATGAAGTGATTCCGAAACCCGGCTTGCGACGGAAGCAATGGTGGTATCGACCTTGACTGCTGATCAGATGTTGGACCGAATCCTGTTTCTGCCTCCAACGCGTGCAGCAACCTGGACAGGTCAATCACATGCGGCAGCGATGTCAAGCTCAATGCCACTTTGTCCCTTTCCGCCAGCAAAAATATCAAGACCTTGGCTCCTCGAACGGCGATTGTGCTTGTGTCGTACCGTCTTAGGAACTGGATGCATTTAGTGATACGCTCTTTGTGACTTTTAAACTCTGGATCGGATTCTGAGCGGTGGAATATGTCCAAACACAGCACCATCCCGGCCGCCACGCAAAAGGCCTTGTCGACCCAGATGATTGGACCAGCCCGGTCCTTTGCCAAGTTGGCTTCTTTCAAGATGGCCTTCGCTGCAGCAACGCAAGTCGTCCGAGTCATGGAATAAGCGGGATTGGTGAAACTCTGCCGGATGAAGTTGCGATGTATCATGATCATCTTATGCGCGAAACATATTGTCAGGCTCCGCCTTGCCCAAGGGACCCATTCTGGCCATGATGGATGAGTCGGCTCGACAACATGGAAGTACCGCGGCATGCCCGTGGGCGCCAGCGTTCGCATCTGTGCATCATACGCCAGAACCTGCTCATACTTGGTGTATGGTGTTGTTGATCTGATGGTCGCTTTGTGGTGTCCGACCATGAGCTTTGCGATCTCGAAGAGATAGTTACCATAGCTGATATAGGTCGGAAATGTTGGCGGGATTGGTTCCATGGTCAGATGATCTCGACTCGAGGGCTTCGTGGATGAGAAATCGAGCTTCAATCTTCTCAAGCGCAGGAGCATGGTCAAGCCTGTCGAGCCCCAGGCTCTGTGCGATCTTCAACGCCGCACCAAGCAGTACAGAGAGTTCACTGGATCTACCCAAAGGATGCGCAGACATGGTCAACGTGGTGATGGCATGGACTCAGTATATGAAATGGTTCTTGGTCCATTCAGCCTGATTGAGGCAAAAGATGGCCGCTTTGTACCATTTCATCGATAGCTTCACAACTTCCGACTTCGCGAATCCCCGTTGTTCGAGCCTTCGGCCCGTCGTGCATGTTAGACTACCTGCCATGATGGAGAAGAGAAGCGCCAGCCATTGGAGGTCGACTTGACTGATATCGAGCGTGTCATCCCCATGCTGGCTGGGGAGAATGCTTTACAGCTCCGACCGGAAAGTTGGGCCACGATAGCAACCATGGTACCAAAGAAGATACACCTCATGGCAATCGATCAGCTTTCAAACAGAGGTAATACCGGGCAGGAGCATCTGCAAGAATGCTTCAGGGCCAGCAGGATTGAGGTTGAAGCCAAAGCCATGACTATTCGCGATCCTTGAGTTTCGGAGTCGAGGTGCTAGGAACGGCTTGAAGGAATAATCTAGTCGCTTTGCATTGGATCCAAAAGTTTCCCCAGTATCGAGATCCACGAGAACCTCGTGACTGGAAAGGGCGGGTGGCTTCTTTGGATATGCCCGATGAATTCGAGTGTCGTACTTGCCATCGGGCCAGGTCAGCGTACACTTCTCGGACACCACTCGCTTGACACACCGTCCGCAAGGGATGTTGCGATCACATTTCTGTCGATGGAGACTGCACTCGGTGCAAGTGGATCTCGGCCGCTTCGTGGGCATATATCTCGAGTGTGGAAACTGCAGATACGGAATGCGCTGTACATAGTACGCCGTGAGAGATTGACAAGGTCGGTACGAAATCTTCCGTTCCTCGAAATGGCATCGGCGAAGAAACTTTGGCGAGACGCGATGCTCTAGGGGCGGCATGGGCCTCAGGCGGAACTTGGCGGGCTTTAGTGGGCTTGATAGCCACCAGCCCAGTGGGTCGCTTCGTACGACAGCAGCACTCAGTCATGTTGCGCGCTAACTTAGGTAGTACTGTAACGGAATCCACTGAGGGCCAGCCTCAACGAACTCTCTCGATGTGGCTGTTCATGACTAACGCTCAGTATGCTCAAGTCACCAGTTCGCCTGATAGCAGGTCGCACGCTTCATCCCAGAAAGCATGACAGGTACCAGTAAGCTCATACTCGAAGGGCAAGAACTTGAGTGAAAGGGACTTGACTTGCAGCCAAGAGTCTTTGGTCACCGGCAGGGATGCCTCTCCTAGCAACTCGGCGAAATCTCGAAGTCGAGGGGTCTGATGCGCCGCGAGCCCACCCATCACTGTTGCCCATATGAGAAAATCAGGATGAGTTTGCCAGCATTGTTGGAGACCGCACTCTTTCAACGTCCGGAGGAGAAGTGCTGTGGCTGTGTCCTGGAAACCGCCAACCACTGGCAACGTCCACCCGAGTTCAGCAAGGAAGATAATGGCAGCAAGCCGTGCAGCCTCAAACAGACACTCAGCCCTGTGATCCAGGAGTAGGGCTGCATGCTGTAAAGAGCGGCGGGTGTGAACCGCCACCATCAAATCCGGAGCTTGTCGAGGATTGCGGAGAAAGAGCGAGTATGTTTCCAGGAGTATTCGAGTTTGGAAAATGATGCGGCGCAGCCGGAACCCATCCTCGTAGTTGTCCAGAAACTGGAATCCATCTTCTTGTTTACCGAACCGGGTCCACGTAACATCATCCCATGTTTCCTGCAGTACTGCCGAGAGCGCTGAGGCCGAAAACAGAGGTTCGAACCGTGGTTTGTTCAGACACATGAGACTCTGGAATGTGTCGATCATCGATATGATGTTACTCAAGCCGTGGATCCCGAGCTTTTTCAAGCCTCCCCTTTGACCAACAAGCGTTCGCAATGCGCGCAAATGGGTTTGGTCAAACTTCACATTTGAGTAAAACTCGTTATCTCTGTACAAAGGCGCCGTGAACCGCGGAGGCTTCAACGGCTGCACAGAACCATGAATGGCCAGGAGCGCTATAGTCATCAGCATTTCGTCTGTAGGGTTTCCGTCCGCCTGTTGTACTGCTTCTCGAAGATGAGCCAGCGCTTGCTGTTTGGCTTGTAGCTGGAGCAAATTGTCGCCCGGCACGGCGTCCTTGAAGTATGATCGGTAACACGCGCCAGCATAAATGATGGCGAAGAGTGTGTGCGGCGACGACGTCGAGGTAGTGAACGCGGCTCGACGCACCTCCATGACGGTATGCTCGTTTGTACCTAGGGCAAATGCGGGCCACTGATGGATTAAGGCTGCAAGCCTGAATCAGTGACGGCTCCATAGGCGGCCGTTGTCCATACCGTCATGAAGCACGCTCTGGAGCTCTTTTGAGAGCTTTACGTCGCCGCGAATGCGAAAAGAGTCGAAGAGATTGGTGCCAAGCAAGGTGATAGGAGAAGGGAACCTTTCGAGGTCATGTCTGAGGTGACTGCTTGTCGCCGGACTAGCACTCCGCGTGAGGCTCCATGATGCATCGGTGCCCAAGTCTGATAGCCGTGCTGGCGAGTTTGAGGGTGTGACGCCTGTTTGAGAGTTAGCCTTGTCGCCCAGCGTTCTCTTGTGCTCTCTTTGTCTCCTGTGGCCGGCCAAAGCTGTGTGTTGATGTCGCAATGACGACTGGAGCCGTTCCTCGGATCGATTCTTCTTGCTCTTGCCACTCCATGGCAAGAATGTCAGCTTTACCGTCTGTTCCAACACCATCGAGCAGGAATCCAGTACAAGACGATAAGAGAGAACGGGAGGGCGCGTGCTGCAACAGATCAGGCCCGGGAAAATAACGCGCCAAGCGAATCGGTTAAGCTCCTCGTGCTTCGGCTGGTGGGCGGCCGGCGTTGCTTGCTACAGTTGTAACGTTCAGTAGAGAGGAGATAACAATAGACGCAATTGGCACAGCACACAGAACAGTGTCTGGAATTAATCTCGTGGCTGCTGGTGGCTAGTCTACAGACAGCAGCGTTTACTTCCCCGGTCGCAAAGACCAGCCTTTACAAGATACCAATGCAGATGTCACCTTTGATTTCCGCAGTAATACGAATGTCCGCCTTCAACGCCAACCTCACATGCACCTTCAAGCTTCCTCCCATGTTCTCGATGTCCTTCTTCGAGAAACCCTCGGGTATGTAATCCGGGGTGCTGTTCGAGCTGGTTGCTGGTGCCTCCTTGGAAGACTTTTCGAGTTCGCCCTGATTGCGACCCCCTGGGGCATGGTCAAAGGTGGCATCACCGGTCTCGTCCCTGCGGGCATGACATCAGAAAGTCACCAGGAAACGTCCAATCGACACTATAACATACTTGTATTGGGTGTCGTCCGCCATGGTCTCTCGCGGCAATCTGCCTAGATTGTCTGGTTGAGGGTCTGGCTCGGAATGCCGACTTTTTGTGCCAAGTGGGAGTATCAATGCGATATCTCGTCCGATGAGCCTTCCCACTACTTCTCGAGCCGGCCGAGATGTCTCAGATACGGGATAATTCAGTGTTGACGTGGACCTTCTGGCCAAGGCTGACTCGATCGTTACTACCGCAAAAGAAATCTAGAGCGATCAAGTAGACAAGGTACGAGTGATGTATCTGTCCCGGGGTTACTTGCTCTCTTTACCTTTAGAAGGTACGAGTAGCGTCATCGTTAGGTTCCGGTCTTTGTATTTTAGTCAATTAGCAATATCATGCCACTCACGTCAACAGGCTGCGAGGCACCCCTTCAATTGACCATCCATGCAGGAACCCAGTTTGCATTCGCCTAGCTTTCACCTAGCGTTCACGTATCCGGTGCTGACTGCAGTTCAGAGTTGGAAATTGTGGGCTAGCATTGCGTCACCGAGATAGAAGGCGCGACAGTTGTGGTGTGATTGGATGCTGCCCCGCGTGCCCCGCAGTACGCCGCATCTCGGTCCGTCGTACCGGAGATGTGATCCCGAAACCTTTAAACCTTGGCCAACTTTTCGAGGCCAGCTCGACTCTGGTTCTGTGCTGGGTTAATTATGGGTAGGACAAGACAACAACAGAGCAGTCAAATCTAGTAAACACAGAACGCGAGTAATTCTTCTGAAGGCAATGTTGGACCTCGACACCGAACTCCGGGGCTTGATGTGAATAATTGACATACACTTTATCGGTTCCCCGAGCGAGCCGCTCCAGCTCAAGTCGCAATACCACACCAGTCGAGCCCTTACTTGAGTGTTTCCCTTTGCTGGTGATGGCGCTCTCTTTGATCACTCTTGCGGCCACCGTGCCTCTACTTGCAACAAGTACAATTCAGCTGCAAGAACAATCACAAACCAAACAAGAAGAGGCCGAGCTCAAGCTGAAGACGGAGAAATGCCACCTCAACGGGCGAGCGACAAAGAGAATGACTGCCAAGCGACAAGAACAATTCAGAGACATGAGGGTCGTCCTGCAAGACGGGTATCTGCTGCTGGATCCGAGAGCCGCAAGTCGGAAGCATCCGTTCACCGGTTATCTTCTGCCATTTCCAGGAAAATCGTACGACGGTCTGGTCAGCACGATCGATGCTGACAATATGCTCAATTGGATCTTCATCAACAAGGACAGCTATCGATTGCAGTATGGGGTCCGTGCTGAAGCTCAGTCTCAATGGACTGGTCCAATGAAACTGGTTGGCGACCAGAATGAGTGGCGGGTGGCCTTCGATGGTTGGGAGGGATTTGTGGCGGTCCAAGAGGGCGAGGAATGCTGGGCCCTGTATTTTGACAAAGATGACAATGGTTTGGCAGACAAGGTGAAGGGCCAGGCTGTCGTTGAGATTGAGTTAATCCGGAGTGTACTTGATGAGAATAGCAAAGGGAGTGACGCCGATTGAAAGGGGTTCCGCCATGGAGGTGGCTCTCAGCACACAGTACTCCGTACTCCGTACCTAGGTACTCTGGGGAAGCGGAGCTGCCTAACCGGAACTTCGGCTGAGCTGCCGATCTGCCACCTCGCCTCTTCGCCTCTTTCGGAGACAGGTCGAGGACGTACTCCCATGTGTCCAGCCTTACTGTATCAGCTCGCCCACGTCCTTCCTTCCACACGATCACGCAACACAATCTCCAAAGATATGCCCACAGGCCTCGTCGCGGATCTTCTTCTATCTGCATCTACGATAACCGGCATCCCGCGGGAAAGCCAAAGGAGGGTAGACTGAGCACAGCGAAGGTGATCCGAGTCGAACGGCATCGCAGATGATCTTGCATCATCGGGGCTGGGGCTGAGGATGAGTTTTCTTCGCCGTGCAAATCTCCTCTGCTACATCAACTCCATTACGCGTTTTTTCAGCCTGATCACAAAAGTTCCCGTCAGCTCTCCGCCCTCCAACCGCATATCTGGTTCGCGGGCGTCGCGGCAAGGCAGATATGATGGCCGAACGAGCGAATTGATGTTTCGACGCTCCTCCAAGTTCCTTGTTCAATGGCCTTTCCTCAAGAATTCCGACGAGGCCTCCTACCGGGCTGCGGCTAGCCAGTGCATGTGGCTTGCATCCACAGCACATCTCATTGGATCACTCGTGAAGTTGCCCTGCAGATTGTCGCCTATTTGCAGACTCTTCCCGATTGAGATACATTTCACCCTCCATCATGGATCTGGGCCTGAACGGTCCAGTCCTTTGCTCAGTCGTCCTTCAGCCTCAAAACCCCTCCTTTCCGTCACGATGGAACTGATCCATCTCCTCTTCGGCCATTGCGTGTATGAGTCCCAGAGCTCTTTGACGTCTCATAGAGTTGATCAGACTTTCCTGCAAACATGGATGGGCCACGTTTCGCAAGGCCAGAATTACGGCCCGGCCCAGCTTCCTACCCGTCAACTTCATCACTGGGCCGGCCGCCTGGTTCGCAAGTCGGCAGCTCGTCGGATGTTCCCTTCTTGCACAGCCGTAGCGATCTAAGTGCGCCAGAACCTGTGTTTCCGTCCCATCAAGGCTTGACGGAAGACGGCTCGGACTTAACCAGGCATTGCTCAGGTCAGTGTGCTGCTCGGAACCAGATAAAGACTAATTCGAACCTCCCACAGGCCGATTGACAGCCTTCTCCGACACCAGTGATGAGCGTCTCGCCAAATTAAGCTTCTGGCCCCCAATACTGAAATGGTACGCGACGGTTTTCCTCACAGCCTTGTATCTTGGAACAGCCGGCGCAATCGTGGCACTCTGGCTCGCTGCGGGAACCAACGGACAATACCACTTGTCGAGCGAGAACGTACGCATGATATCACGCTACTTTCCATCCGCCCTAGGCACTCTCAATGTTATCCTCTTCCGTCACCTGGTTCGCGAATTCATCAGAATGAAGCCATTCATTGCAATGGCAGACCAGCCGGGGAAGCCTAGTCCTGGACAACGCCCAAGCAAAAGCGTCAGCGGGGCTTTCTTCCCATGGCAGGATTTTTCCGTTACGCGGGGACTGACGTCGACCGTATCACTATTATGCCAGTTCATGGTCGGTTTCATTGTCAGCTTAAAGGTTGCGCTGCTTGCGAGCGGCCCGGCCCAAGATGGTGGACCCGGCTGGACTCTGACAATCCGAGTATGGCCGGCGTTTTTTCTGATCATTGGCCATATCGTTATGACCGCCTATGTGCTCTGGGTCGCGTACCTGAACGCCGGAAAGTCCACCGGCCTCAGATGGGATCCCATTACGATCGCTGACTACTGCGCTCTGTTTGCCGCTTGTAATGTTGCAGGATACTTCTCGGCACTTGAGTTACTCCATAACCGCAGTGCCAAACACGTGTTATCGACGAATCATCTGTTTCGACTGGGCTACTGGAAGAGAGAAACGCCCGGATCGGCCGAGAGTATAGTGTATGGCATCGGCACAACTTACAGCGCCGCAGGTACAGTTTGCGAAGTTCTCCCCGGCCACACATACTTACAACTTTACAGAGCGTGCGTTGGATATTTATAAGCCCAGCTTGTACGAACAGATGATGGGATATAACAAGGCTCCCAGCCCAGTCGACGACTGTGGGAACTACCGAAACACCAATTTACCTGCACCATGCAGTCAGGGTTCGTGGCCAAGCTGTGAACACTATCCCTACCGCCACAGTCCTGGTTGCGGAAAGGGTTGGATTGTGTTTGCATGGCTCTTGGTCGTGGCGGCTCTTGGTCTCGCGATTTTTGGTCTTATCAATGGCGTCGTGTTCCAGGGATTCCCTCTGCCCAAGGACTGGAGCCTTCCCTCGAACATGTCAGTCAGTGCCGGGCACCACACGATCAAGCTGCCACCCATCGACCCCACGGACCCGGAGTCGCAGCTTGTTGCGTATGCCTTGGTCTTCCGCTCAGCGCCAGTGTACGTGGCGGGGCTGTTCACTGGTACCATCGTCGAATGGGTCGATTTGAACATGCGCTTCATGCAACCATTCATCAACATGTTTGGTCAAGCCGGCAATGCCGCCGACACTGTCTTACTGGCATACATCACCACGTCGCCGCTTCAAGTCCCCATAACAGCGATCGACAAAGGTCATTATCGGGTCGCCGCATTCTCGACCCTGAATACTCTTTCACCGCTCTTCCCGATCTTTATCGGTGGCCTCTTGACGTTGACCGACGAACGTGAGACCAACACGGTGATGTTCAACTTTTCGCTGTCGGCATATATTGGCATCATGGTCTTCCTGTCTGCTTGGTTCATTGCGATGCCTTTCGCGTATCCCGTCCAGAAGCGACTCCTTCCGCGTCAATTCTACAGCATGGCTGATTTGATGGCCATGTGCCACAAGTCTACCTTCCTCCAACGGCGCTATCTCGACTTTGCAGACCAAAGGCGCACGCCCTCCAAGGACGTCATGGAGGCTCGCATCCTCCTTTCAGGCGACAGGTTCATGTTTGGTCACTACACGGACGATGAGGACAAGAAACATATCGGCTTCGACATACACAGCACCATCAATTTCGACACGGGCCGCATCGAAGACACCCGCCTTGTCGAGGCTGTCACGCCCGAAGGGAAGATGAAGGTGATCAGAAGTCAAGCGGCCCGTAGAGTGACGACGTGGTTTGGTGACGCCTCTGGAAGCCAAACAAGCAGCAAGGGTTTCATCGCTTGGCTCCGTCGGATGCGCAAACAACGCAAAGCCCAGGCGGAAACCGAGATGAGGGCCATGCGACCGGTGGCTAGTTCGACGGGATCCCGCCTAGAAGAGCAACGGGACGTTCGGCAGCGGGCGCCAGTCGCTCTGGCCTCGCTCGGTGGGACGGCTACTTGAACTTGGTAGACTTTGTAATGGAGGAAGACTGCTTGGGAGCGTTGACTGGGGATGGGTTGGGTTGGATTTTGTGAATGCATCGTGAAATGGCGGGGCGAACAAATAGCAGGTCGCAGATTTGCACAGACCAATGCATCAGTAACAAGCGATGGCCATCCAGGTACTAAACATGAGGGATAATTAGCGACGGCCCAGATTGATGCTACGGAGGGCCAAAAATTGCACACACCTGGTCATCAGCCCGAAATCTCACCAGTGACCAATCGGTATGGAGTTGTTTCCTTCTTGATCTGAAATCGTGGATGAAATCGCGCTTGTCGGTGTCACTCGCGGGGCTGAATCAAGGAACAGTAAGACAGGCTACGGAGTACCTGGTACTCTACTCCGAACCTTCGCCCCGTTCATTCTGCGCTGGACGTGAATAGCGTGACCTACTTACTTACGGCAATCCACAGGAGTACAACTATGATGCCATGGCCCGCTACGAGATCATCGTGGGCAAGCGAAAACCTCCACTCTCTTGTATTTACAGCGGCTCCTACTGTGTACAGCCACTCATTACGGACGAGTCCACCACGCTCATTTCTTGACATTTCACACAATGCCCTTGAGGCGACACAGATAGCGGCCCCTCGCGACTCGTCCGCCAGTAGCCCTCGGTGATGGACCGCTTCGGGCTGGGAAAGTACTCGCGTCTCAGCTTCAGCAGCCTCAAGACAAGGCGGGACAACAGCGAGATCGAGTTGATCAGCTCTCCCGACCCGCAAGCATTCTCCCACCGCGACCCCTCTCCGAACGCGCCATTTATCGTCCCGTCGGAAATCATACAGTCTGAAGAGAAGGGACAGATTTTGGACACGCATTGGGACCCTTTCTTCTTGAGGACTTGGGTTTTGGTTGTATTTGCTATATTCTTCGCTGCGGTCATTGCTGCGCTGCAAGTGATCTACAGCTTCTCGCAGAGCAATCATGGAATCGCGACGAGCAGTGACGAGAATCACTACCTATGGACGTATGGCCCGACGGCTGTCTTTGTGGTTGTGACGGTCCTCTGGCGCCAGGTCGACTATGCCGCCAAATCCATCCAGCCATGGGCGAATATGGCGACGGGACCGCAGCCCGCTAAGAACAGTCTTCTCCTGGATTATGTTACTCCGCTTCAGATCTTGTCATTTTGGAGGTCACTGAAGAGGCGCCATTTCGCCGTCTCTATTGGCATCGGCGTTTTCGTTCTGATCAAGGTCATCACGGTGCTTAGCACCGGCATATTCAGCTTGCAATCTGTCCAAAGGACCGACGTGCCGACGTTGATGGCACTGAACAACACCTTTGATGGCTCAAGCTTTCAGCATGCCGCGGCCGTGGATTCGAGAGCCGCTTTTGTGGCATATGGTCACAGGCAGTACAATATCAGTCTGCCGAGTGGCAGCACGGATCAATACACTGTCCAGGGGTTCGCTCCAAGCGACGGGATTGTCAACGGCAGCTTGACATACTCTGCACCCGTTGATGTGTTCAGCGCCAGTCTTTCTTCGTGCGAGACCGGCAAGATCAACTACACTACATCTTTTGATCGAGGCAGTAACACCCCGGTGGCCGCTTACTACAACAGTACTGTGAGTCTTCCTGACTGTCAGATCGTTGGCGCATATCTCGATGCTCCGGATTGGTATTACCTACAAAACGACACCGATCATCGCTTTGGCTACCGAGCATCTTTTCAGAATGTGACCTGTGCCAATCTCCCGCCGAATGACCCTACCAGATTTCGCTACATGATTGCAGCAGCCTATTCGGAGGGCGCAGGGCAAAACGACAACACACTGCTCAATTCTTCCAATATTGTTTGTATTCCTTCCTATATGGTGCAGTCAGCCATGGTCACACTCGATACCCGAGGCAATGTGCAGTCTGTCAATGTAACCGGAAAACCTCGTACAATCAACGGAGTCAGCGCCGTCGATATTGCTGATGGCGTTCTATCAACTAGCCAACAGGCATCTTCAATCTCCGATTTTTCATCTTCCGACATTACACTAGATGTCTTCACGACCATGATGCAGCAGGAGACGGACGACTTCAGTGCAAAAGATCTTCTTGATCCGACTTACTTGAACAGCACCGGAAATCTGGTCTACGGGAAGATTGCAGCGCAACTCGCAAACTTGTATCTGCTTGCGGAGAGCACGGAGGATCCACGGGCGGTCGTCGAAGGCACGGTCTCAAAAGATGAGAGCCGACTGATTGCTAGACAAACGCCAATCAGAATCATGCAAGCTGTCGCTGCGGTAATGCTCTTGCTGGTTGTGATCATGTTGTTTATCCGCCCGCGAGGGGTTGTGCCAAGGAGTGTCGATTCGATTGCAGCTGTGGCAGCAATTCTTGCTCGAAGCCCAGAGCTGGAGGCTCGTCTTCGGGGCTCTGGACACAAGAGCTTGGATGAGCTCGGTGAAATCCTCGCTCCACACAAGTACCAGACCTGCACCGGGTATGAGGATGGAGCCCGGAGTTTCTCGATTCGCATCTCCAGCAGAACTGGAACCGAGCTGGCCAAAGTCTCAAACCAGGACGACTCAGTTCTTGGCAACGTCAAATGGATTAAGCCGTTCATACTACGCCGGATCGGCATCTCGCTCACGATCCTGGCATCGCTCGCCGCCATCGTTGCCCTTGAAGTACTCCTGTCGCAGTCCGAAAAGCACAATGGCCTTGGCAGTGTAGACGAGGGCAGTGCGACCAGGTACTCGTGGCTTTATGTGCCGGTCTTCGTCTTCCTCCTGTTGGCCACATTGTTCAACATTATGGACTTCGAAGTCGAATTTACCGAGTCGTTCCACGCTCTAGCGAAAGCGGAATGCGACGCGAGATCCTCCATGCTCTGGTATCCATTACGACACATGTCATTACACGCCACCTATAGTGGCCTGAAACACAGCAGATTTGCCTTGACCGCGGCGTCAGCCTCCGCTATTCTAGCACCTCTCCTGACCATTGTGGTGTCAGGACTCTACACCACCAAGCCTACAATCCAAGGGATACCGGTGGGAGTCAACGCATTGGACTGGTTCAACACCACCACCTTGGCGGACGTTTCCACGAACATCCCCCTCCTCGTCATCGAAGGGAACATGTCGTATCCTCAATGGACCTTTTCGGAGCTAGCGATTCCCAGACTGAATCTTGTTGGTGCCAACGCGAATCAGCTGCTTGTCCAGGGTGGCTCTCTCTCTGTCGATACGCCTGCAATCCGAGGAGGTGTCAAGTGCAATGTGGTTCCTCAGGACCGCATCATCAACAACACCCTGATGGCTGGGTACATCAGCTCGAACATCAGTACGCCTGATGGTTGTGGGAACTCGGCATTTGGAGACGGACCGAATCTTTGGCTCAGTACCAGCGTCCAAGTACCTGTCAATGCCTCGGGCTACTTTGGTTCTTCACTGGTACTTGGCTTCCTCGACACTTGTCCCACGCTTGCATTGTACTACGGTCATGTGGCCAACAACGACATTGAGAACTTCACTGCGCTACTGTGCACGCAGTACTTGGAGCGAGTGCAGGCCAACGTGACCTTTGATATCCCGGGCTACTCCATCTCCACTGAACCGATGGCGTATGAAAACTCGACCGCCAACTTCTCCAGTTTCCACACCGGGTTCTCGACGCTGCAGGTCTTGAACGTGACATCCGCTGATGATGAGCTGGACGACACTTTCAATGCTATGGTGTATGGCAAGGACGGCGTTCCGACAAACGAGCTCCTGAACGACACCACCCTGATCGACTCATACACGCACTTGTATCGACAGTACATGGCACAGGTCGTCAACATCTACCTTCGAGCGGATTTTTCGACCTTGTCGAACAACGCATCTGAAACAGTCGTCAATCCGTTGCAGGCGAACTACACGAATCCACAGCATTACAGGCTCAAGCAATCGCCACTGTCAACTCATTTGCTGGTAGGCGTTGTTGCAGCGTTGTTGATTTGTGCATTAGTCGTCTTCATCACGATTGATATGCGCAATGTCTTACCGAAGCCTATCGGAAGCATTGCCGCGGTGGCAAGCTTGCTAGCGGGCTCCCGCATCGTCGACCCAAGATCTGGCCTGGTTCCTCCGGGATCCGAGTACTGGTCAGATGAGGAGTGGGAGAAGAGTGGTGTGTGGCAAAGTGAGATGTTCCGAATGGGATGGTGGGACAAATTCCAGGAGCCGGCCGACACGTGGACCAGCGAAGCCAGCCAGACAAAGACGTCGTCGAGAAGTCATGTGAATCAGTTGCATTCATCTACCGACGGGGAGAGGATTGAACTGCCCGCATCTTTCAGGATCGATGCCCGGCCCAAATAATGACAGAGATGAGTATGTGTGAATAGATGGTGTAGATACTGTGTACATTAGGGATTTGAGATTGTTCTGACCAACGTGCCCATCTCGCGTAGGGAATACCAAGCCTCCCTACGCAGTATGGTCCTCTGTCCGTATCTGTCCTACAGTATTTCTGACCGTGGTCAAGGAGTCAAGGTTCTCAGAAGAAGAGTTTGACCGCATTCAAGGACAGATGATTGGCGGAATGTGACGCGCGCCTGGCTCGAACTACGACCACTGTGAACGACTTGCCCAGTAGGTGCAATAAGCAAGGACTATGCGTACGTGCAGTAAGTAAGGAATATATGTATACACAGTAGGTAAGGACGACTGTATGCTTACCTGGGTACGGTTCATGAAACGCCAGCCAGCCAGCCAGCCAGCCAGCCCTAGATGAAGCTGTGACTGTGCAAAGGACGCTCGGTCCCACTCCCTTACCAACACCCTTTCTTCTGGAACCTAGGGTACCTATTCATGATACTCAGTACCGGATTACATCCGGGAAGCGTCTGCTCATCCTTGGAACACGCCCTGTGGAATATACAGTAATACATGGCATATGTATGACATATGGAGTACGCATTGATACTTTCAACACGTCTCTTGCACTCCTGTATGGTGAGCTCACGGGAATGACTCCATGATTGAAGTCAGCTCACAGTCCATCCGGCCAGACTGTGTCGGTTGACGAAGACGAAGACGGAGACGAAGACAACGATAAGGCAGCCACACACCACTATATAGGTCAGGTCAAGTCAGGTCAAGTCAGGTTATACATGGATGTGATTTTTGGCCACCCGCCCGTGCTGTCTGCGTCGGAATGAGGGAATCTCATGGAACTGTCACGTAAAGCATGTACCTCTCTACCGTTCCCGTACAGAGTATGTTGTTTGACTTGCGGCGTGAAATACGAAACGGGAGTCGATCCAGAGTCTTGCTAAGCACTGGGGTGATTTGGTCCTTGGATCTTGCGTTTCTCATGGTCGCTGCTGTCCTGACCGGCTGCCGTTTCTTAGTCTGGAGGGATTGCATAGCTAGCGAAAGCACGTTCCGCCTGACACCTGTGAATTAGTGGTACTGTAAGCTGTAGATCGAATGGAAGGGTACTCCGTAGAAACCATCTGCATGCTTCCTTACTGACCTTGGAGGGTTAACCGGAAAGCGAGCTCCGTAGTGGTTTTCACAACCTATCAGATATCCTTCAATGCATGTACAGGAGTGGACGACTTGACTTGACGAATCCTCGCATCACTTCCAGCCCAAAGACTATACTTGAGGCGTCACGGTCGTACTCCAGGCCTCGAACTCAAACTGTCACACCCGCGCTCGCATTGCCAGCCAAGCACATCGAAAAATACAATGCCGGGGATTGGTCGAGATAGGGGACCATACCACACCGGCGTGTTTCTACCACTAGCTCCGCATTTACGTTGTCCTTCTTGCTGCCAAGGGCTCAGTGCTCCAACCTTGGAACACGCTGAAATCACCTTGCTGGGTGCGGGGATTTGGTGGACGATATCATATGTCAAGGGAGTGGTCGTCTTCGTTGGCGATTGAGCGCCGTCAGTAGTAGCTTCGCAAGCAGGACTCACCACTCACGTCATTTCTGAAAAGTTGAGACTGGGAGTTCACCAGTATCCTCGGTAGCAGCCTGTTAGAAATTGGCTCCGACCATGCTCTGGACGCCAACGTGCGCTGCTGGTAAACTTTGAGCGATGCACTTCGGATTAGCAAACGACAAGAGGGGTCGGGTTTGTCCATCGAATTCGGCTTCGCTCACTTGAGCACGACATGACATTTTTGTCGATATCTGTAGCGCATTCCGCAAAACAATACTTGTTGCCAAGGGCATGGATAATGCGTGGCGCTCAGAAATAGACTTGGCCCGAAGTATGTACCATCGAATGTGCACGGCTGCAGTCTGTGTCTCTAGATTCGATACTAGAGGCATTAGACATTCCAGTGCATCGCAGTGCCATCACCGTGGCGCATCGTGGCCGCACGCTAGATCCCGAAGTATTTTCCATCAAGGACTTGAAGGAGAAAGCATTGCAGAAACTCACCAAGATGTATCGAGGTAACTTTAGGACTTGGTCATTGCCGGACGCCAGACTAGCGGTCCGCTGAGAGTATTTCGACGAGGGCGCCATGGACATGATAACGTGAGTCCACGGTCGAGGTCGAACCGCACCCTGGATGTCAAGCCACCAACAAAAGACATTCAGCAGCCTTCGCAAGAATGAGGCTGCCTTTGACAGATATCGTAACTGGGCTCGAATCGTCCGCAACATATCTGCTGTGGACACTACCACGACGACATGGGGAAGTAAGGTACTGTTCCCATTTGGATTCTCGCCTGCAGCGATGCGTCGACTGGCCCACCCGTGGAGAAGTCGGCACGTCAAAGGCTTGTGCGGCGTTGAATATCGTCATGGGTCTCAGCGCGTACTCCAATGACTCGGTGGAAGATGTCATAAAGCAGACTGAGGGAATGACGAATCCATATGCCATGCAGCTCAGTCTGTTGAAGAGTCAACGTCTGACAGGGGCGGTTGCCGCAAAGCGCCAAGAGTGAGCAAGTTCCCTTGGACTGACCGGCCTATACGAAATTTCCAAGTCTGAGCGTTGTGTTGCATCTTATTGATCACAATTCCAAGAGGTTGGGTATAATGCCCATTCTGCTACCAGTAGACGCTCCATTGCCGGGCGGCGTCTGAATAGATTCCGGAACGCATCCTGCATGCCCAAGGGCACCACGTATCCAAACATCGGCCCTGGAGTAGATATGAGCAGTTTGGAGGGAGGGGATAACGAACTGGCATACAGTATGATCCATCACGTTTCGTATGGTTGAGACCGTGAGCGATGCTCTCGAAGTTGCAGATCGAGTGGTAGGAAATGGAGTGGGTTGGGGACCGGCAATCACCTCGTCAAGAGCCACGCGAATCTGGAACCCTGGATCAGAGGACGTGAGTCAGTTCCTCTGAATAACAGAGCCATGGCATTGACAATCCCCCAGTACACAGCCGAAGATGTCGTGACGGCCATCCAATATGGTCTGGACGGCGGCGAGATTTCTAAGCATGGCGGCAGGCAGCCTGACAGCGTCCCGGCGACCTTGACGCTCTACGAGTGTGTTCCCGTGGCGAAGGGAGAGGTCAAAATTGCCATTGATGGGGCCATCCGCCGTGGAATCGACGTCTTCAAGCCCCTCGCGTTTGGTGCCGAATCTTGCTTTGCTGGGTGGATTCTACTCTGGGGGTCTGGCTGTAAGTTTGCGGGCTGCTGAGAGACTCCCTGTGCTGAACGGACGGGATATCGAGTACAACGGCGACAAGGGTGTCGGACTCGCCCTACAGCTTCTGTAAGACGAATTCAGGGTGAGCATGAGACTCGCTGGGAACGTTGCACTGCTGAAGCATCTCCTAAGTAACACCCGCTCATGGCCAGTGAAGGTGCAAAAGCATTGCCGAGATCAATCGTGGACATCTGTCAATCCTGCAGAGTAATGGTGTTCCTGCAAGCCCTGATGGAGGTTACCAGGTAGTCAGTGCGAGGCGAGTGTGACGGCCATGGTAGTAGCAGTTGGGCATGTTAGATCTAATTACGGCTTGTTTGAATCAACTGCAAAGTCATAAGTCTCAGAGAAAATGTCCGGAAGCGACGTTATACATAAGTACTGTAACAGCGGAGCTGCGACGGTTGTGACAATTGTGGCGTCTTCACGCTCCACCCCGTCCAGGGTCTCCGTCTCCGTCTCCGTGTCCTTCTGCGCTTCTTGTGTACCACGCCTCCTTCAGTCGTTCCGGTGGGCGAAGCACTCTGGCACTCTTCCGATCATCAGCCTGCACCCTACGACCTCAGTATTGACCAGCCGCTCATTTGACTTCTTCACGTGGAAATGTCTTCATAACATTCTGTCTTGCCCGCCGCTACCATGGACTCCTCCTCGTCGCCCAGTCCACCGCCGCAAGGGCAGCCTCCACTGGAGAGAGACCATGTCAACCTGCGCGTCACGTACCTCGTTACAGGAAACCCACGGCCTCCTCATTCCCTGGGAAGTGTGCATCTGAATACCACCATCGCTGAGTTGAGGACGAAGATCCAGTCCGAGCTGCCAGAGCATCCTGCCCCTACTGAGCAAAGGCTCATCTACCAGGGCCGCCCTCTGCTTAGAAACGAAGTCACCCTGCGGGATGTGCTGAGAATCGAGGTACGTTTCATCCGGCTACATCCCCGGTCTGTCGGGTCTAACTGTTTCTCTAGCCTGGACAAGAAGCTGGTCCGCTTCCGTTTACCATCCACATCGTAATACAAAGCCCTCAGCCTGCTCCTCAACCACCTCCTCCGGCGCCTCTTCCTGCGATGCATCCAAATCAACACCAGCATCCACATGCAGATGTTACCAACCCTTTTCGAGCGGCCGAGCACTCCGCAAACAGACTGCAAGAGTCGCTTGTCCGGATCCAAGAACAGATCGAGGCGAACCGAGCAGATCTAAGATCGGTGCAACAGAGAATAGCTCTGCAACACACAAATCTGGGTGGTCCTCCCATGGCTGCTCATGTCCATGTGAACGGTCAGCCACTGCCCAATATCTTACCGCCTGGATTCCCCGTGAGCCTTCCCTTCGGACTGCCGTTGGAGCCGCCGCCACAAATGCAACGACCTCCCACTCGGACACCGCATCATCCTCGACAGCCTTCAAATACACCTCCAGGACAGCATCCTGCGACCGGTGGCACCTCGACGCCGAATCCCGCGCAGCAGAACGGCCCCGGACCATATCCGCAACGTGTGACCGTGGTTACCGAAACAGTGAGTATCCAAAATCAAGCCCACCGTCCATCCTCTGCGCCCGGACAGCGCCCTCCGATGCCATCCCAGCAACGAGGAAATGTCCCGTCCCACACGCCACAGGCCGACAGCTCGACGGCCGCGCCAGTCTTGCCGCCTCCCGGCTGGAATTATTCGACTTCAACGACGTTACCGCCTCTTCCTATCCCGCGACCCTTTGCGCAGCCCCTTGTGACCACTCTACACCCTTCGACCGCTACAGCGTGGCTGATGTCCTCGCCCAGTGGGCCAAGAGCGTTGCTCTTTGCCCCGGGTCACGGCTACTTTTCTTCCGTATCCCCTGTGGCGGCCCAACCACAGCAGGCTGGTGGCGCGCCAAACTCTGAGACGCGAACGAGCAATACGAACTCAATGCCTGTCCCTGGGCCGAATCAGGCGGGCGATCTGGAGCAACGAGGTGCGGATCGCGCAGTGGTCAGAGCCGACCAGTTTCAGCCTGCAGCAGCACTGGCACAAGCACAGCAAAACGGGCCAGAAAATGACCTGTTCGCGTTCTTTATCAATCGCGGATGGCTGTTCCTGAGGCTTTACTTGTTCATGTTCGTCTTCTCCGAGCCAGGAACGTGGAAACGATGGCTCATGATCATTCTGGCCGCGATCGTCTGTCTCCAGCCCCGCGATGGCCCGCTCACTCGCTTGTTGAGGGCGGCTCGGCGACACTTTGACGCCCTTGTCGGTCCACCCCCACGGCCTGGAGCTGTAGCTCAACAGCGTGCTGATGCGGCAGGTCAACCCCTTCTTGCTGGTGCTCGGAACGACGCTCCTGCGCAAAGACCGGCAAATGTTCGTGGCGCCGTCCAGATGACCCCGGAAGAGGCAGCAGCACGAATCATAGCAGGGCGACAGAACAACCAAGACCGCCCGCCACGTTTCTGGAGAGACATGTTCTACCGCGTTGAGCAGAGTATGGCTCTATTTCTAGCCAGTCTGATCCCAGGCGTGGGTGAGCGCCATGTCCGAGCAAGAGAAGAGCAACGACGGGAAGAGGAAAGAAGGCGCGCCGAGGCGGCGGCGGCGGCGGCGGCAGCAGCAGCAGCGGAGAACCAGAATCTGCCACAGGAAGAAACACAAGTCAATGGGCCAGATAGGCAATCTGCAGTAGACAAATCGGAGGTCAATCCTTCTGGGAACGGAGAGCAGAGTACCTCGAGTTCTGTCCAAGCCAGGCAGGAAGCAGGTGCTGGAGAGCTGCGCAATAGGACGTAATGACGCGGAATTCATCGGCAGGACGGGAGGAGACTCAGGTTGATTTTTGTATACAATCACGATGCCGAAGCTGGCCATGTATTGGTCTTGGAAACGAAAATCGTTCATGCGCTCTGTTACGGGCACCGGTCTTTGTCGTCTTGTCCTCTCCCTCCAGTGTACTGTGGCAATATGTACTCAGTACTCCGTACTTCTGCTGCAGACCCGCCAATTCGAGGTCGTTTCCGCCAGCCCGATTCGGTCTCTTGGGAGCTGCGTCATTGTGCAGCATGAGGAGAACCGACACTGACGCTTTTCTTGCTTTCCACTCACTCACTCATTCATCTCACTGCCTTCGGACTGCCCCAATTCTAGTCCACGCTCTTGTGACCATGACATGATGCGACAATGGCTGCCACGGCGACTCGAGTAGGCAGATCGTGTCTCTACCGCCGGTCGGCCTGTGATCTCGATGGAGGACGATTCTTGATTGAAGCTCTCCGCGATCCTTCACAACTGCATCGCCCGTTCCACCTAAACGTCCGCCTTCGACCACAACCACAATTATACCCACAATTACAATCACATACGCAGTCACAGCAGCGACGATGCTTTTCAAATACAAGGAGGCTATTTGAAGAACAGAAGGAACACAAGAGCAAGAGCAACGAGAGATTCACATCCCGACTGGGCAAAGCATGGCGTTCCACAAAGATAGAATGGAAGCCCATCCCCATCGGCCTGGGCATCGCCTTCCTGGGCATCTTCCAGTTTGCGCGCATGCAAGGCCGAGAAGGCGGTGCGTACGGCGACGAACCGCGGCCGCCGAAGCGGCAGAGGATCTACCCCTCCGGCGGCGGCTGGCAGGTCCAGATCATGTCGACGCTGCCACTCAAGGCCATCTCGCGCGTCTGGGGCCGCTTCAACGAGCTCACGATCCCCTACTACCTGCGCGTGCCCGGGTTCAAGCTCTACGGCTGGATTTTCGGCGTGAATTTCGACGAGGTCGCCGAGCCCGATCTCCATGCCTATCCTAACCTGGCTGCCTTCTTTTATCGGGAACTCAAGCCGGGGATTCGCCCACTGGATCCCAACCCCAATGCTATACTCTCCCCTGCAGACGCTAAGGTTCTGCAGTTCGGGACCATCGAGAACGGCCAGGTCGAGCAGGTCAAGGGCATGACGTACAGCGTTGATGCCCTCCTAGGGAAGATCGCGCCACAGTCGCCGAACCCACAAGCCCCGTCTCATATCTTCGGGCACTCGTCGTCCAAAGTCAAGGACGCCCTGCAGCAGCAGTCCAAAGCAGACACGTCTGAAGACATCTCCGCGGACGAAGAGTTCGCCAACATGAACGGCATCTCGTACACTCTGCCAGACCTGTTCTCTGGCGGCTCGTCGTCGTCGTCCTCTTCGCCGACCGAATCCTCGACCAGCCGGGACGCATCCACAAAGTCCGCTCCGTCCTCCGAAGCCGCCGTGTCGGCCGACCTGGCGAGCACGCAATCGCAACAGCAACCATGGTGGTCGCCGTTTTCGCAGCCCGCGCGCTCGTCAAGCCTGTACTACGCGGTCGTCTACCTCGCGCCAGGCGACTACCACCGCTTCCACTCGCCCGTCAGCTGGGTGTGCACGACGCGCCGCCACTTCGCGGGCGAGCTGTACTCTGTGAGTCCGTACGTGCAGCGCACGCTGCCGGGCCTCTTCACGCTGAACGAGCGGGTCGTGCTGCTCGGCCGCTGGAAGCACGGCTTCCACAGCTACGTCGCCGTCGGCGCCACCAACGTCGGCTCCGTCGTCATCAACTTCGACAAGGAACTGCGCACAAACTCGCTCACCACCGACACCGAGGCCGACCGCCAGGCCGCGCTGGCCGCCGAGCGCGGCGAGCCCTACTCGGGCTTCAGCGAGGCCACGTACCAGAACGCGAGTAAAGTCCTCGGCGGCCATGCGCTGCGCCGCGGCGAGGAAATGGGCGGCTTCCGACTGGGCAGCAGTATCGTGCTGGTCTTCGAGGCGCCCGCCGGCAAGGAAGGCAGGCCCGGCTTGAAGTGGGCCGTGGAGAAGGGCCAGAAGATCAACATGGGCCAAGCTCTGGGCTATGTGGTGGACGAGGAGTAGTGATAGTGAGTAGCTTGATACTGGTCACTCCTAGTGTACAAAAATAGTGCCTGAAGTACATGCTGTCCTTGTGCTCACAGGAGCTTCTGCGATTGGCGTCGATGGTCTCGCCACGACAGCACTCGACGTGACCTAGTCGCGTTGTTCACTGTCTCCAACGGCAATAACAAGCTACAGCCGTTGGTGTGTGGCTGCATGAGCGTGTAGCGAATTATAGATCTCACGCCCTCGACAATGTATAGACAACGACATACTGCTGGTCACCGGTTCAACTTCATACCTATCCATGAAGACTACCTGGGTACATTCAGGGCTTTCGCCCGCCAGTTTCAACCCGCCAGATGCCAGCACCAGCACCAGCACCAGCAGCAACGACACCAACGCGAACGCCAGCTCCAGTCTCACCACCAGGTTGCCGCCCACGCAGCCACGGCCAACCAAGAAAAGGCTCCCAACACCACCAACACCACCGCCGCTCTCTCCAGGGCTCGCGCCATTGCAGCATCCATTGGATGCACACAGCAAACAACACCCTCCTCTCCCCCCACCAGAACCCGCGTCAACTCCGCCATGGCCGTCGTGGCCAGCGGGCCTCCTTCTCCCATCGAGTGGATCAACATCCACCCGCCCGGCAGGTACGCCACCACACCAAACGCCAACAGCAGGGTGCCAGCTGTACGCTGGACAACTCGCTCGTCGGCGCTGATGGGCGCCTCGTTGCAGACCAAGACCGCCCGGCAATCCTCCAAGCTTGTGTACTCGGAAGTGTTGCTGGTGCCGCCCAAGAGCTGAAGAACTCCGCGTGCAGGCTGGCTCCTGTTTCGAGCTGGTTGGTCGTCATCGTCCGAGTAATGACTACCAGAACTTGAGGCATCGGCGACACGTAGTCGGTTGAGAGTGGTCGAAGTCGAAGAGATGTTTGCCAGGCTGCTTCCAGCGCTGCGATAAGCCCGGCGACCCAACATGCTGTGACTGTCGATGAACTGTTGTGCGGTTTCCAGTCCATGGCGCAGGCGCCGACTGTCTCGAAGGAACCGAGAAACGTCACCATCGTTCAGTGTGTATCCGCCTTCGTAGAGATGCTGCGCCAACAATGCTTCATCCTGAGTCATGTACGGGAGTATGATTCTGTGGCTGGCGCAGGAGTCTGTCTTCAAGCATGGAATGAGAGTTTTAAAGGTCGTCGCAGATTGAACAGCCTGAATGGGTCCTTCGACACGATCTCCGGCATGGACAGCCGCGCTTCCATCGTGATAGAAGGCAAGATCAGAGCGTTTTGTTCTCGCATCGCCGTCATTGAGAATGTTTGTGCCGAGACAAGATAGCTCAAATGTCGAATTGCTCGCTACCGCTCGTGGTGCTTCTTCGGTTGACGAGTTCATGGTGCTCGGTGACATGGATGTCGGAACACAGGCGTTGTCAAACATGTTGGGAATCAGAGAGCTTGATGCGAGAGCATGGGATGTGACCAACGCAGACGAGTGGCCTGGAAGAGATTGAGAATTGTCGTAGCTCGAAGTGATTTGGTTTAAAGGTCTCGAACTCAGGGTTGAAGGATGAGGCGGACTGCCGAGAGACACGCGCGCAGGGTTTGAGCAATGGCGATGGCGATGGCGATGGCGATGACCGTCAGCGTCTTTTATCAGTGCCACTGTTGCTGCTGATCTTGGCTGCCTGGTCTTATTTTCTTTGTTCTCTGCAGGATTGTCTCTGTGTCCACGTTGGCCTGGGGCAAGTGGATCAAGAGCATGGTCCGGATGGTCTTTGTGGTGAAGTTGAGGGCGCGGTCTGGACGGTTTGGACTGTGTGGAATTGGAGAGCGGATCCCAAGGGGACGCAGGAGTTCTGCCGGTCAAGCTTGAGGTGCATGTGTCGACAGTCTTTCTCTTGCACAGGCGAAAACGTAGCTTTGAGGGTGTAAAGAATCCGCTGCGACTGCTCTCTAGTCCTTCCTCCCAGGCTTCATCATGCTCCATCGCTCCACCACTTCTATGAGCTGGAAAGGTGACAGGCTCACCTCTCTGCTCATACAGTTGATAACGCTCGCAGGTTGGCTCGATATCACTCTGTCGTGATGATCCAATATGAAAGGGGTCAGCCTCACTGGCTCCCTGTTGACCGAGTCCCACCACTGATCTCTGGTGATCACTTGATCTCCCAAGCTCAAATTTGTCGTGACGCAAGGACGACTCCGAAGGATTAGGGTCTGCATACTGAGAAACGATTTCTTCAAGGGTGGTAGAAGCTCGATCTTTCTTCCGGTTGGGTTCGGTATTTTCGTCAGAAGTTTCGAAGGTTGCGCTTGACTCAGGGTGGTGATCAGCCTCGTGGAGGACAACATGCGCTGAGCGGACCTTTCGACTTCGCAGATTCTTCAACCGTATGCCATTGTTGCCAAGAGAAGGTGGCACGAGCAGCTCTTCGTCAGACGACGAGCTTGATGGACTAAGAGGGAAGCGAGTTCCACTTCGACTTGATGACACTGGCTGGAGACTGACTGCTCTGCGGCCTTGGATCTGGGCGTACGCAGAAGGCAGATCCGGGAACAGCGGACGGTTCGCGCGGCGGTCCGGGCTAGAATAACATGTTGGGATATCCATGCTGATCTGTTGCAGGAGAGCCGAATCCGAATGGTGCGTCGACTCCAGCGAGGTTCGCCCGATGGATGGTGACAACGACTGGCTTCGCGCCCGAAGCTCTGGATGCTCCACGTTCAAGGTGTGGGCGTTACGCCTCTCATCGATCAGTCGATTGTTCTGGTAGAGGTGGAGGCCAAAACTTGGAGTACGGGTGAACTCGAATTCGAAGGGTGTTTGACCGTCAGAAGTTGACTGGTATCGCTGTCGACAGTGTTAGACTGAGAAGACGGGATCATCTGCGAACTCACAGCAGACATTGGTTGTTGCGGTGTTCTGAGATGATGTTTGACAAGGTGATCCCCGCTCTTTCTACTACAGGTCGAGGAGGGCGTTGTGATCTTGGACGAGGTCGGGCAGTCTAAAGCTGTCAGCGGTCTCCTTGTCAAGGCGTGGTACGATGACATGCCTTTTTGTAGCAAGACTGTCTCTTGCACTCCGTCAAATTGCGGAGTCAAGATGTGCTTGCCTAGAAACGAGTTGGGTTGAAGAGGAGCTTGCAGGTGGCTGAGGAACGGTTCTGACTCTTTCTCGTGCTGATCACCGAGAGCAAGCGCACAACAGTGGTCGGCGACGGTGTCTGTCCTGCTTTGTGTCCTCTTGAGAAGGGGTGTTGTGGAAGACACTGAAGGACCAGGAGACAGCGCTAGCGACCTTGGGTCCGACCGTATGGCGTTGCAGGCGGAGAGATCAGAAAGACTGCTGTGATCCACCACACGACACCAAGGAGCACTGTACGATCGAACATGCTTCTTCTGTATGCGTCCACCACTCCTCGGAGATCCCATTTGACCCTCTTCGCCCGATTCCTGGTCCCTTTCCCTGCGTCTCTCATTGAGACCAACAACATGGCGCCATCTCAGCTCTGCCAACTTCCACGACATGGTGGGCGATCCGCGACACAGCAACGACCGCAAAAGTGTGGGCTCTGGAGTCAAAGAAAGTGGAATGAGACTAAGAAATTGGGCATCGCTTGTGGACGGGTCAAGGAACTGATGAAGACGCTCCGAAGTGTTGTCTGGCACCAGGATCCCTTCCAAAACTTCCAGGACACCAAAATGGAGACAACAGAATGGAAGTGACCACAGTCGACTCGCGCTCCAGGTAATGGACGAGGAAGCAGGGAGTCCAAGCTGGGTCAACGCATGGGAAGATTGGAAAAGGCACAACACGAAGGGATGGCTGACCATGGCTCCTGCCAAAACCATGCTGGAAGCAGCCATCAAGTCGTTGAGCAGGACAGCCTCAATGTTCACGAACGAGGACAGGTGCGCAGATGGAGGAAGATGTGGTCGAGACCGCAGAGCGTCGAGCCTGTCCGACATGACGGGGGACGTTCTCTGAAGCCTTCTTCCTGTCCAGAACACAAGATGCCCTGGAAATGCATAGCTGGCACGGTGAAGCGCAGGTAAAACGGGCTACACCTCCCTGGTCCGAGTGGTGGCTACATCCTGCCTGAGGTGGAGCTACCACTGGGCATGATGGCGATGATGGTCAAATGGCAACCTGCATCAAGCGTTGCTTCGGAAGATGATGGTGAGGATGAAGACAAATGAAGCTATGTACTGTACTACATAAGAGTACTCCGTACGCGTCCCAATCCTTCGTACCGGAGCGCAATTCTTCCGCTCACATTCATTGATGTCATCGATACATATGGGCCCATGACGGCCTCGCCCTCGTTCACGAGTAATGCTCATCTACAGTACGGAACGAGTTCACTATCTATCACGTCTCTGCCCTTTCTTTAAACGTCAACTACTAGAACGTCGAAAATGTCGCTGGCCGACTCCTGCTGCACATGCGCCACGCTCCTCAGCGATGTCAAGATCCCTTACGACCCTGACTCGGAGAAGCCACTGCTGTACAATCGACGGCTCGACTGTTGTTCGCGCTACATCTGCGCCAGCTGCCAATCTAAGAATCCGCGGTTTCAACACTACTGTCCGTTCTGTCAGATATCCTCTGGTCCTTCATCCTTACCTAGAGAAGGGCTTCGGCTACCTCCGTCGTACACGAAAACTCCGCCGCACGCTCGGAATGCTTCAAGGGCAGAGTCGCCACCGCCATCATACGACGACTCGCTAATGCCCAGGCGGGTGCCCGAGCAAAGCACAGAACCTCCAGCCGATACCGAAGACACTGTCCATTTCGTCGGCTCGGACGACTCGTTGCCGGCTCTTTCCCTCGCATACGCGGTGCCGATCCCAATACTGCGCCGACACAACCACCTCTACTCCGATCAACTGCTTCAGGCTCGAAAATGGGTCCTGATCCCCCGGTCCCATTACAACGGGCCCCCACTGTCGACCCCGCCTGACCCCGTTGAGGAAGAGAGAAAGATCAAGTTGCGCAGATGGATGGTTGCTACCAAATGCGCGGATTATAATGTCGCCCAGCTGTACCTCAAAGGCAGCGACGATAACTTGGAAATCGCCGTGGAGGCCTTCAAGGCAGACGAGGAATGGGAGAAGAACCACCCGCTAGAAGGGAAGGGCAAGGGCAATGCGAAACCAAGAAGCCGGTTTGGACGAGGTGGAAGTTTAGCGGGTCAGCTGTCATGATGGTCTAGTTTGGTCTACGAGTCCATCAAGAGTGGTACCCGGCCCATAACACTTTCGTTCCCTGGCACCGTCGTACCTCTGAACTGCATGCTGCTCTTCGACTGCTCGGGAGCCAGTCATCCCGCCGGCTATCTGCTCTGACACTGCTTCGCCGAAATGCACTGAAGCATGACAGCATGGATAGACAAGCCTCGCGCAGAGTCATGCAACAATGTCAAACCGACGCCTCTCTTGATCATCCGCCGCCAAGGTCTTCACTTTCCACGCCCACAGATCTTCCTGCATAGCCTCATCGCTGTTGCCTATGCTCGACTTGATCTGCTTGATCCCCTCATAGTACAGTCCGCTGGTGGCCCTCTCCTTCTCTGCACTGTACGGCAGCGTGGCCCCAGAGCCTTGTGGCTTGTGGATATTAGGTGTGATCATGAGCCGCAGTGGCGGAATCAACGCGTGCATGAATGGCTTCAGGAGGAAGCGAAGGGCTAGCGAACCCTAGCGGCGGCAATTATCATGCAATAATGCCGTACAGCCACTTCTCATCCTCAACAACCTCACCTTCGCAGAGACAGGATTTGGATTCTGCTGGCAACGCTGTATTCCCCACGATGTCGAGACCCCAACTCGAGCATCATACGTGGCTCGTGGTCACAACACGCCCTCCTGGCGGGGTCAAGTCTTCCGTCGCGTTCGTACACGCAAATCAGGCTAGCATCCCGGGAACATGGTGTCGCTGAAGAGATTTGCCATCAAGAATTCGTCAAAGAAGCCATCCCCACTGACGGGACCGCTGGCCGAGAACTCCAGGCCCGGGAAGTCCCATTCGGTCACAAACTGCTCGGGAATGAAGCTGTCGATTTCGTTGGCTGCAGCATTGCCCCCTGCGGTCCAGAAGTAATTGAGAGGGGACTGAGAATCTTGTCCTACACTGTTAGCGTGGTTGCTGCTTTCATTCTGGCCTGGCGCCGAGCTGTCGCTTTCGAGCGCTCGACCATACTTCTGAATGCTCTGGTGCAACACTTGCAGATACATCCTGCTGGTGGTGGTTCTGCCTCCGCTTGTCCACCCACCTCCTGCCTTGTTCAACTCTTTCAATAGCTTGTTGCCGTCTTCGAGCAGCCGCCTCTTGGCGTGGTCGTCCGCTTCTGGCAACAGCCGGGTCAGCTTCAGAAGCAGTAAGAAGCAGAATGCACATTTCGCCCAGACAAAATCCGTCGCGTAGCAGAACTTGGACAGGTAATGCTGAGGCTGGTCCAAAATGATCCGAAGATGTCGTCGAAGAGAGTCCTTGGCCATGAGAAGGAGGTCCTGTTGCACTGGCGACATGCCCGCTAAGTTGTCCTTTCCCAATGCTCGTATCGCTCTGCATAGCGCAACGGTCTGGGACCAGCACTTTTGGACCTCCAGGTTGACCAGGAGGACTGGGGTCTCGGTCGTGGACCCCGCCGCTTCCATGATGTTCTTCCAGTCGTTGAACCAGACGTCGATGTCAACTTGGACGTCGTGAAGAATGTCCATCACTTCCTCCTCGTCAAAATGCTCCATGCCTGATATCGAGTCGTGGACTTTACCCCGCAAGGCGTTGAGCTCAACTTGCGACAGCAGCCTCAGGTCCAGACTGTTGGTGAAGGGTCTGTTCAACAGAATGCGACATCGCCTCGCGTCTCCTTTCAGCTGGAAGCTGCGTAGATTGCCGGCATCGACGTGAAGGATCTGCTCAAGAACCATGAGCTGGAACCATCCCCGAGCGCGCCTCATCAGCATTGCGTCACTCTCATCATACTCCGGGGGATCGGTCTTCTCAGATGATGATGATGATGATCCCCTGCTCACGAGTTTCCTCCGCAGGTCTTCGTACGCATCGGGTAGTTGGAGCTCAAGCGCCATCCGGGTTGCAAAGGCTAACAGCAATGATCGCTCCGAGACATAACAAGCAGTGACCAACAGAGCCTGCACGGTCTCCAGAGAGGTGAGATCAGGGCTAACGATGACGAGGTTGAGCATCTTCTTGAGGTGGAAATTGAGCAAGTGGCCGATCTGCGAGTCAGCATCACTGAGCACACCGCAGCCAATGGTGATAATGGCATTGAATAGCAACGCACTTCTCGCGCTGATAGATTCGAAAGTATCATGGACGGGGTCGAATATCGGGACATAGCGGTCGCACCCCTGGAAGAACGCCCCGAAGAATAACTGGGCTTGTTCGTACGTGATCAGACCCTTGGCGACAAAGTTGGGCACCGAGACAATCTCGACTTCGAATTGAGACCTCGTGCGTTTGCGCCGCAGCGTTCCTGGGCTCGATTGTGTCTCCGGGCTGGTCTGTGTCATGCTTGCTGGTCGATCGGGCGCAGCGGCCGCAGATTGGCTTTGAGTAATCGCGGTCGCATCCTGAACGTGGACGCTCGTCTGGAGACCATTCTGTTGTGCCTCCAGCCGTTGTTTCAGTGCCGATACTTCCCGCTCCAAGTTCTCAATCTTTCTGGTCGCAGAGTCAGCATACAACAGGACTTAGCGCCCATAGGAAAGGAATGGAATACCTACTGCTCATGCGGGTCTGGAGGCTTCTCGACAAAAACACACGCCTTTTTCAGGTTGCGACATCTGCAGAACGTCAATCACAGCACAGTTGACTAGATCATCTTGCCTCCTTACCGAGAGCACGGCCTCCCTCCGTCACAGCGCACCTTGGAAAACCTGCATGCGCCGCATGCTTTCTGTCCGGGGAGTCAACCCAACGTGGTGCGAAGCCACGGGAACGTGTGACCTCACTGGAATCCTCTTTTTCGCAGCGCTCGTTGAGGCCGAAACTACGTCCTCATCCATTTCCCGAGGACCAGTGCTGGGCAGGCATAGCTCTGGGGTGCTTCCAGAGATAGTACTATGCCCGATAGTGAATGGCGAAAGACTCAAGGAAATAGATCGAGTCGAAGAATGTTGTTTGTGATGGATTGGTCGAAGGAGTAATTACTCCGTACTCTGTACTGCGTAGACTTCGAGATGGCACGCCGCCTAGCTTGAATTATCAGGTGCCCCGCCGCCTTACCGAGGAATTTTAGAGCTAGCCAATACACTTGCCTGTCTAGTGGAACTAGGCACGCTACAAGTAGGCTTGGGCTCCGGCAATGCCGCTGCATCCTCTTGGGCTCCGAGGCTTCGGAGTTACAAAGCCGACGGACGGACCAAATTGGCACCTAAACCGTCCGTCGCCGTCGTGGAGGTCATTTCTAGCGACGACCTAGGTACACAGTACTGTCCCAAATCATCTTCTCAATTCGCTCCCCTCCACCTAGGTACCAATTACGGCAGTCGAGCTCATACGAGTACCCCCATCTGATATGATCTATGGGCCTAACGCGTATTCGCATACGGAAGCTAAACCTCAAAGCCGTTGCCCTGGCATCAGGCCACCAGTTGGCGTTGCGACGAGACGACTCTTCAAACCTCTCATATGACTGACGGTTCAGCCAAAGTCACTTCGCTTTGTGAGTTCTTCCTCTATGTCTTCCTCTATCTTTCTACGGTGGTCACGCACACAGGCTACGAACATGTCAGTGTCCCTTTACAACGCCTGCGCCGTTGTGGGTGCATCCACGCTCGGCTACATTTCCTTCAAGACCCTTTCTGCTCTTCTTTTCCACCTGCACTCCTCCAAGTTACAGCGTTATCACCATGGCCCCGAACCTTGGGCTTTGGTAACCGGCGCCAGTGACGGCATCGGCCTGGCATTCGTGAACGAACTGGCCCAGCGTGGCTTCAACGTCGTCCTGCACGGCCGCAACGAGACCAAGCTCAAGAAGGTGCTCTCGGAGCTGCAGCGGAAACACAAGACCAGCTTCAAACTACTTGTCCTGGATGCTACCTCGCCGTCCTCTCCGGAATTCGACAAGACGGTCCTCTCGGCCGTCCAGGGTCTCAATTTGACAATCGTCATCCACAATGTCGCGGGGAGTGGGGAGGCGAAGGTCGAAATGCCGATGTTCATGGACCTCTCGGCAAAGCAGTGCGACGGTTGGATCAACGTCAACGTTCGCTTCACCACGCACCTTACGCGTCTGCTTCTGCCGCTCTTGGTGAAGAGCCAACCCGGCCTGATGCTGTTCGTCAGCAGCGCTGTGACGGAGATGCCCTCGCCGGGCGTCTCCCTGTACACTGGGTCAAAGTGCTATCTTGAGGCGCTGACGAAATGTCTGAAACTGGAGATGAAGATGCAAGGCCACGACATTGAGATGAAGTCTCTGACGACAGGCCTGGTGGCCACGGCGTCGTCGGGCAGGTATGAAAAGGATGTCTCCTTCGTGATGCCTAGCCCGCGGACGTTTGTCCGAGCCAGTCTCGGAAAGGTGGGCTGGGGCAGTCCGAGAATTACTCCGTGGATTGGACATTGGCTGCAGTTCGGCTTGATCTCGAGTCTGCCAACCTGGCTGCAGGAGACGATGGTCATTCGAATGGTGCAAAAGGTACAAGCACAGATGGCTAAGCGGGACTAAGCGCAACGGAATAGTATCAACCTACATACGAACCCGGATGATCCGGATTTACTCCCCGCCCACCAGGAGCGTCCTTCTCCCGTATGACCAGCCAGTGCAGCTTCCGGAGGCTCTTTTCCTCCCCGTCGATACTCAGTCGCTCGTCTGCAATCTCATTCATCTCTTTCTGGTACCTCTTCTCGACCCTTGTCCTATCCCTCTCATACTCGGCCAATATCTTGTCCTTCTCCCGCTCTAGCTTGTCCACATCTCTGGTCTTCTGCTTCCTACCAGCATTTTCCAACTTGGCATCAATCTCACGCAGTTCCTTCCCCCTTTCTTTGTCGATCTTCGCTACCTCCCGCTCGAACTCCTGCTCCGCTTTCCGAGCCTCCTTGTGGTATTCCTGATGCGCCTTGCCGCGCTTCTCGAGCAGCTTCTTCTCCCCCTTTGCCCGGTTGCGCTCACTAACTTTCACGCTCAGCCGACTCAGCGCGTTGTTAGGCGCCTCGATTCCTGGCAAGGGCGCCACATCCAGCTCCGCAATCCAGGGCTTCAACGCATCCAGCCGCCTCTGCTGCGCACTGATGTCGAGGTCGCCATCGTGCTCCATCCCGCCCAATTCCAAACGCGTCAACAGCTTCGCATTCTTGTCCAGCTTGCCGTCCGGCCCCAACACGCCCGGCACGCCCAGCAACTTGACCAACGCTTCCGTTTTCGCAATCTCAACTTGCAGGCCCCTCGGCGCGAAAAGGTCGGCATTGGCGCGCCTCAGCTCGATCTCCGTGCGCCCATGCTGGATCACCCCCGCGGCCACCTCGGCCGTGAGGTTGATGACGCCGCCCGCGATCTGGGCCGCCGCGCTGGGCACGAAGCCGACGATGTTTCCGGCCAGCCCGAGGACCTGCAAAGGCGGCGACTTGACAGCCACGCGATTGAGCGTGTCGAGAAAGGAGAGGAACGTCTCGGCCGAAATGCCGAACGAGGCCAGACAAGGGGGGTAAGCCCGCAGGAAGGGCGAGCCGTATTGTGCGACCGTCGCGGGGACGGCGATCGGTTTGTCCAGCCTCGAAGACTGGGGATTGGGCCTCAGAAGGGGAAGTGAAGGGCGTTGTGCCTGCCGAGGTAGCTGGACGTGGCCGTAGCCCTGGCCGTGGTCATGTGGAGCTTGGAACGATTGGTCCTCGCGGGCGACATCTGTCTGCGTATACGTTGCTTCTTCGTACGCTGGCGGCTGAGATGTGTGATCTAAAGATCGTACATCGGACTGGTATGAACGGGGGTAGTAGCTGGTGTAGGACTGCTGCTGCGTTTGAGGTTGCATTTGCGGTTGTTCACGCCCTGTGGAGGCATTGTAATGAGGCGAGCGAAAGCCAGGGTCTGATTTCTCGAAGTTCATGCTGTGAGAACAGAGACTAAAGTGTCAATCACTATAGCAAGTCCTCTGGTGCAGAAAGACAGAGGCGATCTCTTGGAGGTGTCAATATCGGAGTGCCTCCGGTGTTGGGAGCGAAGCGCATTGCACCCTTTTATATACAGGACTCCGTACGCAGTATATCATGCTTCTTCTATTACAATGTGCACCTGATTTCCCGTTGTGTCTCTATCCGCGAGGTCCAATCCCAGCAGCACCCAGCCCTGCGCCCCATCCGCTGTTTATGACGACAAAGAGAAGCTGAACCAGAAGCTGAACCCGAAGCTGAAGGGTGGGATTCTCCACTTCAAGCGCCGCCATGGAGGAAGTTGGCCAACTCGAAAGTACCTACAGCTACTCCATACTGTACTATGTGCTCCGTATTCCGTACAGAAGAGCCAGACGGGACTCCATAGCACTCGCTCACAGCCTCACGGCACCCCTAATTGGGCCCACTTTGTTGGCAAAGCATTGACAGGTACTCCGCAAGCATGCATGCATGCAAGCAAGCACTGCAAGCCACCGGGACCACTGATAGTGACTGACTGACCAGTCGGAATATTTGGACTTGTCACTATGGACCTATCGTAGAATATACCGTATGGGGAATGGCGTATTTAGACCGTTGTGTATTGCGCCCAGCCTAATACGAGGTACGAGGAAGGAATTGGGCGCCCTACCCGGTCCACCCAACTACGTGTTGTTGTGATATGGCATGACCAGCACGACGAAGCGAATTTCTGCGGCATAGCCTCGTCAGGTAACGGAATCAGCCTATCCCGCCCGAGATGGGCTTTGCTGATGATGATGCTGTTGCTGTTGCTGCTGCTGCTGCTGCTGTCTAAGCGTCCTTTGTGGCCTGTTTGCTCGTCGATCTGCAGAAGATCTCCCGCTTCAAGAACCCGTCTGCTTCAATGTTCGCGAAATGAAATGTGGTCATCACATCTTGCACGCCTGATGCGAGGAGGGGACATGGTCGAAGGGATCGGTAAGTCCGTGACGCCTTTGGGTGCGCCTGGTCTTGCGTAGTGCCGATCAATGTGATACCCTCTATTTGCACCATCTTGCGCAGTGCTGGAAAGCCAATACGGTTCCCGTGCCGGTCTGTCGTGTAAAGATAGACCATCAAGGCGGGGATGGCAACGAGATCAAACACTATGAAGAAGGCCTCAAGCTGCTCGGACTGACTACGTTTCGTCCGCCACGAGTCGTACACTTGTCCTAATTCCTCCTCAAGGACCTCATCCAATCGACAAGAGAGCTCAAAGGTAGCAAGTAACTGCAATGGTCAGTGGGCGATACTAAAAGCAGAACACGATTCTTCCCTGCAAGGCAATGCCTCCATCTTGCCTCGGCCGCATAGACAAATAGTGACAGAGGCTGCCACGCATTTGGCTTGTTGCTCCTAGAGTTGTTAGTGATGGTAGATAAGCCACGTAGACCAGTAGCACGCCAGGCGGAAGCCTTTGGATCCGCTGCGTGCTTGAGCAGGTGGACAGTAAGAGCAATCCTGCGAGACGTCACAAGCTCGCTTTGCAGGATCGGCTCCGACTGTATACATGTATCTGATCTGGCCTGCTGCAAGTCGAACCCACAATAGCATATTCCGCTTGATAGGGCCGAGACCGAAATTCAGAGACTGCCTTCCAGGCGGAATGTAGCCTGATGAGAAAACCATCAATTTCAAGTCGCTCCATTGAAAGGACATTTCATTTCAAGATCTTCTAGTGCTCGCAACTGCTATGCACGCATTCGTGGGCCCAAAGTATTTCCATCCTGTGGTTCCTCAGCCAGAATGGTAAATATGCTTCCTAGGTGAACGGATAGACGCAAGTCACACCTTCCACCACGAAACCAGCTCATGATGTGTTTTAGAGACAGACGGCGTGTTCTCAGAACGTGCTACGAGTATGGCCGACAAGAGGTCAAGAGCAAGCAGGGCTTGGCGACGAAGTACTCGAATGTCCCACAAGTCTGTGTGTGAATCGGGAGAATTAATTAGATCGGTTCCATAATCGCCACTAACGCAGGTTCTTGACGCGTTCGTGCTTACAGCCAAATGCAAGAGCAATGCGCGTCAGGCGGGGAAATGAAGAAAAGTGGCTACGGGATGGATCATGTCGTTGCATATGGACGAGATCTCAAAAGTACCAGTCTTTGTGCTCGATAGTGATGAGGTGAAGAAACGATGCTTTCCGACTCAAGTTGCAACACAATTTTCAGCGCTTCGGATTTCCTCGACCACGTAAACAAAGCACCAATTATTCGATCTTAGAGTTGACTAATTTGCCTACTCTCACATTCACTTCACCTCGCTAACTGCTTCGAAGTCTCATTCCGCATTCTCGTCGCATGAGACTGCCGTCTCTATGTACTCGCTGAGGCCATCTAGCCGCGCTTCACGATCGCGGGCTGCCTCAGCTCGCTGCCTTCGCTCCTGCGCCACATTTGGCTGAACTTCTTGGGCTGTCGACACAACCACCCTCACTTCCAACCATTCCCATATCCCCAACATGGACGGACCCTCAGATCCGGCATTACTCGCTGAGATAGAAGACCTTCGCGACGAGATTGCCCTTAAGGAAGCCATTCTCGAAAGTCTCAATGACAATGGCGACGGTTCCGAGGACGAAGAATTGAGAAAGACGGCCAAGAAGGAACTCAAGAGGCTTCGCAAGCATCTTCGCGTTCTGCAGCCTGGGTCAAATGACGAGGAGGACGATCTCAATCCGTCTCAAGTCCTTGATCGAATACCTGAAAGAAAGCCTGACGCCCCTACCGCCAGTCGGTCGCCACACCCTGCCTCCCGATCAAACCATCTTTCGCCTTTAGCCCATTATCCACTGGCGAGCCGCAAGCGACCACGCACCCTCTCCAACGATGAGAGACAAGACTCCTTCAAGTCTCGACGGACGACGCCCACCTCGACCCTCACTGCTCCATCGCCAGCAGAGTCATCTGTTAGTCTGGACAGCCTTGATGATCCCTTCCTTGACTCATTGTTTGGGGGCTTGACAAAAGAAGAGCTAGAGCATAACCAGGACTTTTGGAGACAAAAACAGCAGGAAGAGAACGATGAGAAATTCGCCCAGAGTCTCTCTCAAGAGTGGGCGGGTGGATCAGCCACGGAGCCGACACAGCCCACTCTGCCATACCGATCTGACTATACACAGTCGTTCCTCAGGAGCGATGGCTCATTCGTCAAGTCGGAACCATCTCACAATGCTAATCGCTCGACCACCATTAAAGGGGACCCAGTCCCAGCCGATATATCTCTAACGGGGGTGTGGGAGGGCCCGGCGACTTTTAGACCTGTCAAGCACGAACCCGCGCGACATGGCACTTTCAAAGCTGAACCGGGCATGGGTCCCTCACTATCTATGCCTGGAGCATTCCCAGACGCCCTCTCACAAAACCAAGCCTATGATAGCCTTGGGGGGTTCTCTGTGTATAGCAGCCGACATGGTGCTGGTCTCGGTACTGACAGTCCAGACCGGTACACACAGCCGCGTGGTCAGTTGGACCCAGATCTCAACGGTACTCTCCCCGATTCTTTGGAGCGTTCCTTCGACGGAGGCCGGGAACATGCGCAGACGCAAGCTGAATTGCGACAGCTTTTGCAACATATTCGCCCTGACGAAGAGCTCACAGCAGACCAGATGCCGGAGCAGCCTCAGGGTCTGAAAGTATCTTTGATGCCACATCAACTGAGTGGCTTGGCATGGATGAAGCGCATGGAGGAGGGCACCAATAAAGGGGGCATTTTGGCGGACGACATGGGCCTTGGAAAGACGCTTCAAAGCATCGCGTTGATGCTTGAACGCCCACCTCCTGAGGACAAGCATCGACCAACGCTGGTTGTGGCCCCTGTCGCGCTCATGCATCAGTGGAGGCGCGAGATTGAGAAAATGGTTCGACCACGTCATCGCATGAACGTCTTCATTCTTCATGGCGAGACGAGGAAGGCTACCTGGTCGAGTCTGAGGGCTTATGACATTGTCCTAACCACCTACGGTCTGCTCGCGTCCGAACTCAAACGCAAGGCCGTGCTCGATGAGAAAGCCAAACGATTGCAGAACTATGTACCCACCGCTGCCGAGGACTGCCCTGTTTTGGGAGACAGATCTCGCTTTCACCGTGTCATACTGGACGAGGCACACAATATCAGTAAGTCAAATTCGCCCTCGGGTGTGGATTGGCGATCGACATTTGTCCGAATTGCACTGTCCACTACTGCCTCCCTCTGTTGCCATAGTTCTAGGTCTCCCTCAAATCGAGGAAATCTCTGACAGGTTTATTAGAGAACAGAAACACAAAGGCTGCTCACGCGGCTTGTCGTATACAGGCCGACTACCGTTGGTGTCTAACAGGTACGATGCCCTCCCCTTTTCTGGCAATGCCACAGCGGAACTTTCGACCGCAGGCTTGCGACCATGCGTCAAGTTCAAGAGCCAGATATAACTTTTTTCAGGGACGCCCATGATGAATGAGACGGAAGAGATGTTCAGCTTGGTCAAGTTCTGTCGAATCCGTCCTTATTGTACGTATTCCTGAATTCCAGCAGTTTCCTCTCGCGAAGATGTCGAGCTTGTCTTGGAGCCGTTCGATGCTAATCTACAACAGGCGACTGGGAAAGGTTTCGGAAAGATATTGCAGCTCCCCTGAAGAGAAGATACGAGGCCCAGCAGGAACGCGGGATGGCAACTCTCCAAGCATTGCTCCGTGCCATCCTACTCCGACGGACCAAACAATCGAACATTCATGGCCAACCGATTCTTCAACTCCCACCGAAAGAAACGACGGAAGATCGAGTTGTCTTTCTCGAGGACCAACGTGAATTTTATTTTGCCCTAGAGAACAGTGCTCAAATCCAGATGAACAGATGTAAGTCTACCTTTCCGGCCTGGCTGGAATTCAGATTTCAGCATGCTTGGCTATTGTTATTCCTTATTCTCGATAAGCTGACGGGAGAATGCAGATCTACAGAGGGGCACTGTGGGACGACACTACGCCAACATACTGGTTTTGCTGCTTCGTCTTCGTCAGGCAGGTCAGTACTCTTTACAATCTCTTCGCTGCTCCAAAGTCCTGTCCGCAATCCAGTCCAGTGAAGCTAACGGCTCAGTAGCATGTCACCCCTTTCTGGTCACTGCAAGCAAAGATTTTGTTCAGCTCCCTGGGGGAGAATTGACCACGGACGTTCTCATGCGAAATGCTGCACAACTCGATGTCAAAGTCGTCGAACGACTGAAGCAACTTGATGCCTACGAATGTCCGATTTGCTTCGATGTCACCGAGAACCCCTCCTTGTTCTTCTGCGGGCATGCTGTGAGTTCTCCCGATAATTGATTGTGCCGGTGTCATTGCATGCTAATAGGCTCTTGCAGATATGCGGTGATTGTCTTAGCAGGTTGACTGAAGACAGAAACGACAATGGCGCCAGACCAAAATGCCCCCAATGTCGCGCCGATATCGACGTCAATAATGTCACGGATTACACCAGTTTTCTTCGTGTCCATTGTCCGGAGCACGAGTCATTGCAGGAGCTGGACCTACACCTAGAATCGGAGTCCGTCTCTGACTCCGACTCTGACACAGACGACGGGATCGATGATTCCGAAGAAGGAGACGATCTCAATGGCTTCATTGTCTACGACACGGACCCGGATGCCGAGTCCAGCGCCCGGAAGCCCGCGCAACGACCCAAGAAGATCAAGAAACCTTCCAAGGCCAAGTCCCAAGCACGAGCGAAATATCCACCAAAAAGCCTTGCGCAGCTTCGAAAAGAGGGCCTGCGTAACAAGAGCGCCAGGAGAAGGTATCTTAGACGCTTGAAGAAGACTTTCGAACCCTCGGCAAAGACCATCCGGACCTTGGAGCTTCTCGAGGAGATCAAAGGCCGCGGTGAAAACGAGAAGACGATCGTCTTCTCCAACTTCACGTCCTTCTTGGACATCATCGAGACCACGCTGTACGATCACAAAACCCTGAGTAACTACGTCCGTTACGATGGGTCGATGAGTAGCAATGAAAGAAATGACGCCGTCCTCGAGTTTACGGAGAACCCAAACTGCAGTATAATCTTGGTCAGTCTAAGGTCCGGGAACGCGGGCTTGAATCTAACAGCTGCGAATCATGTCATCATGTTGGACCCTTTCTGGAATCCCTTTGTCGAGTACCAGGCAGCCGATCGTTGCTATCGCATTGGACAGCAACGTCCAGTCACTATTCACAGAGTCCTGATAGGCCAGGACGACCTACAGGACGGGAATTCTCTGACTGCGGACGGAGCTCCGAGAGACCCTGCAGTGGGCTATACAGTCGAGGACAGAATCCTAAACCTCCAAGAGAAGAAGCGTCGGCTGGTCGAAACTGCGCTCGACGAATCGGCAGGCCGGCAAGTGTCTCGACTTGGTGTACGTGAGTTGGGTTACCTTTTTGGACTCAACAGCCTTTGAACCTACCCGACTTGTCAGAGGGCCCGTTCGGCAGACAGATCTCTAACCCTATGTACAACACAATCATTTTCGGCCATGCGACACTCTACAGTAGGTCACACGATACCGCATGACGTCCATGAAATAAAACAGGCAGTGGGCTCACGCCCGTGGGGGTTACGATTAATGATGGCATGAAGTAAGGTGCCTTACCTGGTGTCGCAGGGCCTGGGAGTCCTGGATATTCGCAGCACAGGTTACACGTTTTTCGAGGAACACTGAGAGGCGGCAGTGTACAGCAGCATATGTACTCCATCATAGGAGGCGACTGCATAGGATCTCAATAAGATATGTACATTGAGCACAGCCGCAACCCGTATCTGGGCAGAAACACGGCTTATGCGCATGGTTAATATACGAAGATGAAATCTTCGTTTTCCCAATCGGTCTTATCGTCGAAAGCATGTTGACCCGTCACATCTTCATCGTGACCTTCGTCAGCGGCGTCCTGTCTTGCCTTCACTCGGCTCATTGATACATCCTTGATAAATGCAGGCTTCCCAAGGCGCTCGCGGGCGCTTGAATGCTTTTTGTTGAGGAGCATGAGGTAGAAGACCTGGGCGGCGTACAGTCCGATGAGGACGACAAACAAAGCAAGACTGTTATTCACTGGTCAGCAAGCAATCGGCCAGGTGTACAACACCGGGCTTTCTTACTTTGAGAGTAACCCACGATGGTAAAGCGGTGCTTCCCCTGTGGTGTACAGGTTAGGTCCGAGAACATTACCAGCGCATTGAGCTATGAAGAGTGCTCCGGTGGTGACCTATAATGCCTCAGCCATTGATCGCCGTGGGTGAAGGTTTCGAGGACTACCTTTTTCTTCGTCTCTCCAGCGGTGTTGGCCGCGGACCACGAGTAAATCAACGGTGCTATTTCGATTAGTGTTGGCCAGCCAGGGTCAGTCTGCGATGGCACTTACTGATGCCGGGATAGACCGATATCTGTTCTTGTCAGCTGCGGACCCCTGGAGCAGAAGACGAGACTCACCAGGTAATATGCCACCAACAAAGGCGCCTTAGCTGATGCATCTCGCGGCAGATGCAGAAGCATGGCGCATCCTGCAATCGGGGGCAAGCTGAGGAACGCCAGCACCGGGCTCTTCATCTTCAGCGCTGTCGCTGCCCAGGCACCGGCCATTGTTGCGACGAGCTGGACCGCACCGAATGGCATATTGAGGAGAATGGTCTCGAATTGATCGAAGCCAAAGTTCTTCACGATGAGAGGGCCAAACGTCGACACACCACCGCTCGGGACGGAGATGGTGAACATCATGGCGCACCACAGCCAGGTCTTGACGTCCAAAGCGGCTTCTCTCACATGCGTCCACTTCCACTGAGTGCCCTCGATACCTTGATTGTTCGCCCTCAGTCTAGCATCATCAGTGTGTGATTTTACGTCCCCCGGGTTGTCTCACCTCTCAATGGCAATCAATTTATCGTCGCCTTTCAGGAAGCGGGCAGTGAGCGGCGAGTCGGGAAGGAAGAGCCACACCACAACGGAAAATACCACGGTGATCAGGCCAAAGAACAGGAAAATAATCTGCGACGTGTCAGCAGTGGCATATCTACCAGCGGATGGCCACGTACCTGGTACGGTTTCAGAACGTCGGAATGTATATGACCGATGCCGTAGGTCAACAACGAGCCGAAGATATTGGTTATGCCATTCATGGCGTACCAGGCTCCAAGCCTCACAGGTTGTTCCCGTCGCCGCCACCACATCTGAGTGAGAGCGATAAAGGCAGGTGCTGGAGGAGTGTGAGCAACTCAACATGCTGTGCGAACAGGGTTTCTTTCTTACCGACTCCAGCCTCAAACAGTCCCAGGAACAGTCGACACACCAACAGCCCTGCGAAATTGTGCGCGGCCGGCATGCTGCTCAGGGCGATGCCCCATAGCAAAACGATGACCGCCAGGAACTTGCCCAACGGCAACTTCACGAGTATGTAGGCGATCAATGGCTGTGAGACCAGCTGGGCCAGATAGACGACAGAGCCGAGCCAGGAATATTGGTGGCCGACCAGTTCGGCATCGTCGACCAAGCCGAATACCGACGCGTATGCCAGAGTCGCCTTGTCCAGAGCTTGCAGGAAGTATATCCCAAGCACGACCGGCAGGATGTACAGGTCGATCTTTTTCAGCACTCTGGAATTGTTCTCGGGAGTGAGGACAACCCGTTGGCCTCCCGCATCGGTGAGGATCTTGTTGGCCTTGTCGAGCTTCAACAGGTCGTCGATGTCGGTTTTGCTCTCGACATGGTCGATGGGCGCTTTGATGCCAGAGTCTTCCATCTTCGTCGTTCGGGCTGTGGGCCGGAGAGTCACCTGTGCGGCCGACTTTCGAGAAGACGTTGGAAATATTCCTGGCTCTGACTGCCGGAGATGCAACTATCATAAATACTCCCCCGACGAAAGGTTGCATCGCCTCGCAATCGGGGAGGCCATCCGATCTCGACTCGCGATACCCCATGCCCGCCCATGGGTTGCCGGGCGATCACTGTCCGTCATCCCCTGCCGGGTGGACAGGTGGACAGATTCCGCTGTCCAGGAACGGGGCACACATGACCGGGGACGATTTGCGGCACCACCAACGCGGGGAAATCAGGTGAAGAAGAGGGCAAACGCCGTCGGGCCCGTCAGCGCCAGTGGCGAGGCGAGAGGGAGCAGCAATGTGTTGGATTGGTAGAGAGCCACGCCAGATTGCAAGGATCGCACTTGGCAGCCGAACTCCGATGCCTGCCTCATCTTCTGTCGCCTCTGCCGCAGCAGGGTGTCGGGTCTCTACAGCTCATCGCCTTGTCGACCCGCCGGACACGTCGCAAACATGCCCGAGCAGCTGATCCTGGAGCATGTGGCCTCCACAAATTCGAGCACTGTGCTCGAGTATTTTCAGCAGCAGAGCCCTTCTTTCGTGAAGGCCGTGCTCCCTTGTTGGCAACCTCTTCTGCTTCGTCCTTACTGCTCTCCACGTCTTCAATATGCCACAACTAGAGAGCATCCCAAAGTCCTACAAACAGGTGGACGCAAAGTCGAAGAGAGCTGGAGCACTCCATCTTCAATCTGATGATCTAGACACGACATTCGACTTCACTTTCGAGACAGTCTTCCCCAATGTGTTTCGAACCACATTCTCTTCTACGTCTCACCCGCTGCCGCCATATCCGTCTATACCTCCACCGGAAAGCGACATTCCAGGGACCAAGGTCAGGTCGTTCCAGCCAAGCGAGCAAAGTTGCGTGACGGAAGTTGGCAATGTCAGGGCATCGGTTGAGTGGAGTCACGCCCCGGTAGTAAGCCTGAGCTGGCTGGACTCGAATGAAGTCCTGCATTCCGATCTCGCATTTCGTTCGTATGTGGTAGATGGTCCGGGAATTGCTCACTATACGCAACATGACCGAAAAGCTTTACATGTTGGACTTGGAGAGAAAGCGGCGCCGATGGATCTTACAGCTCGGCATTTTCAGATGTCGGCAACGGACTGCTTCGGCTACGAAGCCTACGCGACCGATCCGATGTATAAGATGATGCCCCTCTTGGTGAAAGCAACATCAAAGGGCTGCATTGCGATGGTCTCCACAAGCCACTCGAGAGGTTCATGGTCTGTCGGCTCCGAAATCGATGGTCTATGGGGCCACTTCAAGCTCTACCGGCAAGACTATGGCGGGCTGGAGGAGTATCTGATCGTGGGACGCACGCTGAAGGAGGTAGTATACAGCTATGCGCAGCTCGCTGGATTCCCACTTCTATCCCCACGTTGGGCCTATGGTTACATCTCTGGTGGCTACAGGTATACTGCTCTTGACGATCCTCCTGCGCACCAGGCACTTCTGGAGTTCGCAGAGAAGCTCAAGAAGCACGATCTTCCGTGCTCTGGCCACCAGATGAGCTCCGGTTACTCGATAGCCGAAACCGAGCCCCGAGTGCGCAATGTCTTTACTTGGAACAAACATCGGTTTCCGGATCCCGAAGCGTGGATTCGGCAGTTTCATGCCCAAGGCATCAGGCTGTTGACGAATATCAAGCCCTTTGTCCTTGCGTCACATCCTGATTATGAATACCTGGTGAGGAATACCGGCCTGTTCACCGATCCCAGAAGTAAGAGAAACGCAGAGATGCGGCTCTGGAGTGCTGGAGGTGGTGAGAGCGGGATTGGTGGCCACCTTGACTTCACCTCAGCCGCAGCATATGAATGGTGGGCGCGAGGTGTCGAGAGGCTGAAAGAACAAGGAATCGATGGCATGTGGAATGACAACAACGAGTACCCTCTACCCAATGATGACTGGCAGCTGGCTCGTGAAACACTGCCCGCACCCAAGGCCGACACACCGAATAAGCTTGGACTTTGGGGACGTGCTATGCACACTGAATTGATGGCGAAGGCATCGTACGAGGGTCTTCTACGAGCGGAGCCTGGAGTGCGACCGTTCGTCCTGACTCGCAGCGCGAGCATCGGAACGCTACGATATGCGTCTAGCTCGTGGAGCGGTGACAACAGTGAGTTACCCTCGAGCATCAGCCAGTATCTGCCAAGCTCCAGATTATCCCGATCAGGTGTGGGAAGCTAACAGTAAAGCAGTGACATCTTGGGAGTCGATGAAGGCGGCGAACGCGATATCGTTGAACGCGGGAGTCAGCTTGATGCACTGTTACGGCCACGACATTGGCGGTTTCGAGGGCCCCCAACCTTCTCCCGAATTGCTGCTCCGTTGGATTCAACTGGGATGCCACCAGATCCGCTTCGCCATCAATTGCTTCAAGACGTCGCCACAGGACAACCAGGCCGGAGAAGTGATCGAGCCGTGGATGTACCCGGAGATTACGCCCCTGGTGCGCAAGGCGATCAAGCGACGCTACGAGATCATGCCGTACATCTACTCGCTCGGTCTTGAAAGCCACTTGGCAGCAAGCCCGCCTCAAAGATGGATTGGTTGGGGTTACGAGTCAGATCCGGAAGTCTGGACAAAGCCACTGAAATCTGGCGAAGAGCAATATTGGTTCGGCGACACGCTGTTGATCGGCGGGGTTTACCAGCCTGGAGTCGACACTGCCAGAATGTATCTACCCCGACGCGTCGAAGGCGGATTTGACTATGGGTATGTCAACCTAAACGCACCATATGATCACCTTGCATCTGGTCAGTGGGTGACGGTGTCGTCGCCCTGGAGGGAAAGCATCCCCATCTTTGCCAAAGTCGGTGGAGCCATCCCTGTAGGAAAAAGCGTCCAGACCCGGATGCCAGGTGATACCAAGCCAGCCTGTCAATCGCTCCCCGAAGACGACTATCGCGGCGTTGAAATATTCCCTCCCAAAGGAAGCTCGCACGGGACCACGTTTACCACCACCTGGTATGAGGACGACGGCATGTCTCTCCGTCCAGAAATATCTTCCTTTACCGTTTCATACAGTTGCACGGCCGAAAAGGTGGTAGTGTCGTTTATTTCGGCCCCCGATAATCTCTTCCTCCCTCCCTGGAGAGAATTGACATTCATTTTGCCACGTGGAGACGAGAGGTACATCGAGTCCACCGACGGGATCAGAATGGAACGTGTCGAGTCGCAAAGCTGTGGCAGGGTCCGCTACAAAATGCGTGTCTTTGCACAAGGTGGTGGCACTGGCCACGAGATCAACGGGTACCATCAGTAGACTTCAGCGCCGCCACGACTAAGAGTCCGGAGTGGAAAGGATGGAAGCGGAGCTGGCTTGGAATCGAGGTGTCTCGTCGTCTCCGATGCCGCCCGGGGCTCCCTGCCAGGAGACGGACACCAAGACGACAAAATTGGCGAGGCGTATAGAGTACACAGTAGTGCTACTGATGTGCTGAGCAACACTTACCGAGGCATCCAATTTGATATGTGAGACTTCCGATGGTCACTGGATGGTCAGTGCTACCCGTACTGTGGCAGATGGATGGATGGACGGAGGCAAATCGGCGATAAAATTTGTTCGCAATCAGATTAGATCAGAAAATAGCGGGAGATAAGATAGAAATTTTCGGCGCTTATCCCAATGCGGCCCCGATCACCGTCGTGTCGAGCGTTGGTGTCTTGTCCTTGAACATCATCCTCCCCTGTCCTCCACTCTACCTCCACTGTCCCCTTCTAGCGACTTCCTCTCTGACTCTACTACTGGGTAGTAGGTTGCTTCCGAGCCAACCAGTGCTGCGCTCTTGTGCCTTACTAAGGGACAAGATGCCCTGCGTTTTCGACCAAGGCCTGCTATGGACAGACAGAGGTCAGACCACGTTCTGCTCCGCCTAAAGTCAAGCCCGCAGTGAGAACGGAGTTGCAACCGCTCGCAGGTTAGGGCTCCGCTCAGTCGAAGATGAGCGAACTCGTCTAAAGCTTGGAGCATTCCTGCATCTGGCCCGGATACAACGTGGTCTCCCAGCGGGGTATGGGAGTATTGCGATGGCGCGCCTCAGAGATTATGACCGCAACCTAAGACCAGGTATATTAGCTAGCCAGCTTCTTCTGTCTTTGCGCCCCTGTCCAGCTGTTACCTTGGGTGGATGATCACTGAGGTCTGGCTCCTTGATCAAACTGCTTTTTGATTTTCCATTATCCCAAGCTCTGCTTTGCCGACGTCGACCAGTGCACAATGAAGTTCAATATAGCCCGGGTCACGCCCGCGACTTTTATACCCGTTGCTCTGAATGGAAAGCAGAACGATGCCGAGGCGGCTACTCCGTCGTACGACCCAAAGGAGGTCCGAGTATCCTCTGAAAGCCCTGGGACGGCCGATTCGGACTCTGAGGGCGTCGATAAAAATGCCCAGGTCGGTGTCCAAAAGATCGAGGCGACCACATCGGTCTGGAGCAAGAACCAGCTAATTGCTGCGTATATCCTGTAGGTCCCCTGTGCAAAGTGTGCCATCTGCACGGTCAGTTGATGGATACTTGCAGGATATTTCTCATCTACTTTGTCGACTCCATGCAGCAACAGATCACAGGCGTCTTGACACCGTATGTGACCAGCAACTTCCAACTCCACTCCTTGACTGCCACGACTGGCATTCTTTCCCAGATTATCGGAGGTCTATCGAAACTACCGCTCGCGAAGATCCTGGACGTCTGGGGCCGGCCGCAAGGCTTCATCATCATGGTTTTTCTGCTCGTCATTGGTCTCATCATGATGGCTGCTTGCCAGAACGTCGAGACGTACGCTGCTGCCCAGGTATTCTACTGGGTTGGCTACAACGGCATTGGCTATGCCCTGTCCATCTTCATCGCAGACACGTCCCATCTCAAGAACCGAGGGTTGATGTATGCCTTCGCGTCATCGCCGTACATCGCAACAACCTGGATCGGTGGCCCGGCAGCGGAGAGCTTCCTCGACGGCGCAGGCTTCAGGTGGGGATTTGGAACCTTTGCGATTGTCACGCCTGTGGTGTGCTCGCTGCTCTTCTTCCTGTTCATCTTCAACTACCACAAAGCCAAGAAAGCAGGCCTGATGCCCTTGAGCGAGAGTGACAGGACGATCCTCCAGTCGATCCAGCACTACACCATCGAATTCGACCTGTTCGGCCTGCTCCTCATCACCGCCGGTCTGGCACTGTTCCTGCTGCCCTTCTCGCTCTACTCGTACCAAGCGGACGGATGGCGTTCGCCGATGATCATCTGCATGATCGTCTTCGGCGTCGTCTTGCTGATTGCCTTTGGCCTCTGGGAGAAATACCTGGCGCCCAAGAAGTTCATCCCCTGGGAACTCCTCACGGACCGGACCGTGCTGGGCGCCAACATCCTCGCGGCCGTGTTGTTCATCAGCTTCTACATCTGGAACGCCTTCTTCTACTCGTTCCTCATCGTGGTGAACAACCAGTCCGTCACCCACGCCTCGTACATCACCAACATCTACAGCATCGTGGCCTGCTTCTTCGCCATCCCCGTCGGCCTCTACATCCGGTGGCGCGGCCGCTTCAAGAACATCTCGCTGTACTTTGGCCTGCCCATCACGATCCTCGGCGTGGCGCTCATGCTGCGCTTCCGCCAACCAGACACCTACATCGGCTACATCGCCATGTGCCAGGTGTTCATCGCCGTCGGGGGCGGCGTGCTCGTCATCTGCGAACAGATCGCCGTCATGGCCGCCGCCTCGCACCAGCACATCGCCGTCGTGCTGGCCGTCGAGGGCATGTTCTCCTCCGTCGGCGGCGCCATCGGCTCCACCATCGCCACCGCCATCTGGACCGGCCAGTTCCGCGACAAGCTCCTGCAGTACTTGCCCGCCGAGGCCCGTGGGGACGTCGACCTCATCTACGGCGACCTCGTCACCCAGGCGAGTTATCCCTGGGGTTCGCCGACCCGCGACGCCATCAACAGGGCCTACGGCGACTGTCAGCGGAACATGCTCATTGCGTCCACGGCCTTCCTCGCCCTGGCCGTGGTGTCTGTCGCGGTCTGGCGCGACATTTACGTCAAGGATCTCAAGCAGGTGCGAGGCCGGGTCGCTTGATACGTGTGTAGAGTGTACAGTAGAACATAGAATGTAGTGATTTGAGTGGAGTTGGGCGGGTGATGCCCTACTTACCGTACTCCGTGCATAGCTACAATTCATCCATAACATCCCGCGATGCCGGCTAGTAACCCATCAATCAGCCAACCCCGACCCTGCAGGCACAGTAAGATCAAAACATAATTACTGGCATACTGGTCGAAACGACCACCGATGTACAAATCCTGATCTCAATCAAGTGTGTGACTTAACGTCAGACGTACCTCGCGCTGGCCGACTGGCTGAATGTACGTATCATTCAGGTATCTCTAGACGGCGTGGATTGACGACGAAGAACACTTGGGAGAACTCCATCGGTATGTAAACACCGAGGGACCGCCCCATGTTACAGGAGGAAATAAGAGACAATGCAGCGTGCGCACCAACATGACAGCTCAAACGTGATTTATTTTCATAGCTGGACTACCCTTCTGGATCTGATCCGTCGTCCACGTCACTGGGTTTCTCGAGATGCCCGGAGCTGATGCCACTACCGCTGCCACTGCCACCGCCCTCCTGGATCCCAGTGACGAGCACTTGACTCAGCTCGGCTTGAATCTCGGCCCGTCGTCGCTCCCATTCCGGTACCATGGAGAGCTTCTCTTTCAATTCGCCAATCTCCTTCTCCACGCCCGATTTCTCCTCTTCCGTGCCGATGCGCACCATTTCCCAATCATACCCTTCCTCTCCGAGACCGAGAATCAAATTAAAGGTGTGATGTCTTCTCAAACTCGCACGGGTGGAGAGCGTGATGACTGTGATTCCCTTCTCCTTGCACCGTTCGTACAGCAGACCTTCAACGTCGGACGACACAGCCGAGGTGCCTTCGTCCAGGAACGCGTATTTCGGTTCGTGGTAGAACAATCGCGCGAGACCCATGCGCTGTTTTTCACCTCCACTGAGGACATCCTTCCATTCCTTGCGCGTATCCCATCCGCCTTCACGAGCAAGCAGATGTCCGAGCTTGGCTTCCTCGAGGATCCGCTCCAGCTCGCTGTCACGACGGTTGTTCTCTTGCATGTCCATTTCTGTGTGCGGGTAGATGACTTGGTCTCTGAGCGTGCCGATGCTGAGGTACGGTCTCTGCGGTAAGAACATGATTCCGTCTTGCCCGTTGTTGCGAGGTCGTGACACCAGGCCCCGGTACACAGGCCACAAGCCTCCCACGATACGGGATATGGCTGACTTGCCCACGCCATTGGAGCCGGAGATGAGCAAATGCTCGCCGCTGCGGACGTGGAAGGAGAGGGATTCGATGAGATCTTCTCCGCCGTACGGCCACAGGCTTGGTGCCACCACGGGGACATCTTCCAGTCTTACGCCATCAAAACCATAATGTATGGTCCCCTGGACGTCTGCGAGCGAGTAGAGCTCGATCCTTTGTGACGCACGGCGGTGATGGGGACCGTACGCATTAGCGTGGACCCGGTGGAGGGTGGAGATCAGCTGGTAGACGCGAGATGTATAGCCGGCCAACTCAGACAGGTCTTTGATGCTGTACATCATCCTGCCGCCAGCGTCAGCCAAAGACAGCATAAGCCGCTTATTGGTTGTAAACTCCTTCATGTGGGAGCCCGAGCGGCTTGACTCGGAAACTTCTGTGCCAGCACCAGCTGTCGCCTCGAGAATGCTGTTCAACCCTGCCCAGGCGGGTAGATAGACAGGTATCGACGTGATGACGTAGCCAAACGCTGACCACGAGTACTTCAAGATGAAATCTTCCAGCATGTTGTATCTCACTTTGACGTTGTAGATGCCTTCCATCCAACTCCGAAGCTCCTTGAAAGACCTGTCCAGGTAGACCTTTTCGACATCGGCGCCGCCGTAAAAGGCGACTTCTTCTGCATTGGCTATCAATCTCGAATGCAAACCCCGGAACTCGCCTTCCTTTTTCCCTTCAACGGCCTTCAATTTTCCGAATGGAGGAGAGAGTCTGCGGAGCATGGTGGCAGTGCCAAAATAGTTGACCAGCAGACCGGTCAGCGCCAGTGGACCTAATGAGCGGTATAATTGGTAGTTGAATACAAAGATGTCGACAAGCGGTTTTCCGAGGGAAGAGTATAGCGAGGCTGCGGCTGTGCAGAATAGCGTCAAATCCTGGGTGATAAACTGGTCTGCACCTTCTACTCCCCCATCCAAGTTCGAAAGTTTATAGTAGGTAAGATTTGAGTTCAGATACAAGTCGTGGATGTAGCGCGTCAGCCTCGTGCGAAATGCGATGGAAATCTTGGACTGTAGGAACTTGATGGTCGCATTGGTGTAGGAGGCCAATGTCCCGATGGACAACCATCTCAACAGGCCCAGCAGGAACTGCTTTCCATGGCCGCCTACTAGGTCCCGGACAATCGCACCGTCGAGCCTCGCCACCAGCAGAGACAAGTACGTCCGCAATATCAGAAAGAGCGCATGGCTCAGCAGCAACGCTGTCTCCTTACTTCGAAATCTTGGAATCATGATATTGGCGAGACTGAGGAATTGGTGGAGGAAGGCCAGATTCAGGCCGGGCTTGGTTTGAGCTGGCGGAGGACCATACGCCGGCGTAGATGTGCCGCTGCTGAGCCGCGTCACTCGTGGAGGGGTCAAGAATAGCCGCCGGTGGGCGTCGAAAGTGGTAGGACGGACGGGATGAATAACCACTCTGGATGTGGTGTCGCCCTTGGGCACATATATGATACGCTCTCCTGCCTTTCCTCTTAGACCACTGTTCTTTCGCACCAACGCACGGCCCCGCGCCTTCTCTTTCGAGCGCGCCCGCCACCATTTGAAGCCGCCATAGCTGGATGACAGGATCGAGAGAACCAGGGCGGCTGTTCCAGCGAGTTTGACAGACCTAGGCGTTCGGTGGATGTGAGAGCGGAATAGGTTACGGTAGTGGCTGTACAGCACCATCAAAGGGTCCTCCTTCGAGTGAACCGCCATTGTGACCGTGATGGAGCTGCCGGCTTCATCTGGAAGGAGATTGAGGTTTCATGGTGTATTGGTGCGCAAGAGGTGCTCCCTTCGGCGAACGATGACAGTATCGCAAGCACCGTGACATGTGTGAATGGCCGAGTTGAAGTCCGGAGAATGACGACGGCGACTGCGAGTCCGAGTTCGACGGCGCGCATGTGAAAGAAATGCCGAGGTTTCCTGCTGCGAGTCATATGGACATCAGTAGCAGCAAATCGCCATGTGCCCGCTTCACCGTAGTCGGGCCCAAGTTCAGTCGCTCTAATTACAGTAACACGTCCTGGACGTGCATGGTCTATGTATGTCTCGTTCCAGATATCTATAAATGTCCGTTCAACTTGTCCTTCTGCTCTGCTATCGGTGTCAAAAGCGTGCCCTTATCGACCGCGCTTTGTAAATTCTGTAGGACCAGTAATTCCATTTCCCTCTGCGTCTCATACGTGTTGGTGCCAATGTGCGGCACAATGAACACCCGGTCGTTCTTCAGCAAGCCCTCTTCCACCTTGGGCTCTTCTTCAAACACGTCCAACCCGGCCGAGGCAACCTTCCCGCTGTCCAGTGCTGACACAAGATCCTTCTCGTTGATCAAGGCTCCTCGGGCTGTGTTGACAATAACAACCCCGTCCTTCATCTTTGCAAATTCAGGTGCAGAGATGATATGCCGTGTCTTCGCATTCAGCGCAAGGTTCAGGCTAAGAACATCGGATTGTGCCAGCAGCTCGTCAAAGCTGAGATATGTTGCGTCGCCTTCGAGCTCCTCGGACAGCCTCGATCGGTTGTGATAAACAATCTTCATCCCAAACGCCCGTGCTCGATGTGCCATTGCCTGCGCGCGTCAGTTCGTTCGTCACATGCTCCGGGAGACATATCGTACTCGCCCAATGCCACCCATTCCCAGAATTCCCAGTGTCTTGCCCTTGGGGTCATGCCCGAGCTGTGTGTTTCCCCGCCATTTGCCCTCTCTGATGGCGACCAATGGCACCCAGGCAAGTCTCAGGGCACCCAGCATCAAGAAGAGGCCAATATCGGCAGTGGCGTCGTCGACCGCGATTGGCGTACTAGAGATCTTGAGCCCTCTTTTTGTGCATGCGGCAACATCGATGTTGTCATATCCAGCGCCGTTGTGACAAATGTATTTCAGAGATGCCGGTAGCACAGAGACGAGTTCGTCGTTGAAGAGGCCCGTGACCGACGTGGACATGTTCGAGCGGTAGAGCGCAACCACATCGTCGTATTTGCCGCTCTGGCAATTGGAGAGGAACTGTTCCCGTGTGCCCTTGCGGAACTCTTTCAGATTGTATTTCGAGCCTAATTCCTCCCACTCTTTATTCGTGTGTGTCAGTCCCCCGATCAGGAGGACAGTGGGTTTCGTCATGATGCTACGAAACCTGGTGGCTGCCGAAGTCTGGTAACGAGCGGGTGATACAGTTCTTGATGACACGGTTGGAAAGGAACGCGTGAGGCTGGAACAAGAGAATCGAGCAAACATAACCAGGAACAGAACTCACACAGGGACTGCCACCACTCATTACCAGGTTGCGGGATATATTTCCCCATCATCGCGACCGTGGGCCGCGACTCGTACGGGCACCGTCGGCCTTTGAACTGCGAAAACCGCAATCGCAACTGCGAGGGGAAAGAGATTCTTGACACTCCGCACCAATTGCCGCCTACAAACCCCCACCAGGTTGACTCCCCACGGCTTTGCAGCCACCTTGACGGCTCGAGGGTAGGAGTGCGCCTGTGGATCGCCGAGTTTTACCTGAAAGAGCCGCTCCACGGTCGGAGAAGGGTCCGTACCACGAAGGCAGGGAAAGTATCAGCCACTGGGTCGAGCAGGTCAAATCATCCCGTTTGTCAATGATAATACTCCTGTGAAGGACTGGTCTGGCTGCAAGCAATTCACGGTACATGATTCAAATCATAGCGTACTACTACATCACGCAAGTGGAACAGGAACAAAAGGCATCGGCAGACCTTTCGGCACGACGGGCATCGCAATCGGAGAAGAAAGAGCGTACAACACACATTCAGTTACACAGCACTGTGGCAAGTTGACACGATGACGACGACTCAGACGGTGCAAGCATTGGTGCTGCATGGCGCGAAAGACCTTCGGCTGGTGAGAAGAACGCATCCATGCCATGTCAATCAAGAGACTGACAGACTCTTGCCGGACAGGAGACAAGACAACCTCCTGCTATACGACCCGAAGAGGTACATATAGCAGTGAAAGCCACGGGCATATGCGGTTCAGATCTGCATTACTACAGCCACGGCCGTAATGGAAACTTTGTCATCCAGGCACCGCTGGTTCTCGGCCACGAAGCATCGGGCGTCGTGACCGCCGTGCCAGAACTCGCGAATAGTGCCACAAATGGTGCATTTTCGTTTCCAACTCTGAAAGTAGGCGACAGGGTAGCCATGGAGGTCGGCCTTCCCTGTCGAGCATGCAATCTGTGCTCGATTGGCAGATACAATTTGTGTCCAAAGCTCACATTTAGGTCCTCCGCAAAGACTTTCCCGCATGCAGATGGCACGCTGCAGTCGCTGATCTCACAACCGGCCAGCATGTGCCATCACTTACCCGACAATGTCACTTTCGAGCAAGGCGCCCTCGTCGAGCCTCTGGCTGTTTCGTTACATGCATTGAACAGAAGTCAGAATGCAGGGTCCGGGGTCGGAGTACCTTTGGTCGGCTCAACGGCTTTGGTCCTTGGTGCGGGCGCTGTGGGAATGTTGACAGCTGCTGCGTTGTCAGTCGCTGGTGTTTCTGAGATTGTGATTGCAGACATTGATGCACCTAGATTGAAGATCGCTGCAGGATTGGGCGGGGGTCGATTCAAGCTAAAGACGTTTCTTCTTCCTAGAAAATCACCTGCACCAACAATTGAGGAGACATTGGCTGGTGCTCAAGAGCTTGCGGCGGAAGTGGGCAAATCGGCAGGACTGGAGTCTGGATTTGATCGAGTATTTGAATGCACGGGTGTCCCTTCATGCGTGCAGCTAGGTATCTTTGCGACAACAGCGGGCGGAAAGCTAGTGCTGGTCGGAATGGGCACCCCGACACAGACCCTTCCTCTAGGAGCGGCTGCGCTGAGGGAAGTCGACATCATTGGTGTTTTCCGATACGCCAACTGCTATCCGGCCGCTATCGCGCTGTTCGCTGGTGGCAAGCTAGACGGGGTCGCAGAAGATCTTGTCACTCACCGGGTTGCGCTCGCCGACGGAGAGAAAGCATTTAGATTGGCATTGAATCAAGCAAAGGAAGGCGAGGATGAAGGGAGGGTACCGGTGAAGGTTGTTATCACTTCGTGATGTGAGAAACCCTTTGTTGCCTGCACCTGTGTCGACTCCGCGCAATGCCTCAAGTGCGCTGTAATTACTCCGTACTCTCTGTGTGATGGGATAGCAAAGGGAGACGAGTCACCCTCGAGTCACACCTGCAGTCACCCAACCGTAGCACCAGTCGAGCGCCGGTACCAAACTGCGGAGTGACGTCACCAAAGCGCATCGCCCCGTCGCGTCGGAGTTCAAACTGTGTTCGGCTGTTTCCTGCGCCCCAGGTAGCCTGAGAGTTGCCCTGTCAGTTAATACAGACTATACAGTGCTGATCTCAACTATTTTCAACCGCAGTATCTACTCACCCATCGAGATGTCTGTGCGAAAGATATTGGTTTCGGGGGCAACGGGCAAGCAAGGCGGAGCTGTTGTCAAAGCCCTGCTCGCAAATCCTCCACCGTTCGACTACGAGATCCTCGCCCTCACCCGTAAGACTACCTCGAATTCAGCCAAAACCCTATCATCCAATCCCAAAGTCAGCCTGATTGAAGGCGACTTGGAGGATTGTGCAGCGATATTTCAGAAGGCCGGCGGTGTTGGTGCCGTATGGGGCGTGTTCTGTGTGACCATCCCCAACCTCAAGAGCAAGGTCGAGGGCCTGGAAACCGAGCAGGGTATTAGATTGGTCGATGCGGCCATCGAAAACAATGTCAAGCACTTTGTCTACACCTCAGTCGACCGTGGGGGAGCCGACAAGTCTGAGGTCAACGCTACTTACGTTCCACATTTTGTATCTAAAGTATGTGCAGATTCTACGACTTGAAAGACACATGCACGGGCTTACCCTCTCCAGTACAAAGTTGAGAAGCATCTCAAAGAAGTGTCTCATACCTCAGGCATGACATATACCATTCTGAGGCCCACGGCATTCATGGACAACCTCAAACCAAATCTTGGAGGACGAATCTTCGCGGCGACATGGCACACCCTAGGCGATAAACCTCTTCAATTGGTCGCCGTCAAGGACATTGGTGTTTTCGCAGCCTTAGCATTCGCCAAGTCCGACACGGGCGACTACAGAAATACGGCGATCAGCCTGGCTGGCTGCGACCTCACCCAGGCACAGGCAGAAGAGATATTTTGGAAAGTGTTGGGTCGGCCAATGCCACGCACATACGACTTCGTCAGCCACCTCCTCCTCTATATGATAACCGAAGTCGGAACGATGTTCAAGTGGTTCAAAGAGGAAGGATACGGTGCGGATCTGGCCCAATGTCGGAGGTTGAACGAGAACATGCTTGATTTCGAGGGATATCTGCGAGAGGAGAGTGGTTTCAAGCGATAAGTTGTGGAGGGCGGCCATGTTGGTCGCAATCATGGTCCTCTACCAGTCGTGGCGTTGGAGTGCTTGGAAACGTATATCCATAGGAGCGTCAATATCTCATCTCGATTTTAATTGACCAGCATTGGTTTGGAGCATGTAGGTCAGTAATGGGGCTGGCGACCTGCAATCTAAATACCTTGGCACCATTACCGGCTTGTCTACGTCATCATTCGAGATTCGAGAGGGCTGGACGAGGGTCTCTTCGAGTTCCGCGCGGAGCTTAAGCTCGTCGCTCGGATGAGGAGTGTATCACCAACTAAATGGGCCCGACACGCCCTCAAGGCGCCAGCTGCGCTTTGTCGGAATTGCTCGCAACTGTCTAACTGTCCGAGCTCAACATTGATTGCGTACTTATGCATTAGATCCGAGCATGCTGCAGCAAGATAGGTGCTTCTACGCTCGAGGGCGGGCCCAAGTGCAAAAGGCGAGGCCGGCAACGATGCGGGCGAGATGGACACGCGAAGCTGCAGCAAGAAGAGCCTTGGGGGCAATGATTGGCTGGGAGGTCCAGCACTCATTTTAGCGAAGCGCTAGGACCGAATTGAAACACACGCTAACGTTTGAAGGGACTCCACTTCCAAGTCTCCGCCCCTTTCTTTGGGCTTCACTTTGTCCTCTCTTCTCTCTCACTGCTTGGGAGGTCGAGATTGAGAGGGGTCACAAGGACTTCCTTGTTTGTTGCACCAACGTCCAGGATATCGCGCAACGGCTGGGAAGATGCTCGTACTCGCGCTCGATGATCGCGCGGCATGGATGTCGCTGACCATGTCACTTCCAGCCTCACATGAACTTGAAGCTCGGATATGGTCACATTGTTCAAAAGAGAAGTTCGAATGGTGAACAATACACAATACTGACAGCTTGCAGGCCGAGGCCCCTCTCCACAAAGCTTTATCACCTTATCACGAGATCGACGAAATGTTCCGCACCAACCGAGTCACTATCTGGCACCCTGGCACGCCACGCGAAAATCAAGCTCCTGAAACACCATCTCCTTCGCCTACTGGACACGAAGAGACCCTTTGCTCTGCATGATGGCCCTGCAGGCAGTCAAGTATTGGCTATTCGTTGCCACACCATTGAACAGGCTGCGGCAACCATCCACAATGTTAAGGTTCTTCTCTATCCTATAGACGGCAAAGGCCGTGTCTCTCCCGCAGGTTTCTCCCCAGAATGGGATCTATCTTCATGGATCAGGGCTCCATCCGTTCGAACCGCTCCATCGCCCCTTGCGCTTAGATGTCGATCGGGTTTCCCATAACCATGCTCCACTCGCTCATCTGCTGGTCTGAAGCTCTTGACCCGTGGACGGCGCTCAGTCACTTTTTCTGCCTGACCCTCGGGTGTCCGCTGACCACGAACCGCAGGTGAAGTCGCTCGCTTGTCGTCCAGCCGTTCCTTACCATTGTTCACACGACCAAGCAACAACAATGCTTGTGCAAGCATTGTAGGACACTCTTTGTTCTCCCGGGTCAATGTGATCAATCGTCACTCTTTTGTATCTCACTCTCTTTGTTTGTTCTTTGACAATCCTTGCGCTCCGACTGAGTCGTTCACTTCCTTCGCTTTGCGACCTTCGACAAGTGTCGAACAAACCTATCCTTTCAGACACAGATACTCAGCGAGTACATTCGGTCTCTCCCAAAGAGTTAGATCTACGACCACCGCTTTCCTACGAATACCCAACAGCTGTACGACTCATCTTGCTGGTCAAGTCGACAACTATACACTTCTCTGGCCAGAAGCCGGTTTTCTCAAGCCCCGATTTCTACGAATCTTCAAAGTTCACCATGCCGATCAAATCGATTCTGAGCAGCGCCCTCATCGGGTTGATTGCTTCAGCACCACTCGCATTGGCGCACACTTGGGTTGAACAATTGATGGTTATCGCACCGAATGGCACCTTGGTTGGCGAACCAGGTTTCCCTCGTGGCAATGTCTTGCGCGGTACTCCCGGGTTTGGCGATCCTACCATGGTCAACCTCATCCCACCGGATGGCCGCACTATCAACCAGATCTTACCCTCTGACCTCATGTGCAAGTCATCCCAAACTTCTCAGACCCAGACGGATGGTTCTCCCAGACTACAGGCCTCTCCTGGAGATGCTGTTGCGTTGCGATTTCAAGAGAATGGCCATGTCACCCTGCCAGACAACCAACCTGGCAAGCCAAAAAATCGTGGCACAGTCTACGTCTATGGCACCAGTCGACCTAGCGCTGACGACTCTTTTCTCGCCATCCACCGTGTCTGGACTCCGGATGGAACAGGTGGTGATGGTCGTGGTCGCCTTCTCTCCACCCGCAACTTTGACGATGGGCAATGCTACCAGACCAATGGCGGTGCAATTTCCCAACAACGTCAACAACAATTCAGCCATCCATTTGGTATGGTGATGGGCAATGATCTCTGGTGCCAACAAGATATCCAACTTCCAGCCGACATGGCCACCGGTCAACCATACACTCTCTATTGGGTGTGGGATTGGCCCACCATGCCGGGCACTCCTGGATTCCCAAATGGGAAGCAGGAAATTTACACGACTTGCATGGATATTGATATTGTTGGTGACTCTGGCATTGTTCCCGTCTCCAAAGCACAAGTCAACTTTGCGCAAGGTCAGCCGTACGACCTTGCTGCTGTGCCCGATCAGATGTCCGACATTGCCAACCCAACTGCAGTCACAGGTCAGACCATCCCTTTCTCGAACGTTGTTACTACCTTTCTCACGCGCACCGTTTCCTCACCAATAACCACAACTCCATCGCTGACCGTTTCGTCCCCTACAGGTTCTACGATTGCTTTCTCTGCCTCGGCTACCGGTCCAGCTGCTGGTGGTGCAAGCGAAGCTAGTATCTTTGCTGCCACTGCGTCCGACACAGCCATTCCCGGATTCTTGTCCGTCCACACAGGCTCGACCGCCGGCCCAGGCCTCGAGACGCAGACCTTCACTGTCATTCCCATCGGCGTAACCGCTGATTCGTCTCAACCTACTGGCGACGCCAATGGAAACGGCCGGGGTGGCCGCGGTGGTGACAACAATAGTATGTGGTCCCTCCTCCCTGCTTTCATGAAGTCACTCTTGAAGTGGTTCAAGAAAGCCTCTGCTAACTCTCTCAACTCATCAGGACCACAAGTGACAGGAGCACCCAATGCAGTCGCCAACGCTCAACAAGTCGCCACCTTTACTGAGTACGAATCAGTCACTGAAACTCTCCTGCAGACTGTGTACGTGACCAAGTACACCAAGCGTGATGCAGGTGAGTCATATCCCGCCGCTCCTACTGTTGCGTCCGATGGTTTTTCTTCCCCTGCAACTTCACCCTTCTCCCGCACCCGCCCTTGGGCCCACCTGAACTTCACTCGTTCTGCCGGGCCGCCGCCGTGGCTCGGTGGCGACTCAGCTTCACGGACTCGGCGACCTCATGATCGACCTACAGGATGGCCACAGGGGAATCACAGCAGCAGCGGACAAGATCATGGTGACAAGGACTATACAACCACGTCAACCGGCCAGACCACCGTCACAGTCCAAAGCATTGTCAGCTTGACGACTTACATGCCATCTGCTCCTTCGTCTGCTGCTGCTGCTGCTGTTACTACTGCTGTCGATCCCAAAGCCATCGCTGTCTCACCGTTCCCAGCCCTCCCGACCATCGAGTCCGTGTCATCCACCTCCACGTTCACATACACAGCCACCATCACAGTCATCCCCACCACTTCCACATCCACTTTGTCTTTCCCTGCTCCAGCACCAGTCCCATCATCGTCATCATCGTCTGAGCAGCAGCAGCCGCAGTCACTAACAGTCATCCTAATTCCAGACCCAGCCGCAACTCCCGCCCCCGAACCGGCATCAACAATCCACGCTGCTTTCCGCCTTAGAGCACGAAATCCCTTCGTCGTTCTCGGCTGGATGTCAGCAGAGGATGCGAAGACGACGTCAACCGTCTCATGATTGATATTGAGGAATGAGATGTGGAAAGCGAGGAGCTGTATGGACTGTACCGTGCCGTTCCAGATGGACAGATTGAATTGGCCAGACAGACAGGTCTCGTCAACACACGACGAGATGGAGCTGCGCCGCAGGCTGGCTGGCTGGCTGGCTGGCTGGCTGCTCTGCCAAACAAGTCACGGTGGTGCGACGCGACGCGACGTTACTGGACTGGACTGGACGAGATGATCTTCATTCACGATCTACATACATAACAGATACGCCACACATATGACCAGATATGAAGCTTGCACATTCAAGTACGAGTAGGTATTCGCATTTGCGTGAGTCACGTATGGTGACTGCGAATGAACTTTAACGTACTTTTATTACTCTGTACAGGAGTTCTTGCCACTTTTTCTGCTCTCTGCTTTCTACTTTGATTCCCACTTTGTTCCTCATCTCCGTGGATTTCCTTGCTCAAATATATAGTTCCATTCCTTACGTATTTACTCGTGTGCTCAGCACGAAATACGAAGCTTGTGGCGGATGTATTAGCATTAGGTATTTACTTCGCCGTGGGCAACCGGAGAGGTATGCATGCCGCGGGTTTGTGCGTCTCTGCGTCCCTGCGTCCCTGTGGTATCTCCTTGCTGCCTGAAAAAGGGATTGGTATAGATAGACTGCCTGTTCACAATCCTGGTCACCCGTAGCGCCACCCTCGAACATCGAATCTACCATCCAATTGCAAGGTCTCATCCGCTCCTTATGCCGCTTTCTATCGCTCCAAAAACAGTATGGTACAAGTACAACTGAGGGAAAAGTTGTTCCGTGGCTCGCCCTCACGAAGATTTGATGGGCTTTGCGTATTTCAGCTCCGTCCCCCAGATGTAATCCCAGAATTTGGATGTTACGCCAAAACTAAAAGTAGTCGATCGGTCAGCCATTTCTTCCATTTGCCCAAATGGTTCAGGGTACCTAATTATGGTGTGCTTACCCGAGTTCAAAGTCTTGGTAATGATGTGCGAGATGGTATTTCTTCAACTCGCGCACAAAAGCCGGCAATTGATGATGGTGCAACCAGTAGTGCGTGCAGTCGTAGCAGATGTATCCGAATATGCCACCGGAGAACACCGTGATGGCGGCGTACCAATTGTACCAGAAGACCGCGTGCGCGAGCTTGTAGAATGGTGTGGCCAGGACGAGGAACAGCGTCGGGGGCATTACCAATCGGTATTTGTCCATGGGAAGGTAGTGGTGGATGCCGTGGAGGAGGAAATGTAGCGTCAAGAAGACCGGGTGATCGGGCAGGTAATAGTCAAGGTGGAATAAGAACCGATGCAGAAGATATTCGACCAATGTCCACAGGAAGAGTCCCAGGCACCAATATCCGACTCCCTCGGCCGTGTATGTGAGATTGGTGATGCCCAGATACGATCCGTATATAACAGGTGGCAGCCACAGAGATGGTACGACATACCAGGCCGTCTTGCTCAAGGGTTCAAGGAAGTTCCCAAACAGTGGCGCGGAATCACCGCCTTTGTAGTGTCGCGGTCGATGGATCTGCTGGAGGTAAAACTCCTTCGAGAACTTGCTGAACAGCATTTGTGGGAAGAGCGGTCTGTTTAGGTCCAAAAACTTGTGCGTTTTCCAATCTTGATTTAAATCCGTCTCTTTTGAGAGATCCTCTTCCGAGGACATGCCTGTGGATGCGTACAGTGGCCGGGATGGTAGACCGTCGGTGTCGACACCGTGGGCTTTCAGCTGCTCATTGCCTGCTTGTGTGGCTGGTAACGGGACAATCTGGTCAGGGCGTGAAGCATCAACTGCGGTCTTCAAGACCGGCTCCGTAGGCATGAAGCCGACGAGGCTTTCGTCTAGAATTTCGTACGCAGTTTCGGTGTGGAAATGCGACACCTCGTCTTCCATGATGGCTTTAACATCTTTCCCGGCGAATTCCAGTATCAGCTCACCACCACCCGGGTGGTCGTCAATGAAATCGGTCACATCGAAGACTTTCTCGCCTATCGTGACATAGCACGACTCCTTATTGTTATGCTGCTCCACCTCGGCGCGGGTGATGGTAGGGAGCGTTCGGCCAGGCATGGTGAACCGTACTTTGGCGGGAGTGAGGACAACAAGTGGCCACAGGATCGACAGCGCAAACAGGAATGACGCCTAGGACAGGATGAGGAACCCGAACCTCAGCATTGGGAGCAAGCGACGACGCTGACAGATCGCTGGGTTTATGTTTCGTTCGATTTTGCCTCGTCGTGATTTCGCTCTGCATGTCATGCAACAAACTGCAATTTTTAGGGGGCTTCCCAGGCACCTAAGCGTGTCTTCAGCGCCCAATCGCGGGCATTTCGAGGGACCCAGAATGCCGGTGCCTTCCGCAGCCGGTGGCCAGAAGTCACCAAAGTCACTCCACATGTGACGCCAATCTTCGTACTAACGTACCACTTAGTAGCCCGTACTTGTGCACTACGTGTGCTCTTGGTCCTCCTTACTCATATAATTACCTAATGCGGAGTCTACGGCGAACCACACGGATCTCATGCATGGATGAAATCTCGAGGCAGCCAACGGAGGCAACAGTCCGATCTTGCTCTCCTACATCCTTCTGCCCAGTTTCAAGTGCGACAAATTGGCGACGAAGAAATTCATTCCTTTTCTGAGGCCTGTGATATATCCGTCCTCTTTCGTTATGAAGCGGAAATTGCGGGCTGAGCCTTCAGACGCGAGTATGGCGCCGACGAGTGGCGCCCCGACAGCTGCAAAAGAGAAAGACATCGACCATGATGATCTCTGTCCCATTTGCCATCTGCTCCTATACAAGCCCGTCCGCACAAGATGCAGCCATACAATGTGCGAATCTTGTATGGCCCAATGGGCAGATGTATCAATCTCCTCCCAGTTGGCTCATGTGGGCTTGGATGACGAGGCTACGGTCTTCCTTCCTCACGAAGTTGAAACGCGCTGTCCGATGTGCCGGACATCCACCAACTCCGTACCTGATCCAACTCGGGAGAGGGCTCTTCAGCGTGACTATCCTTCATCCTACCAGGCACGAGAGGTCGAGTCCAAAGCAGGCGAGGAGGACGACTTTGGCTCAACCGTCGAGACCTTGACCGTCTACATCGGGAATGAACACACAGAGATCAGAGCTGCCGAAGGGTCCAACAACAAGCATCAGTGGAAGTTCTTCGTCCGCCCTTCACGAAATGACCTGATTGAAGAGATCCAAATCTTTCTGGTAAGTCCGCATGTCCGTTTCCGCAAACTGAGCTCGCCAACTTGTGATGTTAGCACCCGACTTTCAGAAACCCCATTATTGTGCTTGACAGACCACCCTACGCCGTTACACGGCTAGGATGGGGCTACTTCACGATATATGCGAATGTCATTTTGAAGGCCGGTTATAGCTGGCTTAGTTCCGACGCCGAAGACACCCGTGATGGTGCTCCGAAAGGGAAGTTACCCTTGGAATGGCAGTTAGATTTCACCGGCCGTGGATCTCAAGGGCGGCTGAGGCTGAAAGTGAAAAAGGAGAAAGAAGGCCAAGAAGTCGAAGACGCAGAACAGAGGGAACAGATCCAGCGACTTTGGGCAAGGCAGCGAGAGACGGATCCCGATTACGCGGATCCTGATGAAGGTTGAAAACGGCTGAGGTACACCATGTCAGGTCAGGGTGACTCTGCACGAAACTTCCCTCCTTGGGTGTATTCAGCATTTGGAACAATGCAATGTTCACGGCGTCGGCGACCAACAAAGACAGGACTTTGAAACCTTGGTCAGTCTCGCCTCCTTCAGCCCATGTTATCTTTGTCGAACCTGGCAACCCTTGTCCGCGTCTTTGTTCTTTATGAGTCCAAGTGCTCTTATGCCTGCTTTTGATATACGCGACTGACCCTCGGGCTGCGACTCGTTTTGCCACAACTAGCATCAGATCTGACGTCTTCTATCATCACAACCTTACAGTTGACAGGATTTCTCTTTCTTTGCCTATTCTGCATGTCTTTCATATCCAGGAATTCAGAACTACCACAAGACGATACAGTGTTGGCGTTGTAAGCGACCGGAGTAGACCACAATCGATATTCGTCGTCCCCGGATCGCAGGATAGCAATAACGCCACAGCGCTCCTTCAGAAGGTACAACCACTCGTCCTCGCACATCCTCATTACGGAACTCCGCTGAGTCTATGCAACATACACAATCGTGCCCTGCGCTTGGGCACATTCCAGGCAAGTCCTCCTGCCCTCCTTTTCTCGACGCAATCAACGAGCAAGGAGCACAGTTCCACATGTTCGACGATCCCGAAAAGAGGCTCATCGTCCAGCGAATTAACCTCGTTGATGCAATCTATTCCCGCTGCACCGCGCTCGCTGCGGACGCTAGGATCTTACGACTCGCTTCCCTCGCGTCGCGTATCGTAGCCTCCGGCCACATCAAGCATGACGAAGACGGCACTCGCGTCAGAGTGGCAGTACCAGCAGTGATTGAATTTGGAGAAAACCGTCGCGCCGCACTGAACCGTGGCAACAAGCGCTGGCTAGTGAGCAAAAGAGGTCAGTACACATCCCCTTATGTCAGCGATAAGGAGCAAGAACCTCGGCTTCTTTTGCGAGAACGACAGAAGTCTCGTTTTATGGCTGGAGTCGAGAAGGCGAACAAGTATGCCGACGAGTTTGGCCACGACTTCATCTACGAACCTGCCAGTCTAAATGAGGTTGAGCAACAGCTTGAACGTGGCCGTACCACGAAGCGTACGCATCCCGGCGCGTTCCATCGGGGGAAAGTGATCGATGCATTGACCATGCTGCGCAATTCCTATCCGGTCGAGTACGACGCTGCGCTCTTGGAAGACCAAGTGACCGAACGAAAGAGGGTCAACAAGAAGGTCAAAGCCGCCAAGGTAAGAACGCCGATGCCGTCGCCGACCACACCTCCCCAGAGTTCGCCCCCAAAGCGCTTGTCCATCCATTCAAATGCCAGCGATGCATCTTTCGCATCATTTGTTTCCGCAGACACATTCAGTGTCGGCGCGAGACGCGTCAGGAGGAAAGCCAGCAAGGTCGCTTCCGCTGTGCGGAAAGTCGCCTCGAAGGTCCCCGGCTTGCGATGCCTCAAACGCACGAAGGACCTCCCACAGGGATTTGCCTTTGCTAAATCCGGCGATGATCTTTCGACGAATAGCCAGACTGAGCGACACGTCAACGCCTCCCATGAGAAGTTGGACGAAGCGAGTCAGTGGATGGGTGGGCTTGAGGCCGAGGCGGAGAGCACACAAGAAGCGCCCTCCGTGGCTGAACTTGCTGCACGGTCGATCTTGCATGGCCATGATGCACTTCCGTACCCAAGAAGAGGGTTTACCATCGACGCAGGAGTTGTTCTACCCGTGAAGCCGACGCCTGCCCCTGTCCTTCTGGTGGATCCAGGCAGCGACCACGATCTATCAATTCAGTTTTAGTTGGTGCTCTTCATGTACCTTGTGCTTTTAAGCCGACGTGGGCCCTCAGGTGGCTTCTGTTCGCTGGCCTCGTAGCAGTACCAGGAGCTTGTGTACCAAGTTCTCGTGAGACGCGCTCATTTCTTGCTCACCCATCCGCTCAATTTCTGCAGGCGTAGCAGGGAATCCAGCAACGGTAGCATCAGTCAAGGGGTTAAGGAGCGGCAAAAGAGGGTTCGTTCGGTCCGTAAGATGAAATTTTGAACTCGAGCTGCAATGCTGTTATTGCTATAGAATTAGTGTAGAAATATAAAATGTAAGGGCAATGCGTACCTTGCGGTCATCATCGTAGCGTACGAAGTCTTGACGAAGAGCCTGAAAAGAGCCTCTGAATCTCTGTCTCATTTGCTGATTGCTTGTCCGCATCCCTGTCTTGTTTGGCGACTGCGAATGGGGATGGTGATTGTTCCGAAATGGTGGGGTGGCAGCGGGGGAAGATAACCGCTCGCGAAGTCCGGGTAGTGGGGCGCACTTCCTAGGCTGCGAGGAAAGAGGACCCCTAAAGGCGGCGGCACTCTACCACCAAATTTGGCGGTATATTTCCCACAACTTGCACTAACCTGCCACGTCTTCATTATTCCGTCGTGACTGTACTCCGTACCTCGTACTGTAGAATTCAGCCGCGGAGTCTCGGAGACGAAGGCATCAGCCCCCGCATTTGATGTGGACATCAAATTCGCTGCTGCAACGTCCTGCGGCACTCTCTTCCGTACTGTACATCAACCAGCTGTCCTGCTTCACGGATGTTCGGGAGCGGAAGTCCTGTAGCAGGGTCCGTGTCAACGAGTTATCCTGCGACTCTCAGTGTTGTCCAGCTATGGTCGACCGCTTGAAGTTCCTGGTCAGTTCCGTCCGAGGCCCGATTGAAGCTCGCAGCATCGTCACTTGGTGACACGTTTCATCCCGTGTGAGTGTTGTTCCTGCATTTACACAGACGGTAGGCATAATTCTGAAGTGTTCCTGCATGAAGATCTGGAGTTCTCCTCACCGGGCAGTCGCCTGAATACAGAAAGGGAAGGTTGCTTTTTGAGCATTGCTTGATCGTCGAGATGGAGAAGATCGACATCAGTTCCTCTTTATACCTCACGTCCCTGCCCGCTCAAGAGGCGAATCGTCCGGCCCTTTGCATTTTGGATGTTGGGTTTTTGGATGGGCCGAGCAGAATACTTCAAGATGTCGACGCTTATGCTCTCCATCCTCCTGGCGACGCTTCGTCTCAACCTCGTCGTTGCACAGTCCATCCGAAACCTCGGCGTCTCATGCATTGCCAGTGCTCAAGAATGTGGCCCACGAGGTGGCATCGGCGACGGCGCTCATCCAGTCTTGATTCCTCAGTCCTTTATCACAGATGCCCTGGTTCCCTTGGCACCAAACAGCACACGTCAACTGACACCTGGCCCTGCACCCGTTCGTCTCCTAGCATCTCCAGTTGCCACGGCATCGTGTCCACCACGCCGAAATGTCGTCATCGACACCGCCAATGGCGCTCAGCAGGAGATGGTCGGCTTTGGACATGCATGGACCGACAGTGCTACCTCCGTTTTCAGCACGCTTGACAATGCCACCCTTGCTAGAGTTCTTGACGACCTCTTTGGTCAAAACGGCAACAACATGGGCTTCATGCGTCACACTATCGGCTCTTCAGACCTGTCCGGTGAACAATACACGTACAACGACAATGGGCCCAGCTTCAACGAGGGTGAGCCCGATCTCGACCTATCCCACTTCAGTCTTGGCCCGTACGGCACGGCTCAAGCGGAGTTCATTGGCAGAATGGGCTCTATCAAGGGTGACGTCTTCCTGTTTGGTTCACCATGGTCGTATCCTGGATGGACGAAATACAACGATCTCTTTATTGCTCCCAACCTCAATGTCAACGGTGGAGGAAGCTATAACATTCTCAATAACAGCTTCAATCCAGCGTACATCCCACAGATGGTCGGGTACTTTTCCAAGTATGTCGATGCCTTTCGTGACTTGGGGGTCCAAGTGAATGGCATCACGCCGATGAATGAGCCATTGAACTACCAGGGCGGGTATCCGTGTATGTTTCTTGATCCAGTGGACGCAGCGAGCTTGATCGCCCAGGGCCTGGGCCAGGCAATGCACGATCGGGGCGTTATCATCATGGCATATGTAAGTCCGCGTCTGATCTCATCTGTGTGCCCACAGCTTGTTAAATAGCTTACTTGCCACCAGGACCACAATACCGATCAGCCAGTATATCCCGCTCGGGTCATTCAAGGAACTGGTGGTGAGGGTGGCCTAACAGACGCTGCGGCGTGGCACTGTTACGCTGGCCCGGTCGCAAATTACAGTGTCATGGACGACTTCCATTATGCTTTCCCAAACACCTTGCAGTTCATGACGGAGTGTTCCAATTACCTGCCTCAGTCAGGGAGCTGGAACTTCGAGGTGGCCTCGAATTTCATCCCGCCCGTGACACACGGTGCTTCGGCGGCTGCCATGTGGGTCATGGCGACGGATGAGAACTATGGACCACATTCACCTTACGGCGGATGTGCCGGTTGCTTGGGAAGTGTCGTTGTCAACTCATCAAGTCAATACACACTCACCAATGACTATTACATGGTCGGGCAGTTCTCACGGTTTGTCCGCCGCGGCAGCGTGAATTACCGCGTCCTGGGCAACGGGAACGAAGGCGATGCTAGAGGGGACAACCAGTTCTACACCATGGCTGTACGCAACCCGGACTCCAGCTGGGCGGTTATCTTCATGAACAATATCGGCAGTGATCAGGATATTGTTGTCTCCTTCAGCGGCAGCGAGAATGACGTTTGGCAAGGGACTGTACCCAATGCCACGGTGGTCACATGGTTGCTCCCTGCTCAAGGTGTTGGTACCCCTGCTGCGCCTTTCAGCAATGGGACAAGTGGCACAACAGCATTCGGCACTGGAGTTGGAGTGGTATGTCCGACAATAGCCAGCTCTTCAATGTCTAGCGCCACCTCTTCCACGAGCACAAGCACTCTCCAGCCAGTTCCAGATACGACACATACCATCCGCTCATCTGAACCTACAGGCACTGGTGACACCACTGAGGGACGAAAGATGCCTCGAGCCAAATAAGGAGCCCGACGAAAATATGGTACTCGAAGCTGACCAGCGATTGACATGTATCCAGCAGCTTGAGCAGCTGCATCACCTCAGCATGTGTTTTGTGAGCGAGCATACCTGGTAGAATAACCAGATAACATGGTTTGTGGAATGTATCCGGAGACTCTCGGTTGATCTGCCGATGTACGGTGGAGGAGATGGGCCTGCATGCAAGAAATGCCCGGCGCTACATAGGTACCTACCTAGTACGAGGTACGAGTATGTGCGCTTTATGGAGTACCCAGTACTGTGTGTATCGGCTCCCCCGGGCCCCCACAGGCCCCTCAGCCCCTCCAAGGCGCCCCTGCTGGGTGCCTGGCGGGCAGTCGGCGCTTCTTCCAGCGAGCCGGGCGCTGCACTGAGGCCACGGCACATCTGTAGACACCGGGCTCGCTCCACGCTGGATTATTCGCATCTTCTCCCAGCCATTCCTCCCGAGTCTGCATCGGATGCGATGGTCGAAGAAGCTCTGACTATGCGTTTGATCCCGAATTGTGGACTCGATGATCTGGAGCCATCGTCGACGCCTGACGCCCGAGATGACCGATGACCGAGACTGAAGCATTTCCGGTCGCGACCCTCGCTCGACTCGTATCCGAATCCGCTCGCCGTCAACCGGGATGGCGGACGAACAGCAAAGCCCGTCGACGCCCATGAAGCGCGTGTCAAGGGCCTGCACTTTCTGTCGCGCCCGGAAGTCGCGATGCGAACTGTAAGCCTTCTCATCTGTGTCTCACATACATTGTCGCCAGTCGACCTCTTGTCCGCCCATGCCACCCCGTGCGCCACTTCTCGTGGTTGGCGGAACCTGGTCTTGTCGACTGCCAGGCGTCCGCTTCGGGCGTCCGAACCGGCTATCGACACGCCTCTCACAAGCTGCAATAGCCGCCATCGGCAAAAACTCTCACGACTTTCATCTTGTGTCGCATCCATCGTAACACTAACTGACCACCGGATAGAGAAGCGTCAGGCGGCCAACCGCCATGCGCGCGGTGCAGGAAGGAAAATCGGGAATGTATCCTGGGCACATCGAACCGGGGCGGCAGTCGAGTGAGGAAGAAGACTCTGACCACCACCACCTTGTCTACATTGTCGAACCCTCCGCCGTTGACAACTCTCCACGAAGCTACCCTTGATACCTCTCCCACGACCGATTCACGACCACGCCCGCCCGCCTTCTTGCAACCCTCCCCCCTTCAGGATCCCACCGCTGCAGGCGCAGGCGGGCATGACAGCAGTGGTGGTCCGGCCTTGAGCGCAAACGCTGGCGAAGACGATGATTCTGCGTCGACTGCCGACAGCACAATCGGCAATACCATACCCAGAAATCCGTCAGATGCCTGGCAGTTGTTAAAAGATGTTGCTAATCGGGAGGCCGATCATCTCAAGGCGACAGCAGCGGCAAATCAACAGCACGATCCGGGGAACCAAATGTTGGGGAATGGGCATTCATCCGAGCCCAGAGGTTCGATCAACGGCATCCACGCTGGCATTTCGACGTACCGTCTGGTGCGCGAGGGCTATCTGACCGCCGAAATCATCCAGATGCTAGTCAGGCGATTCGCCGAGCATTACCATCCATATCTGCCCTTGGTCCCACGCAAGTATTTCGACCCGAGCCAACTAGACGCCTTCGCCGCCAATGACAAGCACCTTCTCACAGCCGTCATCACCATCTCCTCCAAGGATCTTATCGAGCAACCGAACATTCACACCTGCTGTTCCCGATATATGCATGATCTTATTTCGGGAATAGCGGGTGGGCACGATTGCGACGTCGAGGCGGTTGAGGCGCTGCTCCTGCTGGCCGAATGGGAGCCGCAAGGTCTGCGAAACCGCATTGAAGCTGTTGGGAGAGGCGAAGAAGATCGCTCGGCGTGGATGCATGTCGGCATGGCCCTGCGGACGGGCTACTTCTTGGGTCTGGACCGAACAGCTTTCCGGCAGGAATCTGCAGAGGAGGCTAGGATTGACGGACGGAAGCGTCTAGCATGGGCCAACTGCTACGTCTCTGATCGGTTGATATCGGTCAGAATCGGAAAAGCCTTCTGGTCGAGGGGACCAGGTCCGATGACCGGACTCTCATCGCAAGACTTCCCATCACTGCAGCCACTCAGCCCCGGCGACGAGGACCACGCCAAAATCATGCAAGCGACCCTCGACTTGACACAGCTGTACTCGAACGTCCACGACGTCTTGTACTCGGGGATGCGCACCAGCGGCCAGATGATGCTGATGGGCGACTACGTCAAATATGTGGACGATTTTCGGGCCGCCATTGCAAGGTGGAATACCACTTGGGGCAGATTGGAGTGTTCGCCGTACATCAAAGTCACACTGCAGCTGTCGTACGAATATCTGTGTCTCTATACAAATGCCTTTGCTTTTCAGGCCGCCATAGCCCAGGCGATTGCCAGCAAGCCGAAGACTGAAGCACATTCACTACGAGACCACCTCCGAAGCGTCTTCAGCAACGTTGGCGCCATGCCAGATGCACGCTTCATCTGGGCAAGCGTGGGCGCTGCGAAGGCTTACCTAACGCTACTCAGCACGCAGATTGATCCAAGCAAGTACCTGCGATACATGCCCTTGAGGTACTATCTGTATTGCATCTACTCTGCCGTGTTCCTGTACAAAGCCCGCTCATTCGGTGTAATGGCGGACATGGAGGAGCGGCAAGTTCGACAACTGGTCTTGCAGACCATGGAGGTTCTCAAGCGAGCTTCGGTGTCAGCTCAGGATCCTGGATCACGTTATGCAAGGTTACTGGAGTTGTTGTGGCTGAAGCCGCACAAGCCGGCTTCACAGCTACCACATCCGTTGCAGTCTCCTGCCACCTCAGATGGGCCACTGTCATCGAGTGGGAGCGTTCGGGTCGATGCACAGGGTTACATGCAATTCAGTCCTGCCAACGACTTCTCCTGGCTTGACCTCGAGGCCGTCGGAGACTATGTGTCTGGCGACCAGATGCCCGGCAACGGCATGAACATCCTCGCCCCAATGGCAGGGTTCGACACTTCCACGCCGTTTACGCCTCAAGGTCAAAATATGCAATGGCAGCAGACGAACAATAATGGTGCCAACTGGCCGATGGACTGGAACGGCAACCTGTTCTTCTGAGCGCATTGTCAGGGACACGACACGTCTCCTTGGAGAAGCCCCGTCAAGGGCGCTGTTCCGTCCGTATCAGGCTAATGTCGGCGACTGAGATCGACCTCGCAGAAGCCGATGTGGGCAACACTTGAACTTCCCCGCACCCCCCCCCCCATTGTCAGTCCGATCTGCTCATGCTGGTGTATCGGTGCAGTCACCGCGGCTGTACAATTGGGTATTTGCCCGGCGGAGATTTACAGTTGCACGCAAGCTGGGGTTCGACCTTAGGCATGAATATAGGACAAAGACTGAGCCAACTGACTTCACATACGAGCAGCCCAGCAGGATCGATTCCTGACAGACCTTCCGCCAGTATGTCCGTCGACAACGAGATCAAAGGCCGACTAGCCCTAATCACGGGGGCATCAGGAGGGTAAGAGTTTCCCGATGATTTCTCCGAACGAGCTTGGACTGACTGCGGCAGAATTGGTGCTGGCTGCGCACGAGATCTGTACAAGAACGGCTGCCACCTCGCCCTGACATACTCGAAGAACAAGGCCAATGTCGACTCTCTCATCTCCGAGCTGCAATCGTCCTCCTCACCGTCGGATCTCAAGATCTCGTCGCATCAAGTCGACATGGCCTCGACGGAAGACATGGAAAGATTATACAAAGAGATTGAATCACAACACGGCCACGGACCGGACATTCTCATAGCCAACGCAGGCTATGGCAAGCGAGTCCCGCAGATAGTAGACATCACGTACGACGAGTTCGACTATACCATCCTGATCAACCTCCGCGCACCCTTCATCCTCGCCAAGCTCGCGGTCCCGCACATGGCACAGCAGAAATGGGGCCGCATAATCATGATGTCCAGCATTGCCGGCTACGGCGGCGGGATCAACGGATGCCACTACGCGGCCTCCAAGGCCGGCCTGACGGGCATGATGCGCAACCTCGCCAACAAGCTGGCCAAGGATGGCATCACGGTCAACGACGTGGCCCCCGCCATGATCGGCGAGACGGGCATGATTCCCGATGCCAAGTTCCTCGAGGGCACGCCCGGCGATGTTAGGAACATCCCCGTGGGCAGGCTGGGGACACCGCAGGAGTGCGCCAATGTGGTGACCATGATTTGTCGGACCGGCTACCTGACCGGGCAGAGCATTCTGCTGACCGGCGGGTTGAAGTAGATATGTATCTAGCATGTAGGAATGTGAAACGTGACATTGCGAAGGAGTTGATTCGAGTCGCTCGACTGGTCAACTATTGATGAACGGATGCTGTGCGCTCGTTTTTGTCTCTGAATAGAATTCTGGGCTCCATGCCGTGAACGTGACTTCAGCTCTCAAGCACGCCAGGGTATGTACGCAACGTGCAACGTGCGTGGCACATATATGAACGGAGTCAAAGATCTGGCATTTCGGCTGTGGTCTATTTGCTTTTATACCCTCCCTCCCTTGGACGCCTCGTTCTCAATACATGTCCCCTTTCCTGTCCATGTCCGTGTCCGTGCCGGTAACCCCTGCCCGTGTCCATACCATTTCCGTGCTCATGTCCATGCCCGATTGGATTCCCACTTAGATGGAAATGCATCGTGGATCCATGCATGAATGCATAACTGCATGAATGCTCGAATGGAGGCGTGGTTGACTGTATCCACCACTTCGTTCGTCGAGTGGTTGTTCATGAACGCGTTGGTCGTTGCTCGCTGCTCGTGCTTCATCCTGGTGTCGGTCGAAAGAACAGGTGGTAGTTACCTAGGTAGGTAGGTATGTGCGTAGATACGTAGGAAGGTAGATAGGTACCTCAGGTAGGTAAGCGCATCCTTCCCGTTTTGCTTGGTCTTTAACATCAGGGACTGGGTCGCCCCGTCATTGACTTCGGGCTCGGGATTGGGCTTTTGCTTGGGCTTGGGCTTTTCCTCCACCACAACCTCAGCCTCGTGCACTGTGTACTGAATACTGAGTGCTGAGTACTGTTCCCTCGGAGACTGGTCTTTCCTTGTCAGCACCACTCCATCGCGGTCCTGGATGAAAGATGGGTCTTTTCTTCCTTCCTTCTTCCTTCTTCCTTCCACTTTCTTCGACGGTAGACCTTAAGTACGGTGCCCTCGAAGTGTGTGGGATGGAGCTTCCACGTTGTGCGTCCTGGTGTAGGATCAAGAAACGGCGGATCAACGTCCTTTTCCTTTCCTCAAACCTAATAGCTGTTCCCTGAAGAGTGTTTACTCGCGAGAATATTTCCTCACGAGAATTCCCCCACAAGAATTCCCTAACAAAAACACTGCTTCCCTCGAAGCTTTATGATGATGCTTCATCCATCCATCTAATGCTATGCTATGCATGACTGGTGCCCTCACTTCTTGGTTGCCTCTTTCTCACTCACTCACTCCCTCCCCCTCTCTCTCGTCCCTTTCTCGCTCGTCCCTTCCTGCCCCCTGCCTTTTCAAATCGCCTTAGCTCGTCCCACCTCACCTCGGCCCCGGACGTAATATAGGCCCTCTACCCTTTCCCTCCTCAACTTCGCGCTGCTCAGCCCCGGGCCGGACATCCTTTCTGGTATCTTTTCCGGCAAAGACTTTCTTCTCGCTCGTCTTCGATATCACGCTCGCACTCTTGCTCTTGCTCTTGTGCGTGGTTGTGCCCATGTATGTCTTTGGGGGAGCCTGGTTGGGGAGGTGCTCTCCGCCGTGGGCGACGACGGTGGAGCCACCTCCCTCGTATTCCGATGTCGTGCTCGAGATGGCCGTGTTGGCAGGCGAGACTTCCAGGGGATTGAACTTCACGCCTGCTTGAGATTGTGCTTGTGCTTGTGAGTGCGTGGACGTGGCGGCCGTAGAGACAGGCGGCTGTGATTGCTGTTGTAGTTCTTCTGCCGCTTGAGCGATTGCTTCGCCCGGGTTGCTGGTGGAGCCGGTGTTTGGGGTGTAAGACGTGTCTTGGGCGGCGACGGCATCGTCGGTGCCCGAGTTGGTGTATTCGTAGGATTGACGGTCAATCGTCGTGCGGGCTTGTTGGGCGTTGCGTTTGGATTGGATGTCTTGTTGGGATCGGGATTGAGGTTCAGGCTCAGTTTCATTTTGGGATTGAGATGTGGGTTGCGTAGACGGCCGAGAAATTGGAACGGTTGATTGAGGACGTCTGAGCAGGAGAGTGGACTGTGGAACGGTGCGATGGAATGTGCTTGAGGTTGGGATCCTCATAGTTGAGGCTGAGAAGGGCAGAGATCTCATTGTGTGAAAAGGTATTTGTTTCGTGTTGAGACACAAACGTTCAGAGGTAGGACTGCGGTGAGAGGAGGATGATTACCACTACAGGAGGACGAGACGAGAATGACCTACCACCCACTACATTTAGGTTGCACCACAATTGAGGTTACACATGAATTCTAATATCATGACGTTTTAACTCGTGTTGAGGGGCCACAGCGGCGAAAGTCACTCGGTTGAATGTTTTCGAGCATCTTTCCCCGGATTCTGCCCACGATGTCATTGGTGTGCCTCCCGGGTAATACTCCCGTGTAGTCCGCCAATAGCCTTTCAAGGTGCGGTGAAGGTTCCGATATTCATTCCACGCTGGGATCTTCCTGTAGCCATGGTTGTATTCCGACTCTTCGGTACTCACCGTCGACCAAGTCAGATGCAAAGAGTGTCGGAGTGAGCTGAAATTCTTCGCACGAAAGGGGAAACCATGAGAGGAATGCAATTTACACCCATCAGCGCAGCATATCCGACGACTACTCCTCCCATTGTATGTACTAAGAGTCGAGTAAATACATCCAGAGCTTCAATGCGCCTTGCGAATCGTTCTCCACAGAACAGCGATTGTCGTTCGAAGCCTGTAGCGCCAAAAGGTGCCAAAATTCCATGACGCCCGCATGCGCCCTGCATCTGCTTGATTACTGCGTCTTGAACAGGAGTATCGCGACGTGGCCGAGATAGAAGTAGATGAAGTGCTTCGTTTCTGTGTCGGCCTCGTCAGTCTCGGGTCCAAGGAGTCGCGTGATCTGTGGGAGTCATGGAGTACACGTACCGTGCGTGACGAAGCTGCCAAAGTTCCTTCCCACTATGCAATGCCATGTGGCACCCTTTTTCGAGTCGAACTGTGTGGAGCTGTCAGACGAGTCGGACCAGGTGTGCTGCCTTTCAGGGATCGGATACCTCTCGCTTGATATGTTGAGCAATGTCCTGTCGCGAATGAGCACGCCACCGACGCCGACTCGAGGGACTTAAATGTATACCTTTTCGACACTGAACTTCTCCATTGCATCTTGTGCTAGGCCACCTGTCAGAATCTTCGTTGTTCCCACTCTTCTCGCGTTGTGCATCTCATACCAACTTCAATAGCTTCCTGTTGCATATCCTCGCTCTTGTGAACTCGTCAGCAGCGCGCCGGTGTTCTCTTGCTCCAGGATATCTTACCATGTCGACAGACTTGATCTGGGCTTCACGGACATCAGCCGAACATCTGCAAGGGCATGTATTGGACGACTTACGCTCCAACTTGACCTTCTTTTCGGGATTGGGTTCCGGGGCGGCCATGGTGACGATAGGTTTCACCTGTGTCGAATCGTTCGCTGTATCAAGGAATACAAGGACGACGCTGCACAAGAAAAGGCCGCAGTATTAGTCTGATGTGTGAAGCAAAGGTGGACTCAGGATCACACGATACTTTAACGCCCTGATGCACATGCGCAGACGCGCAGCCAGTGACCAGGATCATGCGGGGAAATTTCGGCTACTCTTGGCGATTTTTTCTCGAGGCCAAAGACGCTTTTCCGTGGCAGTTTCTTCTTTGGCACTGCCAGTGTAGAACAGCATGGCAGCAGCCGAGGACCACGATGACTCTTCGGTCACTCGCATCTACGTCTCGGGGCTCCCGCCATCGACGACCAAAGACCAGGTGCGGTCACATTTTGCGGCACGAGGGAAGTACACCGTCACAGATGCTCATGTCATTCCAGACCGCCGCATGGCCTTTGTAGGCTTCTCGACTAATGAACAGGCCAAGAGCGCGGTTCAATATTTCAACAAGTCCTTCGTTCGCATGTCGAAGATCTCTGTCACCTTAGCCAAGCCCGTCCAAGTCAGGCGCGATGAGAAAGGCCAGGCGGTTCCTGTGTCGGAACGTGCTTCGAGGAAAAGGAAGCGCCATGTTCAAGATGATGGCGAACACACCCGGCAGCCTCCAATCAGCCGACCCACACAACCTGCCACTGAAGCGAGTTCTAATCCAGCCGCCCAGGTAAATATTGTCCCGGAGGAGGAGGAACCTCAATCACAAGAACAACCGTCAGAAGAAGCACTTGGCTATAGCGACGCTTCAGAAGCGCCGAAATCAGACATGGATTGGTTGCGACGGAAAACAAACAGAACTCTGGACTTGGTGGAGGAGAACGAAACCAGCAAGGACAGATCAATGGCACTTCACACTGATGCTGTCGATCCAGGCAACACCGACACGACAGTTGCTGGAATCAAGGCCGGCGAGGGCGACGATCAAGACACGGAAACTCCACAGGATCCCTCTGTATCTGTGCCCAACGCTCGGTTGTTTGTCAGGAACCTCCCATTCGATACACATGAAGACGACCTCCGAGCCGTCTTTGCTCCCTTCGGAAGAATCTCAGAAGTGAGTCTGCCTCTGGTCTCCTCCCACCACGCCACCTGCTTTCGTGATGATTTCCTGATAGGGACAGCTTATGCTTTGCATATGATTCGAACTGGGAAAGAGTATTTTAGTAGATGCCTCTCACTTCTGACTTCTTCTTTTCCGACTTCGTTATCCGTTGTGCGCCGTTGGAATCGTCACTAACAGTCGCTAGGTTCATCTGGTGACAGATACGCGAAAATCCACTGGAAAAGGCCTTGGCTATGTACAGTTCGTGGAGCCAGTGGATGCGGGAAAAGCTATTGTCGCCCTCGATGGCAAGGACTTTCGGGGCCGGTTGATGCACATTCTCCCATCTTCAGACAAGAAGACCCAAAAGCTCAGCGAGTTCGAAATATCGAAACTGCCCTTGAAGCAACAAAAGGCTATCAAGCGCAAGAATGAGGCCTCGACTTCAAGCTTCAGCTGGAACTCGCTATATATGAATCCGGATGCGGTCCTGGCATCTGTCGCTACTCGTCTAGGTGTCTCGAAGGCAGACTTGCTCGACCCTGCCTCGGCAGATGCGGCTGTCAAACAAGCGCATGCGGAAACTAGTGTTATCAAGGAGACCAAGGATTATTTGAAGTCCAATGGTGTAAATATTGACGCCTTCAAAAGTCGGTCACGGGACGATCGGACGCTACTGCTGAAGAATTTCTCGTTTGGTACCACTGCGGAGGAACTGTCCCAGATGCTCGCCCAGTACGGGACAGTTGAGCGTCTGCTTTTCCCGCCAACAGGTACCATGGCGGCCGTCCGGTATCGTGAGAGCAGTCAGGCTTCCTTGGCGCTAAAACAGCTGGCATATCGGAATCTAAGAGGCTCCGTACTCTTTCTCGAAAAGGGTCCAGCTGGCCTCTGGGACGGTCCTGCGCCGGCAACAACCACAGAATCAGCAAAGTCCAACGGAGACGAGATCGACGGGGTCGTTGCTACGACCTTTACGGTTTTTGTGCGCAATTTGAATTTCTCGACCACCTCAACCAGACTTGTGGAGGCGTTTAAGCCACTGTCGGGATTCCTCTCTGCACGAGTCAAGACAAGGACAGATCCCAGCCGACCGGGCGAAATTCTCAGCATGGGCTTTGGCTTTGTCGAGTTTCGCACCAAGAGCCAAGCAGAAGCGGCAATCGCGACGATGAATGGAAGACGACTCGATGGGCACGAGCTTCTTGTTCAGACGTCACAGAAAGCCACAGATCTGGGCGAGGAAAGGCGCAAAGAAGACACGTCCAAAAAGCTGAACTCGGCAAAGACGAAGATCGTCATCAAGAACTTGCCCTTCGAAGCCACCAAGAAGGATGTTCGCGCCCTGTTCAGTGCGTATGGCCAGCTCCGCACTGTACGAATGCCCAAGAAGTTCGACAACACTGCCCGCGGGTTTGCCTTTGCCGACTTTCTCACAGCTAAGGAAGCCGAGAATGCCATTGAGGCCCTTTCAAACACTCATCTGCTAGGCCGTAGGCTGGTTCTTGACTATGCAGAGGGTGAGATTGTCGACCCCGAAGCAGAGATCCGAGCCATGGAGAAAAAGGTCCAGGGTCATCAGGATACGCTAACTCACCAAAGGATGACTGGTTCCTCCCGGAAGAAGTTCAACGTTGATGCACGAGAAGACTTCGACCCCCTCTAGCTGATCGGCTGCCTTGCGGTATCCACTTCATCCCTTGCAGAGCCTCCTAACTTCACACTCCAGATTTCGGACTCATAGAAGTTCCCTTCAATATACGTCCGTTGTGGAATATTCAACCCTTTCTCTCCTTCAATATTGGTCTCAGATACAGTTCACGCTGGAATTAATGAGATTCTCAGATCTGGCTCCGGCCGACTTAGGATGGTGTTGGAGGTCAGTGCTGCAGGATCTCATTCCGTGGACAGATTGGCCACAACAACCAGGCCGCAACTGATTCGCTCGGTCAATATCTGTGCGCTCGGTCATCTTTTTCGCTGATGCCATTATGTTTGCCTCTTGCCTACCGCCAGTGCTTCCGCGCACCAGGATCGAATCGGATCTTTAGGCATTTTGGGAGCATCCCATCCCTTGCATTGCCCTTTTGGGACGTTTCCAGTCCGTGCGGTAAGGATCGCGAATGGAACTTCACATCGTGAGATTGCCTGTCTTGCTCGGTCTCGATTCTGTGGACAGGGTGAAGGTCAACGACTGTGGGGTTGCATCTGTGACCATCCAACGATTGAAGGGTTACTGCTGGCAGGCCCAGGTCGAAGACGTGAAGAGGATCGGATCGCACGAGCACTTCTCGACTGTTATATGTTGGCCATTTCCTTCTCAGCATACCTTCTCTCATTCCAAAGTCGTTTGTCCTGGTTGAACATTGTCTACCACATTTCTCGTTCTTGTTCTCGAGCGTAACTGGACAAGCATTGGGCACATTCACCACAATGGAGTGCATACCTCCCGGTATGTCGGCATCTCTGCACTTTGGGGACCCAAAGTTGGCCGGTGAGCATCTCTCGGTCTCTTCTGGCAACGTACAGCTGCTCCCGGTTCAACAGAAAGAGGGGACCGAGAACCAATATCCCCTCCCTACGCTGTCAAGTGGAAGACAAACACCTCAGCAGTTCCCGATCCCATCTTTGAAGCTCGGCTCGAATGTTGATTCGCATCACGGGTTCGATGCGAAGTCCCGACGCCACCCTCTCAAACCACGGCGCTCGAGGCTCAACGATCCGGATCGGCCATATCTTGTCCACCCCAAGTACATCGAATACAGATCCCGGCCTAGGCAGGACATCGGCAAAGATGGAAAACCAATCTGGCCCGACCACATTGAGGCGGCCTTCCAGGACGGTAGACTTTGTCATTTCCCATTTCGGATAGTGGATGCTGACGATCGACAGCCCTGGTCCATATCAAGCCTATGGGTAGAAAGAAGTGCTCTCAGCGAGGAAAGCCCTACGGCCGGAATATGCTCATCGCTGAATGGATCTACCGTGCAACTGGCCATAAGAGGGAACGCAAGCAAGTCTCGAGCCATATACAAGTGCTCGACCGGTTCCTTGCAGGTATCCCCGAGTGTACGCCACCGTTCTTCTTGCCGCCGCCTATATCTAAACTGACTCAGCCACAGGGGATCGCCTGATCAAGCCTGGCGACGACGATGATGCCGGGCCCACCGAGGGTCACAAGTTCTACCACAATTCAATCGAGCACATGGTCAATGAGCAGAAAGCTCGAAGCAAGATCCGACAACAGAGCGGGACAGCTTGGGGTTATGACCTCGACGATGTTGACGACTCACTCGGCTCCGGAGGCCCGAATACTGACTCGGACCTTTCACACCCGGTCGAGTCGCTAAATTTCGAAATGTGGGTGAGCTCGCCAGTCGACCAAGAACGTGCCTTGCACTGTTACAGCAAATCAAAGTCCGACAAACTGGCGGCCATGCCGCTCGAAGACCTTGCGGGCTGGCGGCTGTCTTTTCCACACTTGACAACCCTAGTCGACCGAGGAAAGAGGCTCAACGACTGCGACCTTATCTTGCTCAATACCAGTTTCAAGCTGATGCAAGAATTTCCCCCTCGTCACTCCAAGCTGGGAATCGGCCTCGAGGTCAAATTCCCGGATCCGCTCCTCTGGCCCGAGTCTCACGGAGACGTCGACTTCAAAATGTGGACTTGCACCACCTATATGTACCGGGACGGGATACTGATATCTGACCCCACTCGCGAAGAGTGCCAGGTCTCGGAACATTGGAAGGTCCGACCCTTCTTCCAGTCGAAATGGTGGGCGTCGGCATTCACCTCGCTCACAGAAGTAAGAAAAGTGGCTGAGGATACCAAAGATCCAGAAGCAATCGAGCATGCCCAAGAACAGTCTCGCAGCTTTTTCCGAGGACTCTCGATCATGCAGGAGATTTCGGCCGTTCGTTGTGTTGGTCGTTGGCAGATGAAACAAGACAAGCGCACGCGTATGGCTATCTTGCTCTGGAAATTCACTCAGGCAGACGGCGTGGGAACAGCGACGTGGCAGAACCTGATCGCTCCGCCGGATCGTGTGACGACGAATAGTCCTCCACCACCCGGGACGGAGATGGATCTGCCGCCTCTTTCCCTCGACTCCATCGTCTCGCCGGGGAATGGCTCGTTCGAAAGTAATAACCAATTTCTGTCGCAGCACAACATGCAATATGACGTGTATCCTGATGCCATGGACGAAGAGCTCTGTCAAGACGGATTCATGGGTCTCAAGCCCGAACAGATTGGTTTCGGCCATTTACAGTCGTTCGACATGTCACTTCATGAGTTTGCCGGCGTGGACCCAGCACTCCACGATACGTTCGATCTTCAGCACGGCGCTGTCCGGACGACGGTTGCCAACCAGCACGGCTTCAGTGGCAACCTTCTCGAGCCACCCGATGCACAGGCGAGCCTGCAATCAGACATGAATGGTTCTCTATTTGACCACCATCAAGCTGTCACCAGCCGCCACACGCAGGATCTGCCCCTCTCCAGATTCGATGTCACAACGCACCAAGTACTCCAGGAGCAGCTCAATGCCGAAGACAGCCGACACAGCGCGTCTGCGTCCCACTCGCCGTCCATCAGACCCGAGTCGTCTCCGAGGCTGCCCAGCGACGTACATGAGCGTCGTTGGAGCCAGCAGCTTGACGAGGACGAGAAAATACTTCGTATCCTCGCAGCGCAGCAGCACCAGCAGCAGCAATTGGCTCAAACACAGACGCGGCAGACGTGGTCATCGCAAGTCGATGAGCATCAAGCCCTGCGCCATGCCTTGCTCGGTGCATCAGGCATAACTACTGTCGGAGCCACGCCGGGGCGTCACCGGGCATCTCCGGCCCAACATCAGTTCAGCAGCATTGGCGATCGGCAACAAATGCACGACGAACCGCATCGGATCTCACTCATGTCGTTCCGCCCTCCTCTGCATTCCTATCACAGCTTCCCTGGCATGCGGAGTGACGAGAATCTGCATTGCGTATCGTACGGAAGCGAGCAGCACGGCGATGGACTGTCTCTATCGCAACCCCTGGCACAGCTTGACGGGCATCATTTTCTCGACCACCAGCTTTCCGCTGTTTCTGCGCCAGAGGACTTCCTGCGTGCAAGCAATCCACTGGATGCAGGGTCTCGCGATTTCATCAGGGCGCACAGCGAGCCCGATCCAAGTGTCGCCGCGGCTGGCGAATGCTTCAGCAGCAGTCTGCATGAAGTGATGACCGATGCAGTGGGCGACTCCGAACTCCAAACACACGCGGAACCAAGCCCGCTTGGTCCAGCGGACACGACCCCCGGAGGGAGTCCCGTTGAAGTATCAATGCAGGACGTGCAAGGGAGCGAATGAGTGTGAGAGTGGGATCGTGCGAAGGTTCTATAACAGTCGTACGTGACCTCGGGTAAGCTAGGATTGGGTGCACCGGATGAATGGCTAGGGCAGTTCGGTCAATCAGTCAATCCTGAGTAGTCAGTCACTACCTCGGACAATGCATGGGGTGATGGGAATTTTCTGCTTCTACAATGTATGTCCGTGACACACTGTATTCATAGTAATGATGCTTTGGCAGTATGATACCAGGGCTTGTAGCCGGGCAACGGTTGTTTAGCAATCTGTCGGTGACTCGAGTTGGTGGACAGCGGGACCGTCACTGGACGTCCGGTCAGCTGAAAATGAAGTTTGTCCGCCGTGCCAAGGCCAGTGGGGATTTTAGTGTGATATCCAGAACCGGCTAAACCGCTTCCATTGTGTTTGGATTTTCGCACCTGCTCTCGCAACCGATTCACCCACCCTTCCTTTGCAGAGTGTGTACACAGTAAGTACAAGTATGATTGCTGCTCTCTACGAGTTTTCCTGCTCCTGCTTGTGTTTCTTCTGGCGTTAGCCAGTTATTCAGTAGCCAAGGGTGGCTCAGTCGTCTTACGGAGTACAGTATCGTAAAGTAACACGGAGGCCGCGGTCGTTCTAATTATTTGTTTCCCGTGTCAATCAATGGTCTTTTCCTGACTTGTATGCTCGCTGTTGGCCTCCGGTAGGGGTTCGCTTCAGCAGAAATACGACCCTCATGACACGTACGTGGGCGAGATGCAACATCTTGAATCAGAGGCACCGGCAACGACGACAGGCAAAGCAGCAGGAGGAAGGGATGTGTCGTTTTATGGCGGGGCCTGATTCATGTGACGGGATGGTGGCGTGTTACAGGTGTGGCCTACTACGCAGCCGTCACGACGTGCACATATTATGTACTATGTATTCAAGTTCAGGTTCAACTCGTCTCAGCATTCCTCATCAGAGCCTATCTGTTGCCTCTTGGTTTGCTACTGTATGTACCTCGACAATTCGATGTCTGGAAACAATTGCGTCCAAGTCCGAATACAACCTGCCTGCTCTCCGGCCACGCAGTAGGATGAGGGCACTCAGAGCCGCTTCCTGAATCGTCCTCCCATCAGGCTTGTGCCAACGGGCGTACGGGGGCAAGTTTGAAGTGAAGCCTCAATGTTCGTCCACGCCAAGTTGCAAGCGTCACCTAGGCTGAGACCGCTGCCTTTCCTGCCACCCCACCCAACAATTCCCCCGATCTGGTCATCGGGTACGAAGGTCATCTAGTGCTGCACTGCATGTTAGCATTACTCGCACCCAAGAGACTCTATAGGGGCAACATACACCACAGGCGGTGCATTTGCAACCACTGCCGCAAGAGCAGTTGGCAGCGCCGGAACAGTTGCAAGGACCCATTTTGTGGATGTTGAAGTATTGGCTAGGGGTTTGCGTTGGTGATGGTGAAGAGTGATGACTGTCGAGATCTTCTCGAATAACGGATTTGGGATAGTGATGTGATGTGATGTGATGAAGCTGGAATCGAAGCCGAAGTTTGTTGATGAATCTGCACACTGAGCATTGGATTCTGAAAAGGGCGGGGGATACTTATACCTCGCTAGAACGTCTGCCACGAACCTGACCTGGGGTGAGTCCATCTCGCGCTTTCGGGCCAATCGTGTGGCACCTGAGTTGTTTCTGCGTATCTGGACGAATCAAAGAAGGGCAGGGCAACGAGGACAGCCAATCAGCAGCAGACACAAGTGGCCCCAGGATTCGTGAACGGGGTCGTAAGCGGCAAAAGTTTGCCTAGGTTGAGAGACCTTCGCGTCCTACAAGGTCGATGGCCATGCCGATTGGACAGCTGGCCGGATGATCCAGCGCTCGGGAGGGTAAAACGAGTGGGCAGTCCGACGCATCCTCGTAATCAACGCACAAAGTACTCAAGAGACAGCCAAGTCAACGCACAAAGGGCTCAGGGCTCAAGGCTCAGCGCACGAGGGACTCAGGATCAAAGATTGCTAACATTTGCGCTGCCGACTTTCCTGTACACCTTGGTGCTCTGACAAGACAAAGTGTTCGCTTTTCTCTATGCTCGTCATCTCCCAGAAGCTGTGTCGTTTGCAAAGTGTAATGTTACATCCCCTTCGAGCCCAGATGAACGTGGCTTTTCGACGTGTGCGACGCCTACGATTCTGCTCATAGCAAGAACGAGGCCGCGAGCGCAGCCGCACCGAAGAGACCCATGACCATTTGAGGGGCACTGGCAGCGGCAGCCGAGTCTGGCGAGCTGGAGGGGGTAGCATCCCCAGAGGCGGTGGGTGAGGCGGTCCCCGACGCCGAGCCAGAGGCCGAGGAAGAAGGGCTCGTGTCGAAGTCGTTCTGGTTTGTGATGACTGCTGTCAAGCCCGTGACGTTGGTGCAGCTGGCGCCGACCGTGTCGTTGATGCCGGACACGAAGTTGACTGCCGCACACTGTGCATTGGGAGGTTAGATACCACCGACACCCGACGACCACCCTGTCGAGAAACTCACCTGGTACAAAACGCCATCAGGCCCTTTTTGGATCACTTGAATCACACCAGGGTTGCCGGCGAACTCGGCCGGGGCCACCAGGGCCGGGAGACAGAACTCGCCGATCCCGGTTTCCGAGACCACGGGCAGCAGGTTGGTGAAGTTGAAGGGGGGCTCTTGGTCGAGCGTCGCGCGGAACAGGAAGTCTGAAGCTGGGTGCGTGCTCAACACCGAGACAGGGAAACCGCCGACCGGGATCGAGGAGTCATTGCTGCCGAAGGTGACATCGAAGCCACCGCAGGGCGCGGTGCCTTCGTCGTCATCGCTGAATCCGACCGAGTTGGGGTATTGCAGAATGAAGTGGGCGGAAGCAGAAAGGGTCCAGGCGGACAGCAGGGCGAGGTGGGTGTACAGATGCATTCTTGCTGGATTCTATTGGTACGTGGCCTCGAGGGACGATGTTGCTGAAGATCGAGAACGGGGAAGGGCAATAGACAGTCAGTCAGTCACTTCACTTTCACAGAAATCGGTGGCCAAGACTGGTGTCTGTATATTAGTAGCGACGGCGTCCCTTGCTGGCTCTCCTGCTACAGTCCCTCATCGGCAGCTGACGCGCACTTGCTATTTCCTGCTGCTGCGACCTCGTTGCTAACGCCTGTCAGCGACTCCGGCGGACGATTGTGCGTGGCGCTAGTTGCTGGTGAGCAAGTTTCCCAAGTGGGGCCCGTGAACCGCGAGCACGTTTTCGGACCAATCACAGCCGACCTCCTCGCCGCGATACCTGCGCTCGCAGGCCCGCAACATTCTCGACCCAGACGGCGAACGATCGAACGAGGTCTGAGAAAAGAACCTAGTCTTACGCCATGCGCCGGCTTGCAGAGACTCTTCCTGCATCAGATGCAGGAGCCGTGGCGGAGGATCGCCGGCCTTTCTTGCTCACCCCTCCGCTCTCTCACCAGCCTGACACTGCGAGCACGTTTCCAGCTTGCCAGAGGGGGGCTCTACGCCGAGTCTTTCCATGTGCCTGCGAACCGTGGATGACGCCGCGTAACCGAGGGGACTGCTAATTTTGTTTCCTGTTCGTCAGCGGCGCATGATATCTGGAACCAGAGTTCCTGCTACGTACCTGTCGAAGATCAAGGGGTCTGGACATTGACGACAGAACTGCAAGACCCTCGACTCACCACCAAGATGGATATGTCGGGTATGATGGGGATGGACATGTCCATGGCGGGCATGTTCACCCCAACCAACAAGAAGGTGGCGCATCTCTACTGGTACCTCGTGGCCGCCGTCGTCGGCGTCCTGGTCTTTCGTCGAGTCGTCGATCGAGTGAGACTCTGGCAACAGTAAGCGCAAACACGACGAAGACGGAGTATTTGTGGCTACTAACAACGTGAAGTAGGCGATCCGGCCAGCAGCAACCCCAGCGAATATCTGGACGACCCCAAAACGCCTTCGAGCAATGCTACGACACCGCGATAGCAATCTGTAGGGAGCTTGCCTACCCGCAGTTGTGGACATGTACCGGCAAATTCAGCCGATATTTTACCCCTCCGCCGTTGGGCCGGTGTCTACTCCTACTCGCCTACTGGGCGATGATATTGACCATGCTGTGGTCGAATGTCATTCTTGCGCCTTCAGCGTCGGATTATGCCTACAGATGGGAGATTGTCGGCTTCCGCGCTGCGTGGGTGTCGATAACCCAGCTGCCACTGATATACATTCTTTCCGGGAAAGCCAACGTCATCACGATGTTGACTGGGATTTCATACGAAAGGTTGAATTGGTTGCACCGTTGGGTTGGCCGGACGATATTCCTGACCCTGATTGTGCACTGGGCATACTTCTTCACCGAATGGTCCATTGCCGACTTTGTGAGCTTCGAGCTGAAAATCATGCCCATGGTGAAGTACGGCTTCGGAGCTTGGGCAACACTGGGCTGGATGGTGATCACTGGGTTTGGGTTCTTCCGCAATCTCTCTTACGAACTCTGGTTTTTGCAGCACCTTGCGGCGGCACTGGTACTGCTCTGGCTCGTACACAAACATGTTCCCTCCTACGCGGCGTACAACGTCTGGTTCGCTGTCGGGGTTATCGTCTTTGACAGACTGGTGAGGACGGTCATGTCTCTGGTCATCAATCTGCACCTCATCCCGTCGAAAGCGCAAAACAGTTCCCCAGGACGCCGGATTGGTTACGAAGCCGAAGTCACCAGTCTCTCGAATGAGTTTCTCTTGGTCAAAGTGCGAAACGTCGGATTCTCGTGGCGCCCCAGTCAACATGTCTATCTGTCCATACCTCGGGCGGGTGTATTCGAAGCACATCCGTTCACCATTGCGAGCGTTCCAAGCTCGATTTCTGGAGCAGATGGATCGAATGATGTTCAGCTGTACCTGCGAGTACACAATGGATTCACCAAACGATTACAGCGACAATGTCAAAGGCAACTGACGCCACGCGCCTTCCTATCATTCATCAGCGGACCGTGGGGGAACCCTCCTTCCCTCGAGCGCTTCGAATCCATGGTCTTTGTCGCCGCCGGGAATGGCGCATCCTTCACGCTCCCTATGTTCCAACACGCCGTCATGAAGAACAACAACGTGAGGCGAATCTCATTCGTCTGGATTTTCCGGCAGCCGGAACAACTTGACTGGTTTAAAGAACAGTTACTCTCAGCCTTGACGTTAGCGCGTCAGCGGAGTATCAAAGTTAACATTCACGCATTCATCACCGGATCGGCGCGCGACAGCGTCCAAACGCCATCTGAGAGGAATTCGCTGCTCGGACAGCGATCAAACCCAGATCCCTCGAGGGACGAAAAGTCTGCTAATGGCCTACTGTCGTCGGTAGAGAAGAGCGAGTCCATCGACCTGTCCATCAAGAAAGGAGATGCCGGGATTGTCAGGGAGAACTCTGTATCCTCTGCCTCTTCTTCTTTGATGAGCGAGCAGCCTATGATTTCCATCAATTATGGCAGACCCGATCCGGATTCTCTCATTCGTCCTATAGTAGAAGAAGCTTGGGGAGAGACCGGCATCATTGCTTGCGGTGGTAGCCATTTCACCGGGCAGATGCGTAACTGTGTGGCAAGCCTGTCTGATGAAAGAGGCGTTCACAAGGGAACTGGTGCCCAGGGTATATATCTGTTCTGTGAAACTTATGGATGGTAAAGCATAGCGACGGCGGGCTCACGGCGTTACTCATACCGTACGAGATATGAATCCACGCACCTTTTTGGCCTCTCGTTATCTCCAGTAGATGATTGTTGCTGCTCGATGCAACTCGACTACGGACACCCCCCTTGAGCCAGACCCTTCAGGTCATCAAGCCACATTCTCACGGCTCCGACCCACAACTGCTCCGAGGCAAGCATTGGCCAGCTTACGCCCTCTAGTCGAGCTCGCCAAGAACCGCGAAGGACAGACCGTCAGGATGAGCAAGTTTACAGCTGCAAGTCTTTCTGTGCGTCGAGACCTTCGACCAATGGCATCGATATCTGTCGACGGGCTCGTGCAATCCATGCTCGAACACATGTTGGCTAGTGAGTCCCACAGTCGAACACGACCTGCAAAGAACCTACTTACTCGATCTGGGTCAAAGTAAAGCTTTGCCCGAGGCAGGTATAAAGGTTGCAGAGAGAACGATGCCGCCACGAAATGATCTCTCAGTCCACAGGAGCCCGCAGATACTTCGTCGTTCGCTTGTGAGATCTCACTCGAGGCCAGACAACAGAAAACAGTTCTGCGACCCGGGCCATTGACGTCTCTATCTAGCTCTAGCTCTACTCTTCTTCACCTCCCCAGCAAGATGCAGCTCTCCACTCTGGCACTCCTGCTCGGCGCGCAGCTGGTATCCGGCCACTTTGAACTCACGTACCCGACCTGGCGAGGCGACTCCTTCCTCCCTCCGGCATCTCAATACGTGTTCCCATGTAAGAGACCCGACCAACCCTTTGGGTGAATCGTGCGCCACCCGTGCTGACACTGTCGGGTGCCGTACCATAGGCGCAAACGTCAACACCACAGACGCCTCGAACAATAACCGCACCCTGTGGCCGCTCGACGGAGGCTCCCTCAAGATCGAATTCCACCACCCATGGACCTACGTCGCCTTCAACCTGGGTCTTGGCTCGAATACCAACACGTTCAACATCTCGCTCAATCCCATGCTCTTGAACGAGACGGGCAACGGCACCATCTGCATTCCAAAGTGGCAACTGCCCGCCGACTTGGGCATCGAGGACGGCACGGACGCCAGCTTGCAGATCATCACCATCGGCGACAGTGGCACGGCACTATACAACGTGAGTCACCTATCATTTATTGTCATGTTATCATCATCACCACGTCGTCCTCCTACTGTATGTCAGTAGTATGTACACAGCTGACGAGACCTGAACCCGGGACAGTGCGCGGACATTCGATTCTCTACAGACGCAACGCTCCTGAGCGGCGATCAATGCCAGAACACGACCGGCCTCGAATTGTACCCGCTCGTGCAACAGCAAGCCAACGGTTCCACCGAGGGCGCGGCTGCAACAGTCACAGTGACGGCGAGTGCCGCAGGAGCTTCGCCGACCAGTGCTGCCATGGGCATGAGCGCGCCAGGCTTGGGTAGCTTCGCTTTGGGCACGATTCTCAGCGTCGCGCTTATACTGGTTTCGTAGGTGGGAAGAGCTCTGGATGAGGTGGCGTAGGGTGTATCAGCGCCGAGAGAGCCATACCATTTTCCCGCAGTACGTAAGTACACATTGCCTTGTTACATGATAGTTTCGCCGGCAGCAATTGAGAACACAACTAGCAGACAGGCATGGGTCTAGTAGCATCGGATGCAATGCCAGAATCACAGCTGAACAGCTTGCAAACAATACATACTACTAGTATTCAGTGGGCGAGGTCACCCTGGGCCGAACTTGGACCTTTCAATCGGTACAACACAGGTACTCTGTACGAGTTGTATTCTAAGTATCGTCCCTGACATCCAGGCCACCCCGCGTTGCCCTTGACTACCGAGTATACACAACGGCAACCATTCAAGTCTGCTTCCTAGGTTTCCACGAGGGTGTCCTACAGTAAGATGGAGCAGTGATCCCTGGGTTCAGTAAAGTACAATGTAGCTACTTACTTACCATGCACGGGAATAAGGTTACCCACATGGGGACCCGTGCAGAATCATAGAGTGGAGTACGTACATAGTACAATACATGAATCCACCATACAAGTACAGTACATAGAACATCAGTACTCGTATGTACGTATTTACAATGGCACGAGCACCGACTACAGCGCCTGAGATTCTAAATCTTTACTAAGTATGTACTTAGTACTTACATGATGTATGTACTGTTAGTTGGTGATGGTTGCATTCAATGGCCAACTTGAAGTGACCATTCACTTCGCACACCGCAGGGTCCCAGACGAAGAAGGAACGCGTACGTAGAAGTTGAAACGGTTAGGGTTAGCACAGTACATAGTACAGTACAGTACTGATTGCTTGAAAGCTCTGCTACCTCCGGGCGCGCTGGTGGGTTCTGTGTACACAAAGTCTAGTATACCGTATGCTGTACTTAGTACAGGACTTATCCAGCTGGGGAAGCGGAGCCCCTTGCATGCCTGGAGATTCAAGATGGTGTCGACTCATGACCAAGTACTTGGATATTACAGTACAGCACTGTAGCTTGTGCCGTGATAATGTGCGTCGCGTGTACTGTATACATACAGTACAGTACTTGGTACCATGTACCTGTAGTTGTAGTTCGTGCCGTAGAGCATTGTTCGAGTCACGGTTGTCGCATTGAAGAACTTGAAGTGTCCTGTAGCAGTTGTACGGTGCTATTCCTGCCAGTGACGGCAATCACAGGCTACAATACGTACAGTACTTATAGTCCTTCACATTGCTGGCCGTGCCTGCTTAGGATTGACATTCGCGAGAACGGCATCCTTTAACATCTATGATGTTAATGTCGATGAGAGCAGCATCGGAGCAAGTAATGAGACATCTCAGAGGTCGCAATCAGGGCGCGGGGATTGAAGTATACAAGACACCACGTGATGCCAAGCCTTTATATAGCGCCAAGATAGATCCACAAAGGGACCCCACTAAGCCTAATCGGGCGAATTTCGTAGTTCATTATATCCTTATTAATTTATAGTACCTTATATACTTTTTTTCTATATCCTAAGTATATAAAGTAGTATATCCATTAGAATATGTACTATACTTAATTTAGCTTAGTTATAGCAGTTATATCTTAGCTTAGTCTCAAGGATCCTTCCTAATTAATATTAAGGAGTATCTAGAACTACTAAGTACTATACTTATAATAATCATTATATAGGTTAGTACTATATTAAAATTAGGCTCTAACTACTTACCATTTATTTAACCAACTTAAATCGGCTTAATTTACGACTCTAGAATAGTGAAAATCTATATAAGATAGAGGGTTAGAAGAAGCGAGAGATACAGTAGTCTTCAGTCTAAGCTAAGATCAAGCTAGGATCAAGCTAGGATTAAGCTGGTATCGAGCTGGTGTCGAGCTAGTGTCGAGCTGGTGTCGAGACTTAAGCCCGTATTAAGCTGATATCGAGTATAGTATTAAGCTAAAAATTCTCTTTCTCTTTTTTTTTTATCAGAAAAGATAAAATTAATAAAAAGCGTTAGCGCTATTCTTAAGCGGCTTAAGCTATATAGCATTAGCTTAGTAATATGAAGTATAGTGTATAGTATTAAACTCGTCTCAGCACTTCGAGAATATTATAACAGATTCAAGGACCTGAGGGAGCATCGGGACAGCATCGACACAGCATCGACACAGTATTGACACAGCATTGATATAGCATCGAAACATCCTTAGAACAAGACTAGAACAGCATCTGATGCTGGAGCGGCACAGTCTGGAAATGGCACTGGATTGAGGATCTAAAATACTAGTACAAAGTACTTACTACAGTACGTACTATGGGTGGGCAGGGTATGCACACAGTACTTAGTACTTTAGTTTTTCCACGCTACGTTTCGCCGACATACTAGTAAAGGGTGGTCCATTGGTCAGATGGTGTCAAAACCGATTCTCCCGAGCCTTGTGGATTGTTCGCTTCCTTTCCAGTACCCCAGCAACGTTGCCGCAGCGGCGGGTTCCACGGGCGTGACGTTCCTCGCCACGTGAATCTCCTTGTTGCTGTTCCAGAGATTTCTGAGACCACGGACTTCTTCGAAAGGTACGCTTTGCGTCGAGAGCCATTTTATGCGGCAAGGCCGAGTCCAGATCGTCAGGTCTGAGGAGAGGGAATTCGAGCTCGGCGAGTCGAACGAGTTCGGCGACGTAACAGGGTTCGGCAACGGACATGAGCCGTCTGAGGTTGAGCGACTTCTCGGGCAACGCGGCGACGACCATGCCTGCCATATTATCTTCCTTCTCTGGGGCTCGTAGGATATCGATCCAGTTGATGGAGATGTGTCACAGGACGAAAGCGATTGCCTCCGTGAAGGGGACTCCGATTGCGAATCGCTGCCAGACTCTGTCAATTCGCTGTCGTAGGGTTCCTGCACCAGGTGCGTTGAGAAGTGATTTTCGTTGGCAGACGGAGGGAGGCGTTCTTCATCTGTGATTTCGGCCCGCATCACCGCATAGCCGAAGAAGCGGCCTGAGCCATTCACAGAGAAGATCAGGTAGACCTTGCTGGCTGTCTGAAAGGCGTTATTGAGTCGCTCGACATGCCGCTTGGGAACGTGCCAGAGTCCAGATCCGAGACTTTGGTAAAGAGTCTCCAGTGAGTAGCTTTTCAGGATGTAGTATTTCTCCTTGCCGTATTGAGCGCTGTCTGCTTCGGGGAAGTGTAAGAGCTCCTCCACTTTATGCCGCAGAGTGCTGGGCGCATCACTGGATATCGATATGGATTGAGCTGGACGTCCCGAGTCGAGACCATAGTTGACTTTGGTCGATCTGCTGGAGCCGTTCTGACGGATGCGACAGTCCAGTCGCTTCCCGTCAAAGAGGTGATATGCCGCCTGCTGTATTGCGAGCATGCGCGCTGAGTCGGTTCGGAAATTGACGAATGCGTATCTCGCATCGGGGTTGTAGGAGATGCTGAGCAAGTCATGTTGTGATTGCATGGCGCCAGAGAAATAGTCTCTGAGACGCATGACACTGGTATTTGACGGGATGTTACCGACCCACAGGGCATTTTCACCTCGACCTGTTGGGGCGTTCGGAGTGGGCGAGGTGGCGGGCGAACCTGCAGGACCGTTAACGACTGCTGCTGGTGAGGGGAAAAGAATAGAGGTTGTTGTTACAGTACTTACCTCTCTGAAAGTCGCAAGGATGCATGATCGCCGTCGACGGAGCAGCAGCAAGCAGGGAGAGCTAACAAGCAGTTATTCTGGTCGCCTGTTCTGTCAGTCGTTGATGCAATCGAGACACTGTAGACCCAGGAAGATGATCTGGCCCATTATATCGGTATCCATGTCCAGTCAAGATACAGCCGTGAATGTGAGCCTAGCTAAAAGGAGGGATGTATGAGCATGATGACCAGCCAATACCTACAGAGTGCCGTCTCCGTCAAGAGGTCGCAAGCTATTACCAGGTCGGCAGCTAAGCTCGCCATATTGCTAGGTTCAATCAGGCTCGCAAATGAGAGCGCGGCCAAGAACATGCGCAGGGGAAATGTGCTCAAGCTGTGCCCTGCAGAAAACATAATTCCGAGCTGCCTCAGTCGGAAACATGCTCATGCCTGCCAACCCGCTATTCGGCCGGAACGCGTCATTGGTCCGATCACGCCAGCAGTACTCTGCAGGTCCCATGGCTGACAGCTAATTCGTGATGGCGAACATTTTCTGTGATACCTCCATCTCTTGGTCGGGGCATAGTGAGCAATTTTGCCCCACGCCGGTGTTTCTAGATCAGCGAGTATGTTCGATCGAGGAACGGTTGGAGCTTCGGCGAAAAATCAGCTGAGTGCGTGTGCGTCACAGTAGTCGTACGGCATGCGAAACTGACGGCCATGCACTCACGTGCTGTCTGGCCAAAAGATTCTTTGAAGCTTCTATGTACAAGTAACTAATGATGCCCGCCTGCTGCCAAGTTAGATTATCTTCATCATGAACTCTCGGATGTCGACGCCAGGGAATGACGCACTTACGAGTGCTGGCTTCACTGACGCGTTCAGGAACATTTTGCGCCTGGGAGGGGGCTGGGGAAACGTTAGGTCAGTGCTGAACGAACCCGAGTCGTCCTGGCTGATCTGATCTGATCGGACTGTTCTTGCAGCGGTCCAGGAATTTTGTAAGTAGCACCGGCAGTTGGTCGATTGCAATGAATCGGAATCGATGCGCATCTGTCTCGCATCTATAGGACACCGGGCCTGATGGCGGGAAGTGCTTACATTCTCATTTACCCAGCATGACGCGCGTCATCGTCTCCGGGGCTCTTGCATCGATATTCATGGGGATGAGTGGTGCGTCTTTGGGGGCCTTGATCTTTGATACTGCCACGATCCCATTCATCGTATCGGCCAGTGCGGGATTCACTCTCGGTGTCTGGGGCTTCTACGGTGACGCCGTGCGCAAGTCTCTCCGAGCGGTAGACCGGTTCCCACGGCTGCTGCAATTGCATTTGGATGCAAATTTTCCACATCGTGGATTTGATACTTGGGAGGCTGGTAGATTCAGGTCTGCCACCTTTGGCAGGAGCTGGGTCTTGCAGAGTATGTTGATTGCAAGCTGGATGACGGCAAACCGAGCAATCGAGGTGCGTACGCCCGCACAGTATGGTCCCGTCCCTGCTGAGTCCGAAGACCCCTTCGCGTTGGGTATCATGGTGGCGCCGCTGACTAGGGTCCTCTGGAAAAGCGGATCTACGAGGCCGAGGAAGAACGCATTCTCCTCCCCTTCACGGCGGGCGCAGAAACTCTGGAGAGTCCAGAGGGAAAGCCTTGATTTCAGGTAATTCAGAACCAAGGCTTCAGCGCTAGCGCTCTGACGAGTCATGCTCTGTATGAGGATACACGTCCGCGAAGCACCCCTGCAAGGAGGTATCTGCAGCTTTTGCATTGGGATCTCCTCGTGCTACGTCTCGATCACGCTCCGATTACACCCTAGGTCCCCGGCTCCTTCCCTGTTGAACAGTACGCCAATTTTCTTTTTCTAAACCCCTTGCCCCTGCTTGGGGCCCCCGGTACATTTGTGAAATCAGCTCTTCGGACATCCACTTCTTCGATGGAGCACCTGCTGACGAAGGTGGGCGTCTATCCCGATTCTCGCTTGCCTTTGATACACTCTCCTTGAAAATGTGCTCTCAGAGCAGAGACTGGAGAAATGTTTACGACCCCCGACCTCGTGTCGGTAGCCGCATTGCACCATGCTCATGATCTCCATGCCCAGCACCTCAGTGGTTCGAATTAGTGCTTAGTGGTCGACGCGTTCACTGAGCCAACACGCAACCACAGGCGGAGGTATCCTGACAGTTGTGGACACCTGGGACGGGCGAGGCGCCAGAATCTTTGATAGCGACAACAACCCAGGGAGCTGGACGAAAGGGTTCAGCGACAAATGACCCATATCGACGTGGACTGAACAACTTACAGTCATAGTCTTCACACATCTTCATACAAAGGATATCCCATTTTCGCGAAGCAATGCTCGGAACCCCAGAAAGCTGTCTGTGTTGCAGGTACAATCTCGAAGAATCATGGCATCCCACGCATGGTAGGGACAGGTTTCTGGCGGTCCTTTGAAGATGCGAATGTTGGAAGGCCGAGTGGACAGGAAACCCCAGTCGAAACCATGCCCAGGTTTGGCGGTGACATGGACGTTCACCGGTAAGATCAGCTGCTGCACTTGCTCCTCAATGCGTGGTCAGCTGTTTCCTTGACTCACCTGTCACCGAAGCCCAGTGAATGTGGTCAGAGATGGTGTTGTCGTAGCCAACAAGTTGCCCACCGGCAGAACGAACCAGCTCCTTGCACGCCTCCTCAGTCTCCACCACTCAGTTTGTCTACTACGTGTAAGCTACCGTCGCAGTCAAGGTATTGTTACAGGGAGGAGTTCTGTGGATGACGGTACTGGCGTGTTGTCCATGAGGCAGGTACGTACTGCTTCAAAAGCTTCACCGGCCTTCATGTGATACTGCGGGTAGAGAGTCAGGAAGATGAGGAATGTGAGTTGGTCCAGTGGACACTCACGATTTTGCGCAAGTAGCTTCTCTGACTGTAGTCCAACCAGGCCACCCGCTCCGCTCGGATCAGGTCGATGTCTCTCATGTCGATTGGAGCATCACGAACCATGCCAGTGGCTTCTCCCGGATCAAATGCAGTGCCATGTCCTGCTTCGAGCGGCATTGGTGTGTCATTTTGGGTGATGGCTTGAAGAGGGCAAGGAATGAAGTAGAAATCTGAGGAGGTGTCGAAGAGGGGCCGGTTTGTGAAGAGGGAAAGCAGTGTGAGATGAAGCCCTTCAAGATGTCTGCTGGCGGAAGTTAGCGGGTTTTCCCTCTCCAAGTGATAAGTTGCTGAGCTGCGAGTGAAATATTGACAGAGGTCTAGCCTCAGGTCTGTTCTTCACAGTTAGATCACCCACCTTTTATATTTCGGAACATGCAGCGAGCAGAGTGAGGAGGCCGAGAGGGCAAGATCTCGATTTGGTACTCAATCTTGAATTGTTCTCAGATCATTCCAATCTCACCTGGAAAAATTGAAAGAACTCGAAAGAAAGGCTAGGGGATCAGATTGCGCTAGGCCAATTGACAATATCAGTGTCTTCGGGAGAACGACGTTGCTTGGCGTGAGTCCGTGAGAGTGTCTCTCAGGATCGGATGAAGCAGTTCTCATATGGGGAAATGACTAGATTCAGCCTCGCTCGTGCCTGTCGACAGACCGCCGCCAATCAATCACGTCTCCATTTAGTCTTCCGGTCTCAGAAACATGTCTTCCCTACAGGAAGTCAGCAGACGCCGCCGCTTGTTGCCATACCAGCAGCGTCGCCACTGCAGGCTATCCAGGCTTGTCTTTGAGACAAGGTGGGCAGTCCTAATCATCAACCTGACGACTCCAAACTCTGCCACGTGCTTCGAAGCACATGGATTCGGCCCAAGGGGGCGCACCCAGTCCAACGTCTCTCGTCGTGATGATTGAGGATGGTCCGTACAGGCGTGTCCAACATGGCTCATGTTGGACACAAGTTGATTCGATGCCTCTCCTCGCCTTGGATCTCTCACTCGCCCTTCCCGAATTTTGAGACTGATGGTGAAGCGAGTACGGAGTATTTGCACACTCATCTAGTCCATCACTACGACAAATACCCGACTATAGTGCTTTGCTTTCGGATTCTTCCTGATGACTGCTCAGAATACGATTGCTCTTTACACGCGACCTGCGCCTCGTAGTGGTTTTCCTCGCTGCTCAACCCAAAATAACGGACCACCCATTGGCCATCGTGCCATCTTGCTGGAGTGACCCACCACTGACTACTATGTAGTAACAATGCACTACGTCACCGAGACTGGCTGGATAAGCCGGATAAGCTCTGACTGGTGCGACTGGCCGCCTATCAGCCCGGTGCTTTAACCCCAGATGCCTAGAAAGGCGGGGGAGGGGCTTTCTTAGGTCTTAGGTCTCGGTCCGCAGACGCCATTGGCATGTGAATGTACCTTAGCCAGTCCAGGATGAGTGAGCTACATACGTAGTGACTCGGAGCTTGTACTTGTGCCACTTCGAGCTCTCCCTCTCCCACCTGGCCATTTGTAATCCCCTTCAGAGCAGCCGTCTGTCCGCGTACTACCCTGCTTGCCATCTACAGTATCTACGGTGTATCTACCAGCTTCCGTCTCCCATCAATTCGAGTGCTCAATCCGTGTCCACCGTCACACCCCCCCAAATCGCGCCACGCAACCCACCATGTCTTCTCCCACCTGGCAAGACCGCCGCTTCATGTTCCCCGTGGGCAAGGAAGTCCACCAAGGCTCCACCCGCCGCATGTCGGGTTCCTCTGCCTCGTCCGCTACCGCCGCCGCCGAATCCCCCGTCCTGACGAATGCTGTCCCTGCCGCCGGGACGGACGCCACGCCCGCTCTCCCCGAGTACCCGCTCGTGGAGAAGAAGGTGCTCTCCAACCCGGATGCCTGGGGCGGAGACAGACGCTTCATGGGCAGAGCCGGGAAAGAGGTGCACCAACCGGCCAGGAGACCCAGCGGCTCGAGCGCCACGAAGCCCGAGGTCGTGCCCAAGAGCAGCTCGCCGCCCGCGACCAGCACGGGAGGGGGCATCGCCGCAGCCATTGCGGGCAGGAGACGCGTGAGTAACTTCCCCTGGATGATATATACTTGTGCCTGCATTCCCTTATTGTCCCTTGATCCCTCATTCTTCACACTTTTGCTTTTGATGCTTCGATACCGCGCAACAACGCTAACCTGTCGCCTCGTCCTGTGTGATATATAGTCTTCCGCCTCTCAGGGCGGCGTCTTTTCCGGCCTCATGGCGAACCGAAGCAGCCACGAAGAGCGTCGGCAGTCGTGGGACGACATGAAACAACCGGGAGGGTCGTTCGGGGGCTTCCTCTCGAATCTGGTGTCGTCAAAGCCTGCTGAGAAGAAGTAATTTGCCATGTAACTCTGAAGGAGTACTGGAAAGACATCTGAAATTGGGACATTCGGGAGTCAATTCTATCCAGGATGGTACCTTTGATCTCCGGGTGATGGCATGAGCATATGCATGGGCGTGACGTTGCCCATTGTTCCGCGCGGATACAGGACCGCTACAGAGCCGTGTGGACCTGGGGAGATGAAATTGTGACCTGTCGAACAGCAGCAGCTCGGTAGGAAATCCGCGCTTTGTCAAACGAAAACTGTATCTCAATATACGCAGCGCCGAATTTTACTTCTCCCAACTCCCACATCCGCTTCCTGGCCCGAGAACCTTGCTGTGTCCAGAGTCCTGACTAGGCCATTGATGTTGTAAAGAGGCAGATGAAGCTGCTGGGAAAGAAACAAAAGCGTGAATTAGCCCTGTCGAATGCATTGCTGGGTTTCTCCGTGACTTGCGGAAAGAGCTCGTGCCAATATCGAGATCAGCACCAGTACGCCGACTATTCATTGTCCAGTTGTGCCTTCAGGGTTTTCTCCGCCATGGAAATCTCCTTCCAGTATTTTGTGTCCGGCTCTTCTTACTACGCAAGAGGTATTTAGACGGGCTCTTGGCAGGCCAGGGGGAGGTGGAGGCGGGTACTCACGTCTCCAAACAATTAGCGAGTTAACATCTTTTATTCACGTCTGCACGCTCGAAGTGCTTCGTGTAGTTGGCCCGCTCAACTAATCTGATCATCAAAGCACTAACCAGCTACGTTGGGTATCTCTGTAGAAGCGAATGAGTAGCATACCCCCGATCATGGCTCCGTCCCGGCTTGTCCGACCCTCGCCTACGCCAATCAGTAACACTTTGCGTAGGAGTTGCAGTAGCCACCGCGCCCGCAGCCGGTGACATGGTGACCTGGTCGACCTCCTGACTCACATGCTCACTCACTCATTTTTCACGACGACTTTCTCTTCTGGAGTCTGGTTACCGCTCGTCTCATCGACTTCGGCAACCTGCCCATGGATAGCTGGGCGTCTCTTGCCCGTCACATCCAAGAAGATGGACTTCACGGTATGGGCCATGGTTTTCCGGCCTTGCCAGAGTGGGAATAGCCCCACAGCGAAGGTACTGCAGAAGAGCCAGAGAATGCCGACGACAACCCAGCCTGTTCCCATGAACAAAAGTCAGTAACGTAAACTCGAGAACAACATGATAGGGGGGTCGTGGAAGGGAGGAAATGAACCACATGACGTACCAGTAAAGAACTTCTTCGAGAAGATATACCCTGTCCCGTACAGAGGCATGGGCCAGAGCACTAGCAGGGCAATGGTCATGAAGCCGGTCAAACTTCTGGAGATGACGGCGGCTTTGTTCAACTTGGTCTGCTCAGCCGCTTCTTGCTCGGCCGTGCGGGCCGCGATCTCGCGTTGGATCTCCGTGTCGACGCTAGCGCGGCGGATGATCTCCGAGTCGTCGCCCTTGCGGATCTCGCGCATAGACTGCCAGTCGTAGTTCTGGCGGCCAAACGTGTACGTGAGGATGGGCACGAAGATGATTGGGCTGAGCAGGGCGGTTACGTTTCCAGCCAACATGGGGTTGTTGGAGCCGGTGCAGTCGACATTGAGCACGCCGCACTCATGCTTCGCGGTCACGAGCCAGGCGATAAGGGCACAGGCAAAGCCCAGCACGGGCGCGCCTGCCGCGGCTTGCCAATTCTGATCCTTCCACATGAGGGCCAGCGTTGCTGGAATGACGGCGCTGGAGATGATGCAGCCCTGGAGGCATTGATCAGTGCTGAAGCCTGATTCTGAGGGGCCGGAGAACTCACCATGAGGAGATAAAGATAGCCCATTGAAACACCGGCATAGAACAAGCCTGTCGAGAAAGAGGCAAGACAAATAGCGTAGACGACACAAGAGGCGTGGGACATTCGGATTAGGAACTTTCCAGAGGCCTTTGGATTGATGTAGGTCTGGTAGATGTCGTATGTCCAAATCGAGGATACCGCAATTAGTTCAGCCGAAGATGCAGATGTGACGGCCATAAAGACCAACAGCAATGTCGCTGCAGCGCCGCCTTTCCCCAAAAGCGCCACGGCCGCGTAAGGCAGGACCAGTCCAGCACTAACATCAGCGTGGGACATGCGGTCGGGATAAGTTGGGAAGACCGGGTTGTTTTCGAGGGCCAGTGCCGCCAGACCCATGGTTGTAGCGCAGAGCCATGGGATCGCGAACCACGAGAGACCACCCATAACGTACCCTGGCAATGCATCGACCGGAGAAGCAGCGATAGCTTTGTTATAGTATCCGTTGTCTAAGAAAACGGTTCCGAAGTTCCCCACTATATTGATGACGAAGAAGATGGCTCCTTCATGGCTTCGCATTGTGAGATAGCTGCCGTCCTTGTTGCCAGACACCGGGTGTCGTTCGGCCGCGGCGGTCAGTAATTCCCAGACTTTGCCCGGGGAGCCCGCGACCTCGTTTGTAGCATACGCGGAGAAGGCAAACACAAAGATAATGACGAGAATGATCACCGTGTGAACATAGTCGGTTAAAAAAGTCGCCTTGATGCCGCCGAACATTGTGTATAGAACGACACCAATTGGCAGGAGAAAGCAAGCCGCTGCAGTGGGGACGCCGCAAAGAGCACTGGCGACGGCACTGCCGCCAGTCAACAACATGGCAGTGACAAGGATGTTGGTCATGAGGCCGAAAACCAGGAAGACGATATGCGTGACGACGCCGTATCTCGCCTTGATGACCTCTAGGAAGGTGTGCGCATTAGGGGCGCGTCGTTTCAATCTAGAGCGATGTGAGCGCATTCAAAAACCCGAATGTCGATGCTACTCACTCTATGGCCAGTGTCGCAAAGAGCAGGATCTGGACAGTCGCGCCCGAAGCATACCAGAATGGGCCGGAGACACCATAGGAATCTGTCACTGTCAGCACCCACGACTTTGTCCGGGCAAGCGCGGACTGTGTTGCCCTGGGCGCGCTGAAGCGCCCTTGGGGAAGCACTCACAGGCAACACCAGAGGACTGGAGCAAAGTGGCAGCCCATGTCCAGCTCGATACCACAGCAGCAGCCACTAGTCCTGATTTGACTGTCCGGCCGGCTGTTGAGAATTCTTCAGAGGTTTGAACCTAAGCATTTGTTGGTCAGGAAGTGAACGTTGTTGGACACAAACAATGCTTACCTCGCCGTGGTATCTCTTTAAGGCCCAGGTGGTCCCGATCATACCAAGGGCAAAGGCAAACCCAAGCCCGAGGATGATGCCATAGCCGAAGCCCTTGGACAGAGGCACCACAGCGGCGCCCGCTGTGTCTGACATCTTTGGTTCACCCAAAAGATCTTGGTCAAGGTTGCGGAGAGGCTCTTGCCAGAAGGTGAAGGAATGGGGAGTCCTGGCCGCGAGGTCGGGAAGTGACTTCCTGCGGCGATTTATATTGGGCACGCGGGCTCTCCCTTGATGGTGCTGGACGGAGCTCAAGAAAAAGAAAAGCCAGGCGTCTGGGGTTCGTGGGGAGCTGCATCTCGTCTCTCCCATGCGGCAGAGCACGCGATACTGGGGGTGGAAATTTGCAAATCGATTTCCATCCCGATAACGGCATGCTGAACGATAAATTCTAGCACCATGCTCGTGTGCACGACGGAGCAAGGGTGTCGGAAGCAGGTGGGTCTGATAAACGCAGTCGCTGGCATCGAGGTAATCTGTTGATATCAAAACTCGTTAGCTAACTGGAAGCATTGATAAGCAAGACGTCTGTATGCAGGGCTGGTTAGAGGGTCGATCATCCGTTGGTGGAGAGAAGTAGAACCAGTGGTTGACGGCAGGCTTGGACAACTTGGGCTGGCCTTATCAGGGCCAAGGGGCGTGGTGATTGGCTGTGCTCGACGCCTTCGGCCATCTCCTTCAAGCTCTCCGTCTTTCATTTGCTTCAAGCTTGTCATAGCTGTGCCACGTCGACAGCAATCTGATGTTGAGGATCTCGCTCTCCCCGCCTATCAGAGTAAGTCTTCTCCAGCTTTTGAGTGAGAAGGCGAGTCTCTGCCTAACGTCGGGGTGGGCTCTGTTTGTCACGCCCATTACCCCCCGGACGGAATCATTGGGGAATCTCGACCGGGTAGAGGATGCCCCACAAGCGTGCGACGGCCTCTAGATATTTGAGCATAGTACGCAGTATCGTCTGTGAGTGCACGATGGCGGCTGGTGAGAAGCCTCTGCCTTTCCAGATCTAGTCTCGGGAGACGTGTGCCAGTGTCAAGATTGCTTTGAGCAGCTGGACTATCCTCGTACTTTTGCAGATTTCTGAATCTGCGAACGATATCAGACGTATTTTTATTGGATGATCTTGCAGAGGGCCTGTGAACGCGGTCTCTGGTGCAGTAGTTCGCGCCAGATTCGAACTCACCGCCGCTCAGAACCCAAGGCTGAGACGTGGGCCAACCGCGTTGGAGGGTATGTCGTTACTGGGGGGTTGAAGTCTGCACCGACTGGTCCGTCCTCAAGCCCGTCCTAGCCCTCGAGAAGCGATTCTGAAGCGAGATTCTGCCCATGCAACAAGATCCAACTTCCCCAGGACGACTAGGTGAGAGCATAACGCGCTGCTGCTCGGCTGGGAGGAATGGCCTAGTCGTGCTTGGTTTTAGATCCTTTCCTTTCAACTCTTCCTCTTCCTTGAGTCCATGCCCCCATCTCTTGCTCGCCTAGGAAATTCTCACAGATGCAGCATCGAGATAAGTACCTGGGCGCTGAGGGGCGGCGAATCGCCATTCGCTTGGGTGGGCACCAAGGAAGTTCGTCACGGGTGATCTCGAGGAGACTTTGGTACAGGTTTATTCGGCACGTTCACTCCTACATTTCAGACCACATGCGTATGCAGACCCTTATCCTCAGAAGGTAGGTTGTCGTTCCCGGGTTGTCGGAGTTACGTTGCTTCCTCAGGTATGACACGGATAACGATACTGGTCCTCCGCATCCTCTCATAGGCGAGCGGTCGCTCGTGTTCGCACAAGGAGAGCCGGACGGAGTTCAAAGCACAAGACGCCACGGACCGACAGGAAATCCATGGATGGGATGGGGAGAGCTCTACACAATCGGAGGTCAGTTCGGGCAATGGCATTTCCATTCCGTCCTTCGACTCACACTTTCCAGAAACCGTGCCAAGCTGCTGGATGGTCAAGTGGCGGAGTGTACCTTGTCTCATGTATGTCTCAATTCATCACCGCCACCTCTTTAGACATCTCCGGAGGCGGAAGGTCATGAGCGCACTCGCTGGCATGTCCATATCTTGGCCGCTGACCAAGGTGTATTTGAGGAGGCAACTGGAGGCTGGAGGGCCTGACTGGCGGTGATTCAATGAACGAACGAGACGTTTGGATTGTGGTGGAGATCTAACCGTCGAGAGAAACGTCTTGGCAGCCATCAGCAAAAGAAGAGTTGTACTGGTAGTCTGTATGCAGGCAGGAGCTGAGGCAGGATCATTTTTCGCATAAATGCTGGGTAGACGATCCAGCCATTACTCATGGTTGGTAGGTAGAGACTCTTAGGATGGGAGGGTCCACACATCGTCTGCGCTCACCCCTTTCGCGGAGCATACCTCAAGATCACCTCGTCAGCATCAGACTTCCGGGGTGCTTGTGGCCGAACCTTTGGCGGCTGAATGCTGGCGGACATGATGCATATGGCTGAGATGGGCGTGCATCTTGGTTTCCAGCACTCGAGATTAGTCATGCGACAGTTTCGTTTCGACGCCGAGCCAGATTTGCACAGCTTCAAATAAAAGAAGGGTGGGGGGTGTGCGCGGTGGACTGGCTGGGAGGGGACCGGACTCTCAGACCATGCATTTCATGACCACGTCTTTACTTGAGCATGGCCAGGGCTCGAAAATGCCCTTCCATTATGTACATCCCATCCGTGTGCTATTCTACACCCCATTTCGTGTGCTATTCTACCTCGCATTTGTGTGCCAGTCTACCTCCCATTTGTGTGCTAGTCTACATCCCATTTGTCTTCTATGTGTTACATTTACCCTGCTGCCACATTTTGACACTCTTGACCGTCAGACCGCGGTCATTTCCCGTTCCCCAGCTCGGTTCCCACTCGGATCTGGCTAATTGATGTGTCAGCATAGATTGTGAGAGGGAACAGGTCACATCACTGCACTCACCGCCGTAGAAGTCAGAGGCTGCAGAGTCTCTTCCGTCAACCCATGGCTTGCGACCGACCCCGTCTCTGTATAACATGTGTCAGCGATGGGTGAAACACAGAAGCAAGGCTGCCAAAACGTACGAGAACCAGCCGTTGCGACTCCCGACCGCAACATTGAGAATCAGGTAGAATTTTTGATCAAAAGGTGCATTCTTCTTTCCGTTGAACCAGGGATTTGTGAGTTGCGTGGCGTTTTCGTAGTCACCTTGGAAATGGCCGCGTTGCCATAGATCCTGTTTCGTGAAGTCGACGTAGAGAACTTGCTGAAGTCGATTGTCGACCCATGTGTAAAGGTAATCTTCAGACCACTCCATGCCGAAGGTATGGAAGCCTTCGGAATAGTCTGTTCTTTGAATTTTGTGTTTTTGGGTGGTTCTGTAGAAGTTGTCGGTCTTCCACGAGGTACCTGACAGGATTCAGTTCAACGAGATCACGCTCGAAACCGAGAAACCGAGTTTCGCTCACCCCAATGGATCGTGCTGGAGACCGTCTCTCTTCCGCCGTTTCTGTAGCCACGGGCGTTACCGCGACTTTCCATAATATCAATCTCGCCACTCAATGGCCAGATTCCATAGACACTCTCTTCTGGCATCATCCAGATTGCCGGCCAGAGCCAATCGCCCTTTGGCACCTTGGCCACGACTTCAACACGACCATACTGGATCGATTTTGCACCTTGCGTCGTAAGGCGTGCTGACCTCACGGGGTTTATGATTGCGTGGGAGGAAATGTTGGATTTCCTGCTGCATTCATTGGCATAGTATTGGGCATTTTTCTCGGCGGTGCATGAACCGTCACCTTGTTTTGACTGGCCCAAGTTCAGATGAAAACTGATCCGCCGGTTAGAATCTTTCAGCAACTCAGGGCCGTGCAACTACTGACCCATCGTGTATTTGGCTTTCGGTAATATCGGTTGTGGCCGTTGTGAAGGTGGGAACGATGTGAAGTCCATCTCCATCAGTAAAGGCGTTTCGGCCATCAGTTGTTGTCCAGTCGAATGAGCCCGTACCAAACCCGTCAAGTTGGACTTCATGACGCCAGATGGATTTATCGAGGGTGGTGAAGGAATCGTCCAAGACTAGACAATACTGCAAAGGATAACTCCGTGTCAGTGAACCACAGTCAGACGCAAAATGGGAAGCCGAACCTCGTGGTTGGGAACGCCGACCGCGATCCTCCAGTTCACCACAGCGCTGAGAGCTATCGCAAGGAGAAGCCCTCCCAGGATATACCAATTGCCCTTGCGAGGCGCTTTGTATTTCTTGTCCGCAGTCCACGGTTTCTCAATCCTGCTTTATGTCAATGGTGCTCGAATGGTTAGCGATGGGAACAGATGGTAGAGCAACTAACTTTCCGTCCAGCAGATACGTCTTGAACTCATGGTTGCGCGTACCGCTCACACGATAGCTGTTGAGGCCTCGGAAGAGATCCTCCTCGGAACCGTCTCGGGTGCGATTGTAGCCATAGTTCTTTATCGATGCGACCTCGCTGTTGCTGTGACTTGGCATCTGGGGACTTGGATGACTTGCTTGATGCGCCGCATAGAGGAAGTCGGGGTCAAGAGAGTTTCCGATCGGCGACGTCATCTTCTCTCTCGTCTTTGCCCCGAGACTGACTGACACACAGAGGCCGTCCAGGTGACTGCGAGACAATGATAATGTAGCGGCATTCAACTTTTGCGTAGAGCTGTTGTTGGCAGTTCACCACAATCGATCGGCATGGGTGGCGACACTGATGTGCTCTTACAGACTGTTCTCATGAGACACGCTCGTGAGTCGTGAGACATGTGGTCGCCGCGCAGAAGTGGGAATAGCCTTTCGCGCAGGCACTCTCCCTAAACTCTCAATGAGTACTGGCTGGCCGTTACTGGGGTACTCCGTACCGGGGTGCGAAACTAGCTCTGGAAACGTTGATCTCGCGTTATTGGAGGCGCATGTTCAGCCATGCCAGCCACAATATTACTTCCGGCGCATGAACCCTGTCCAATGCTCAATGGGGACAGTGCAGATGTTGACCGTGAAATTAAACCCCGTTAGCGAGGAACTGAAAACCGGGTTTCAACAAGATAGGAAACATCCTTATCGCACATGAGGAAGGTGGTAGGCCATGTCGCCTGAGAAAGCAGATACCATGTCTCTGAGCAGTGCTGATCCGAGTGGATGATCCTCCGACGGTGAGATATCATTGGTAAAGCAGGCAGAGTCACGGCGGTGATAAGCGATATCGATGATGACCCTCTGATTTACTCGTAACGTCTGGGTGTTGCGTGGCGAGCTGACAATGTGCTGGCACTGTGCTGTCGCTCCATCACGTCCATGAATAGCCTGAACCAGAGATTGTACTTCCGACACCATGCAGTGTCTCAGCCCTGAGAGTCATAGCCACGGGATCTTCAAGTTTAAGCTGCGGAAGCCGTCTTATCCGGCGCCGGCACGCCACGGTGGATCTGATGTCTCCCTATCACAGCCGCTCCTACAGGGGTCGATTCCGGGTTGTAAGTGCCAGGAATTGTTCCTGCAGCAGGAACACATCCAATCACCACGGCAGCCTGAGATTTGCCGGGCTCAACTGTCGGCTAGGCGACACGCGCTACGTTCAACGGCTGAGCTAGATGCCTCGCGACCATGCCGTGGAAATCAGACAGTGCGGGACGCGACGATGGTCGAAGGCGAGCAGAATCTTGCATCCGGACACAGTGCGTCACTTACATGGGGGAAGTCGACGCTTTGCCCTCAGGGGTCTCCTTGGATGGTACCAGGTTGCCAGTACGGGAGATGGCGAAAAGCCACCGTCTTTTTCTGTAAACAAATCCTCTCAGTTCGTCTGTAGTTCATCGATCTTATTTTTTGACAACGCTCGGTGCACTCGCCGTGTTAGGCTGATGTAGAGACCAAGCTTCTTTGCTTCTACCAACAACACCGATGGCTTCACTCTTGGAGGCGGGTGCCTCGACGCCTCTGGCGAGACCTCAATATCTGCATTTTTCGCAGCCGAACTCGTCAGGAGTGTCCGTGTCAAGCCACCAGAGCAGGCGCCTGGAGAGAGCCAACTTCGATGAAGCGCTGAGGCACAGAACGGTAAGAGCGTTCGCAGATGCTAGGAAAGCCGAGCTAATCGAGTCGTAGATGACAAAGTTCCTTTATGGAAAAGGTGTTGCCAACAGCTGGTTCGATATCAACCTGCCGAAAAGGCCACTCGGTGTCCTCCTGCGTCAATCCAATGGCACCTACAGCGTCGAGCCCCAGGACCTCCCGGAAACGCTGGTTCGCACGGTTGCAAGACTGGGCGTTCAGGCCGCTTTTGCCATTGCGACGGATTCCACAGAGGCCATCTTCGATGTCATTGGGGACGAAGATCAGGGAATCACGCTTGGTGATGGCCTGGATCTCCAAGTCGTCGACTCCATGGCCAACCTCATGCGGATTGGGCTTGCTCAGGCACGAAGATTTCCCTACGCGGCATTAATCAGAAGCGAGAGAATTCTTCTGGTATGGCACGACGAAGCTGACAAGGTGTTGCAACAAGCGGTCGCCACGGAAGAGGAATTGATGAAACTAGTGAGTTCCGACAACCGAGCCGGGTGTATGTTGTCTGCCAGCGAGAAGAGTGCTGACCGAACATTAGATATGGGGGGCTGCTCCTTTCACCGCCGGCCATCACACGTCTAGAGCTTTGACTGCGAGTTCTCTAAGCCTGTGGGACAAAACGAAGAGGGACAGATTCACAACCGAAGTCACAGAGATCTCGGACTTGGAAGAACAAGAGCTCGAAAAAGAATCCCTCGACCGGCCCGTGAAGCTCTATGGCGCGATCATCATGGCTTGTTCGATATTCTTCCTGGTCTTCCTCATCTTCGGCTACACCACATCTCATCTCGTCCTCGAGATGCTGACAGACGGCGATCGCATGCGATTCGTCTGGATTGCCTTCGAGCCTCTAACCCTCATCGTGGCTATGTTCTTCTCTCTGTCTCTGATGACTTATGCCTTCCAGCTTTTTGGACCCATCACTGGCCTTTTCACCAACACACGATTCTTCTCAAGCGTCAAGCCAAACCTCAAGCAAGCGTATGATCAAGGATTCACTCCTCCACGAGTCACAATACAAATGGCTGTTTACAAGGAGTCACTGGAGCTGGTCGTTATGCCAACGGTCCGAAGTCTGATGGCTGCAGTCTCGGACTATGAGTTGAAAGGAGGAAAGGCCAATATTTTCATCACGGATGACGGCCTCGGATACCTCCTTCATAGCGACCCTGCTGCGGCACAAGCTCGTATCGAATGGTACGAAGCCAACAACATTGGGTAAGCGTCATACACAGCTGTCTGGCAACTCCTTTACTGACTTTCACCACAGCTGGGTCGCCCGACCGATGAACGGCGAGAACGGATACTTTCGTACCGGGCGATTCAAGAAAGCCTCCAATTCGAACTTCTGCATGAATTTTGCCAATCGGGTCGAGCGAACTCTCACGAGACTCGTGCATGCCCACAGCCAAGCCAGAGATGGAAGCCCAGTCTTCATCGACCCGGCGCAAGAGGACGTTCTCTATCACCAAGCTTTGACCGAAGAACTGGCCAAGGATAGTCGAGTCAAAGCCGCTGGAAACATCCGGATAGGTGAAGTCATCCTGATGTGTGATTCCGATACTCGAGTGGTAAGTTCATGGACACCTGGTTGCGGGTATTGAGCTGACGTGTCCCCTTAGCCCCGAGATTGTTTGATCAATGGAGCGGCAGAAATGTTCCTCTCGCCAGAAGTCGCCATCGTTCAACACCACACCAGTGTCTACCAAGTTTCCGGGGATTTCTTCGAGAACGGTGCTACTTATTTTGCCAAAATGTGTTATGCGCAGATTCGGTTCCAAGTCAGCAATGGTGAATGCGCCCCCTTTGTCGGCCACAACGCTTTCGTGCGCTGGAAAGCGCTCCAAGATGTCGGCATAGATACGGGTGATCCGAACTATGTCATGTACTGGTCTGAGTATCACATTTCCGAGGATTTCAACATGAGCATTCGACTTCAAAGCGCCAACTGGGTCACTCGATACGCTTCCTATCATCAAGATGAGTTCAAGGAGCAAGTCTCTCTTACGATATACGATGAAATCAGTCGATGGGAAAGATACTCGTACGGCGACAGTGAACTCTTGTTCAATCCCATTTGGACGTGGCTCTGGAGGGGTCCATTCACTCCGCTGTTCAGGAAATTTTTGTTTTGCGACATGCATTGGTCTTCGAAGCTCAGCATTATATCATACATGACTTCATGTGAGTATCGTCACTTGCGGATAGTGGACCGACGAGCTGACAACCCTGTCTCACAGATTATGCCATCGGTAGTGGCTTCTTCTACACCATTGCCAACTATGTTCTGGTTGGCCTTTTCTGGGATGAACTGGACAAATTCTACACCTCCTCATGGTCCATCTTCCTCTCCGTGGTCCTGGTCTTCTGGATCCTCAGCAACGTCGCCCTAGCCATCATGCGATTCCGCATCGGCGAACGATCATTCCTTGGTTCGCTCTGGGAAAATTTCAGGTGGCAGCCGATGTACTGCTTCTACTTCTACGGGCTCAGCTTTCACGTCAACAAAGCTTTGATCGCCCACATCGTCGGGTACGAAATGACCTGGGAGATGACTAAGAAGGAAGTCGAGAATTCAAACTTCTTCATGGAGATCCCCAAGATCGTGAGCAAGTTCAAATACATGTACCTGGTCATGATTCCACTCGCTGGTGGCGTGATATACATGGCGTTCTTTGCACCACTGGCATGGAGGATCACACAACCTGTGGCGATCGTACCAATGGCTCTGATGATTGTCTGTCATTGCAGCTTACCTTTCGTCCTCAATCCGCATATTGTCAGCGCCGTCGACCAGTACGCTGTTGACGATAAAAGCAACATTGAGAAGATATGAAGGGTTATTTTATAATGAAGGGCATTTACACGAATTGCGGTTTGGCATACACATACAGGATATACAAACTCGGAGTACAACTGGGTGGCGACATCCCAAAACTAATTTCGCGAAAGCTACATAGACAACAACGAAATATATCGAATGTCATAACAAGACTTCGCGTCAGTCCTTTCTATATACCTCCACCCTATGTCGGGTAAACCATGTGAAGCGCAGTAATCGCCCTGATCTACCGCGAATGTTTCGAGAACGTGTCGGGCCCTTCTCATCGAGCCAGACGAGATGGGAACAGTCAGCTTTCAGGAGATGTCACGAAGGCATCGAAGTGATCCGGCAGAGAAGTCTGTCAAGCGATTGGGGGTAGCCTGGGTTCCAGCTATGGCAAGACCCCTTCCCTGCACGACTCTCCTAGGCAGAACATGGCGCCCGTCCGGTGCCCTCTTCGCAATAGATCCCTCTCGACCGTCGTCAGTGATCAAGTTCCCTGACCGCCGAGGAACAGGAGCATGAGAGAATTTTCTCATTGTCCTGCCACTTTTCGAAACTTCCTCACGGTGGTTCCGCGCCGCGAGCGTCCTTGCTC